ATGTCTGTCTCAAAATAATTGATAAACAAACCTCAAACCTGTTATTAAGCACAATCAGCCAGATTTCATGAAAGATTAAGACGTAAATAAAAAAAATAAATTTGTTATGTCCTTAGTGAAAAGGCCTATTTGATAACTCTGCCCAGAAACACTGCCACAGAGCAGGAGCACCGTTTTAACATTACGCACACATGCACAGGCGCCACTGTGGAGCGCTGCATTTGACTCCTAAAAGGCAGGTGTCTCTGTCTTGGCCCAGCAGCAGGGACGTTGTTGTACACTCCTGAAAGGGTGTGGGACATCATTTGGGCCAGTTCAGTTTTGCATAATGTCACACTGGAGAATGGAGTGCCGTTGGCTGTGCCGGTCCAACGTGAGGGCCCGATGCCCGGAGAACAATAACGAGGAGAGACTGCACAAAGGTGCTGTGCAGAGGAGACAGGACCTTATGAATGGATTCTGATGTAAAGTATAAGTTTAGAAAGTGCTCTTGCTATGTAATCAGTGATAAAAAAAAATCCAATACAAATCCATAAAAATGTGCCTCAGGGGCAGCGACACACCGTTTAGTGAGGTTAATAATTATTTTTGTTCAGCCTCTGTCAGACTCTCCAGTCTGCTCTACATTACAAAGACGCAACAAATTAAAACTAAATACTTTCGATAATCGAAGTGTGGCAGTATGGGCCGACAGCCCAGCTGTACCTTGATTAGGCTGCAGTCTCGGCCTATGCCTTCAGGGGGCATAGTCTTTAAATGTGGGTGCTTGCTCCCTGGGAGCCCTCTCCCTCTGCTCAGAGCTCTTGTCAGCTGTGCTCTCTCGGTATAATCACAACACCTGATCGCCTCGCTGCCGGACTGTGCTGTGTGCTCAGTTCGCTGCTCCTGGTATGTCAATCACATACTTTCTTGCATCGCTTTGAAAGTTTTGCGGTTGCCGTCAGGGTTGGCTTTTGTCTCCAACAGTTCCTCACTGGGTCTTCTCTCTCCTGCATCGAACCGATTGCAGGACCCAGAGTGTGTCTTCCTGCATCCCCACACAGCTGGGGTTGATCAGCTGAGTGGCCTCTGATTGTTCTGTGGCGCTGCGGGTGCCTCGTTGCCTCGCCCTCGTGAGGTTCATTCAACTTTCTGACGGTATATGTTTAAATGACTGCAACTCATGCTGTCGGCTTCGGTGCTGCTGTCGGCTTCTGGGCTGCTGGTTTGCTCCTGTGCTGCTGCTATGGTTGTTTCTGCTACCACTGCTGCCTGCTTTACTGTACTCCTGTCTCATCGCCTTTGGTAAGGCCGTCACTATCGCCATCTAACTTTGATTTGATGCCGTTCTGCTTCATGTGAGGTGACGTCAACACCCTTGGGACTAAGTTTTATTTTTGTAACCTGTTGCCTCAGCTTCCTCATTTTGTTGGCATTTAGTCTATTATGGTTTAAATCATTTGATATTATTTTGTGATTTGAGTGTTTTTGTGTTTTTTTTCTCCAGTTTGAGTACTTTGTTTTGTTAGTTATTAGTATTTGGTTTATTTGCATATTTGTTTGGTTTGGTCATTTCTAAATATTTTGAGTTATTTTTCTTCCTTTTGCTTGCTGGTTTTCTTTATTTTGGTATTTGTGGTTTATTTTTGATTTAACCAGGATTTGCTATTTGCACATCAATTTTATAGGCAACATTGTTGCTATAGCTAAGAGATTGTGTGTGTGTTTGAGTGTGAATGAGTGCGGATGAGTGAGTGAAAAAATATTTTATTAACTTCGTTATTGGTGAAAATTGTCAAATAAAATTCAAACGTATTTTTACACTGGACCACGGCCTCCCGTCTTCACTGGCAGACGAACCTGTGTGTGCCCTAGCTTTATATTCAGGGGTAATTTTACTCTCCAGGTGAAATTCCTGGGGTGGCGTTGTCAGCAACAAAATCAATTCGTATTCAGTAATCAGTAGTTGATTGGTGAATCGGTAAATAGGGGTTACAGTATTTTACTACATCTTCTCCCAAATTCCATTCTCCGTTAACCCTGCCCCCGGCTGCCACATTGTTGGCGTTGCCGGCAGGATCCACTGCTTGTGGAAGGCAGAGACGTGTGGCCAGTGTCATTATCTTGTTTTTTTTTTTTTTTTTTTTCCCCCCCATCTATTTTAACGGAAATAACTTGTTTCAGAAGCAGAACAGCAGCTCGGTCTGGTGAGTCCCGGTGAGAATCTAGTTTCCCTTTTTTTTCTTTCTTTCTCCTGGTAGTTATCCACTGTTCCGCCTACTGCCCTAGCCCGATTTTAGGGTTAGTTATGGAGGGAGAGCTGCAGGATTTAAGGGAGCTGGTGGCACAGTTAAAAGCAGACAATGAGAGGTTGCGGCAGGAGCAGGCTGCGGCCGTGCCTGGTCCTAGTACCGCATCCTCCACTTCCTCTGTGCCACCTACAGCCCCTGTTACCGCTAGTAACCCTTTAGTGGAGAGACTGGTTTTTGTGCCAAGGGATAGAAAGTGTCCTATGTTCAAGGGAAAATCAGGTATAGGACTGACTGAGTGGCTTGAGGAGGTACAAGCCTGCATGAGGGCACGTCATTTATCTGCAACCGATCAGGCATTTTTTTTGTTTGATCATCTAGAGGGTGAGGCTCGAGAAGAGATAAAATATCGGTCCAGTACGGAGAGGGAGGACCCAGGTAAAATCATTTCTGTGCTACAGGAACTGTCTGGGTGCTCAAAATCGTATGTTGCATTACAGGAGGCGTTCTTTTCCTGACGGCAACAAGAGGGGGAGACATTGCACGAGTTCTCCCTCGCATTAATGAGCTTGATGGCGTCTGTGAAGGAACGTGCACCAGACGGGATGGTAAATGCTGACGTGTTGCTGCGCGACCAATTTGTTGAGCATGTTTTAGACGGGGCTTTGCGTCGTGAACTGAAACAGTTGGTGAGGAGGCAGTCTAATGCTACTTTGCTTGATGTCCGGGGAGAGGCGATCCGGTGGGAACGAGAGGGCTTGCCAGGGGGCAGCAGGGGTCGAAGTCATTCTGTCCCTTCAGCTTTCGGTCTCCAGTGCGGGGTACAGAGTGGCTCCCTGGGAGCAACCACCCCATCTCAGGGGCGGGATTTGGCAGAGATGAGAGAGTTGCTGAGACGGCAGCAAGATCAGCTGAACCAACTAGCACAAAGTATTTCTGCCTTACAGAACCCTCCTCTGCGCCGCCCAACAGCCGGGCCACTATGCAAGTGAGTGTGATGGAGTTCGGGTCCCCGCTAGTGCACAGTCTTCTTTGCCTGCTCATCAACCCTCTAACAGGCAGTTCCACCAGTCCCAGTCGGAAAACTAGCACCCGCCGAACTGCAGAGCCACAGTTCGGAGGGGGTAGCCACTGGCTCAGAGGAAGTTGTCGAGCTCATGTCATCTTGTCCCCATGTGGATGTGGACATGGGTGGAGCCCAGGTCCCTTGCTTGGTGGACACCGGGTCCATGGTGTCTACAGTTACAGAAAGCTTTTTCCTCGAGCATTTCCAGGCCTGGGGGCATGAGAGGCTCCGAGCTTGCAATTGGCTGAAGCTCAGAGCAGCCAATGGGTTGGACATCCCCTATGTGGGCTATCTGGCGCTAGATGTGGAGCTTTGTGGCACTGTAGTGCCGCGCTGTGGTGTCTTGGTCGTTAAAGACCCTCCTGGAGGGGTGTCTTCTCAGGTTCCTGGCATCCTGGGGATGAACATCATTCGCCGGTGTTATGGAGTGCTGTTTGGGCAGCATGGGTCGGCCTTGTTCAAATTGCCCTCTGTATCTAGTGCACCCGAGTTTGTCACACAGGCACTGCAGAAGTGTCATCAGGTGGGTGGGAAAGCTCCTCCGGGTTCATTGGGTCAGGTCAAGGTTCGGGGTGGAAGGACATGGCGTATCCCTGGTGGTACAATGAAGATTGTTGAAGCAACCTGCTCAGAACAGAACTCGGGTACCAGTGCTTTGTTTGAGCCCTCTGAGTCTGGCCTTCCTGCTGGCTTGCTCGCCTCACCAGCTTTGGTTCGGGTGGTCCGAGGCACTGCATACATTCCAATCGTGAATGTTGGTTCTATTTCATACCTTCTAACCGCCAGAGGCAGTGTATAAACACTGGTGGATAACATCGCGCGCATGCGCAGAGGTCGAAATCTAATGTCAACATTGTCACGTGTGACCCTGTGCGCCCGTACGTGCACGCGTACGTTGTCTATATGGGTATGACGCGCACAAGGATCTTCCTCTTTTCATCTTTTCGCTCAGAAGCGCACACAGGTCAACAGCAGCAGCTTCGTTTGGGGTCTCGTTAACCAAACCTAATGGTACGGTGGGAGCCGCGGCTATCCGCCCTCCTAGGGACTGCGTTGACTGCTAAGTTTATCCTGTTCAAGTTGGAAGTATATGGTAAGTAAACGGCTAGCGATAGCCAACCACTAAGGCCAACGAGAAAGCGTTCTCCGCTTCTTGGAGTTAGTGTTGAATGTTGCTTTCTTTACCCTGCTCGGGAGGGAGTGAAAGCATAGGGTAAGTAAACGGCTAGCGATAGCCAACCGCTAGCACTGAAAGTGTTTTACGCTTCGCATAGCTAGAATTGTATATTGTTGTGACCCACGTTGGCCCTGTCTGTCGTTCATTGGCGTCAATAGCGTTTTCCGCTACACAGCTGTGGTTAACCCTGCACGGCAGTAGTGTACGGGTAAGTTGTTTGTGAACTGAACGGGCGTGGGTCGGTAACTACTGTTAGAGAGAGCGTTGTCCGCTCCGTAATCTAACGGGGACCATTGTTTGCTGTTGGTTACAGCATTACTCGGGCTCGTGGGTTAAACCTTTGAGAGCGGTATTCGCTCCCGCTGTTGTGGTCGCGCTGTACCGTGGTTGGATACTTGTACGCGCTGCTCGCTTGCCTCAAGGGTAGTGGAGAGTGGGGTCCGCTCCACCCCCGCCCCCCTCGCTGCTACATCACGGTGCGGTGCTGGGAGTACGGAGAGCGTTTCACTGTGGTAGGTTGTCACCAGTCATGAATAACGCGTGCTCACAGTGTTCTGCAGCTTTGGATACACAAGATGGCCATGACTTGTGCCTGCACTGTCTGGGCATTGACCATCTTAAGCAAGCTCTGACAGAGGAGGCTTGCGTGAACTGTAGCTGCATGGCTTTAGCTGAGAGGAAGGCACGGCTAGCAGTGGCTGAGGGCAGTGAGTTGCCTCTCTCAGGGAGGCCAGTCTTGAGCCCAGTGAAGGGGGTGTCTAGAAGTAGGCGCACCTTCAAGAAAGCAGTGGCTTAGAAGCCAGATGCTAGGAAGAGCCCGGTGGAGGAGCCTTCCAGAAATAGGCGCTCGTTCACTGACCCAGTGGCTGAGAGGACCGACGCCAGTAAGGGCCGTCGGGGGACGGCTTCTGGGGAAGGCAAGAGGAGCCATCAAGAGGCGACTAGTGGGGGAGCCACAGACGCAAAAAAGAGGCGTAGGGAAACCCAGCACCCTCCATCGCCTACTCAGGCCCGGCACCCCCCGTTGCACGCGGGGCAATCCACACCGCAGAGCCACACAGTGGATTCACTAGCAGCTGAATTTGCCCAGATTAAGGCCCTCCTTTATCACTTACAGCCTGGGACTACGGTGGCAGCAGGGGCTCCTACTACAACAGCTGCTACCCTAGCGCCCCAGCCACAAGCTAGACAGCTGCACTTCAATCAGGCAGCGTGGGCGGCTAACCTGAGGGACGAGGACGCCCTGTCCATTGCGGCCTCAGACACTCTTTTTGCAGAGGAGGTGTCAGAATACGAGGGCCCGGATGAGGAGGACCCTCGCTCAGAGGCAGGGTCCGAGGGAAGTGCTGCCCAGGAGGCTGGTAGTACTTCGGCCATAGCAGACCTTCAGCTGGCCCTGTCACAGTTGGGCATTGGCAAGCCTGAGGAAGAGGCCCAGCCTCCCAATGCTTATTTTGGAAAGGGTTCCGAACCTCCTTTCAGGGTACCACCTTCTAGCGCTTTCATCGCAGAGCTACACTCGTGTTGGTCGGATCCAAAATTGGATCGGTGCCCGTCCCAAGACTGCAGGACCATGGGAGCCATGGCGGGTGCTGCGCAGTTTGGGTTGGAACGTATGCCAGCAGTAGAGAATCCTGTTGCTTCCTTGGTGGTGTCACCTGATGAGGCCCTCAGTCAGAATCCTCGGTGCCCACTAGCACAATGCAGGCTTACTGATGAGTACATCACTCATGCCTATGAGTCGGCAGCACGGGCGGCTCGCGTGGGCAATTCACTTTCCCACCTTATTCTGGCCCTGGATAAGTCTATTGCGGATGCAGGGGCTGACCACGCCACGCAGAGCCTGAGTGAAGCCTCACTCAGAGCCTTCGCTTACATGGCTAAGGACCTTGGGAAAGTGATGTCGAACCTGACCCTGGCTCGTCGTCAGGTTTGGCTTGCCCAGGCCCCTGTGTCTCGACAGTGTAAGAAAAAACTCTGCAAACTGCCTGTCGTTCCAGGCCAGATATTTGGGGCCCCAGCTCAGGAGGCCCTGGACCGATGCATTGAGGCAGCGAAGGCCAAGCGTCAGTTCGCAGACTTGCGCCAGACACCGGCACAGCATGCAAGGGGCAGGGACACTCAGCGTGGGGGTCAGAGCTTTCCAGCGACGGTTCGCTCCTCATTCCCGCGGGGCCAGGTCCAGCGAGACCCTCCACTGCCTTCATTTAAACAGCTCAGAGGCAGGGCTCCCAAACGTGGGGCCCCTGCCAACCGTGTGTCTAGACATTCCACAGGCCGGGGGGGTCGAGCGTGACTCCCCCGACCTAGGCCCCAGCCGGTTCACCCCGGAACATCTGAGCCGCTGGGAAGCCTTGACTTCGGACCCCTGGGTACTTTCCACCATATCCAGAGGTTACAGACTCCAGTTCAGATGTCGACCCCCAATGTTCACCGGGGTAACCGTGGTCGACGACCTGCGGCGGGCTCAGGCCCTCAGGCAGAAAATTTCAGAGCTCCTAGAGAAGGAAGCCATAGAGAGTGTACCCGATTCAGCTCAGCTAGGAGGGTTCTACTCGATTTATTTTCTTATTACAAAGAAGGATGGCGGGTTTCGACCGATCCTCGACCTCAGGAACCTGAACCAATTCCTGAGGATTTTTCGTTTCCGGATGCTGCGCAGTGGACATTCTGCAGGCTGTGGCAGCAAAGGACTGGTTCACAACTATCGATTTAAAAGATGCCTATTTCCACGTGCCAATAGCGCCACACCACAGGCAATTCCTCCGCTTCGCCTTCGAGGGGCAGGTGTATCAGTTCCGGGTCCTTCCCTTCAGCCTCTCACTCAGCCCCCGGGTCTTCACCAGGTTCGTGGCAGCGGTGCTGGCCCCATTGCAGGACAGGGGCATGCGGATTCTCCCCTATTTAGACGACTGGCTGGTGTGCGCCTCGACCCAAGGGCAGGCACTCGACCACACATCTACCCTTCTGGCTCATGTGGCGCAGCTGGGGCTCACAGTAAACCTCGCCAAGAGCTCGTTGATTCCCAGTCAGGACAAGGTTTTCATTGGAATTTCCCTCGACTCAGTGTCGATGCTGGCCTATCCCTCTCCACAACGAGTGGACAACATTCTGGAGCTGGTGTCTCGTGTGAGGCGAAGCAGTACAATCACATATCGTCTGCTCCTCAGGTTGCTGGGCATGTTGATTTCGGTATCCAGGATTGTGCCGCTGGGACTCCTGTCAGTGCGTCCACTACAGGTGTGGGTCAACAGTCTCGGCCTCGACCCCGGGAAGCACAAGGGGAGGCTGGTAAGGATCTCCAGCCGGCACCGTCAATTGTTAGATCCATGGAGACGAAGGGAGAGCCTGTGCCGGGGTGTCCCCTTGGGCTCGCTGCCCTCCCGTCGGGAACTAGTGGTAACGGACGCCTCCCTCTCAGGCTGGGGGGCCTTATGGGAGCACAGGGCAGTCAGAGGGTCCTGGGGCCCTCTGGAGAGGCTCCATCATATAAACGTGCTCGAGCTGCGGGCAGTGTACCTGGCCCTCAGACATTTCCTTCCGGTCCTAAAAGGGAAACATGTCCTTATCAAATCGGACAATGCGTCGACAGTGTACCACATAAACCATCAGGGTGGCGTCAGGTCCAGGAAGTGTTTGCTGGAGGCCCAGAGGCTCCTCCAGTGGGCTTTTCCTCACTTTTGCAGTCTCAGCGCAATGTATCTACTGGGGGTCCTCAACCAGGCGGCAGATATGCTATCCAGGCAGGCCCCTCCGCCGGGAGAGTGGAGACTGAACCCTTCCGTGGTCCAACAGATCTGGGAAAGGTACGGGAGAGCAGAAGTGGATCTGTTCGCTTCAAGCGAATCAACACACTGCCAGCAGTGGTTCTCCCTATCCGATCCAGCCAGCCCATTGGGACAGGATGCGTTTGCTCACCCATGGCCTCGAGACTGCCTTCTATACGCCTTCCCTCCATTTCCATTGATCATGCTGACGCTTCACAGAATAGCCGTGGGTGGTCATACGGTGGTGCTGGTGGCTCCTCACTGGCCGGGGAGGGTCTGGTTCCCCATGATCAGGCAGCTTCTCGACGGAACACCCTGGGCCCTCCCGCGGAGACAAGACCTCCTTTCACAAGTGGCGGGCCGCATTTGGCATCCCCAGCCAGGTCGCCTTCAGCTTCATGTATGGCCCCTGAGGGGCCGGGGTCACTATTAGAGTCATGTGATCAGGAAGTTGTCCAAGTCCTGCTTAATGCCCATGCACCCTCTACTAGGGTGCTTTATGCCAACAGATGGAGGCTATTCTGTGCTTGGTGTGAGGCCCAGCACGTGGACCCAGTCAGGTGCTCGGTGCCCATTCTTCTGCGGTATATTCACACGTTGAGGGATAAGGGACTCTCGGCCTCTACATTGAAGGTGTACATTGCCACCATTTCAGCTCGGCATGTCCCGGTGGACGGTCGAACGGTGGGAGCTCACCCTTTGGTGAGCCGCTATCTGAGGGGAGTGCTCAGATTGCATCCTCCATACGCTACTAGAGTGCCCTCGTGGGATCTGCCTATTGTCCTGGAAGCCCTATGTTCTGCTCCATTTGAGCCACTGGAGCGGGCCAATCTAAAGTGGCTGTCAGTTAAAACTGCCTTTCTCCTTGCAATCACATCTGCCAAGCGAGTGGGGGAACTACATGCCCTTTCTGTAGCTAGGGACTGCGTAAGGTGGGCCTCAGATGGCTCTTGCGTCACTTTGTGGCCTAACCCCTCTTTCCTTCCGAAAAGGATTTCAGCCTTCCACATTAACCAGCCTATCACACTGTCAGCTTATACCTCGCACCCAGGATTGAGTCCCGAGGGGCGATTGTGTCCAATTCATGCCTTGAGGCAGTATATTGATGGCACGGCGGAGCTTCGGAAGTCGGACGCTCTTTTTCTCTGCTATGGGGGGCATAGAAAAGGTTATGCTCTATCTAAGCAACGTCTTGCTCACTGGATTGTGGATGCCATTTCACAGGCTTATGTACGCAAGGGACTGCCGGCCCCTCCAGTGAAGTGTCACTCCACCAGGGGGGTTTCCACCTCCTGGGCGGCATTGAAGGGGGTTCCGCTGACCGACATCTGTGCAGCGGCTACATGGGCTTCCTCCTGTACGTTTGCCCGTTTCTATCGGATGAATGTGGCTGCTCCTCAACTGGTCCAGAAGGCCGTGTTATCGGCCTCTTCAACCTGCAACTGACGGTTGGTGAGTGCAGGTTCCTCGTGACCATGTTGGTATACGTTATCCACCAGTGTTTATACACTGCCTCTGGCGGTTAGAAGGAATGAAATAGAACGAGAGTTATGCATATAACTAAGGTTCTATGAATACCGGATAACCGCCAGAGTTATCTGTCACTCGAAACCTCGGCGAAAAGATTTTCACGAGGAAGATCCTTGTGCGCGTCATACCCATATAGACAACGTAAGCGTGCACGTACGGGCGCACAGGGTCACATGTGACAATGTTGACATTAGATTTCAACCTCTGCGCATGCGCGCGATGTTATCCACCAGTGTTTACACACTGCCTCTGGCGGTTATCCGGTATTCATAGAACCGTAGTTATATGCATAACTCTCGTTCCACTAGTGTCCTTTTGTACCCTCGCACTGTCGTTGGCAGCCTGGATGAGGTCCGGGTTGTCAGCCTGCCAGCTGGAGTTTCAGAGATCCCTTCAGATGTCGCCACGGTGGCTTCCCAGGCCGCGTCCGAGGCTGTGCCAGATCAGGTTGGGGCCCTGGATCTGTCAGCCTTGTCAGCCGAAGGCCGAGGGAAGGTGCAAACTCTTCTCAGGCAGTACTCCTCTGTCTTTTCAGCCCATGAGGGAGACTTGGGATGTACCAACCTGATCAGTCATGATATTCCTCTCTTGGACGACGTGCCCGTCAGACAGCGCTATAGACGCATTCCGCCGTCCGAGTATGAGGTGGTTAAAGACCACATTAACCAGCTGCTTGAAGTGCAGGTCATACGAGAAAGTGGCAGCCCGTATGGCTCCCCGATTGTGTTGGTGAAAAAGAAAGATGGCAGTCTACGCATGTGCGTTGACTACCGCCAGCTCAACAGCAAAACCAGGAGGGATGCTTTTCCCCTCCCCCGCATCGAGGAATCTTTGGATGCCCTCACAGGGGCCCGCTGGTTTTCCACTCTCGATCTGGCCAGCAGGTACAATCAGGTTCCGGTCACTGAAGCAGACAGGCACAAAACCGCTTTTTGTACTCCCTTCGGCTTGTTCGAATGGAACCGCATGCCCTTTGGGCTCTGTAATGCTCCCAGCACTTTTCAGAGGTTAATGCAGCGACTGTTTGGTGATCAACAATGTCAGTCGCTGCTCCTTTACCTCGATGACATCATGGTCTTCTCCTCCACAGTGGAGCAGCATCTGGAGAGGCTGGAGGTGGTACTGGGGCGGTTACAAGAGCAAGGCCTCAAGGCCAAGCACAACAAATGTGCATTCTTCCAGCGGGAGGTTTGATACTTGGGCCATGTTGTTTCTGACCAGGGGGTATCCACAGATCCCAGCAAGGTCGAGGTGGTTGCCAACTGGCAGCCTCCTGCCACCATTTCCGACCTACGCTCCTTTCTTGGGTTTGCCAGTTATTATCGGCGCTTTGTGGAGGGGTTCGCTAACTTAGCGGCCCCTCTACATAAGCTGGTGGCCGAATTAGCTGGTAGGAAGTCCAAGGGGGCGGAGCGAGCAGTCACAGAGCATTGGTCAGAGGAGTGCCAGCGCAATTTTGAAGCATTGAAGACCAAACTTACCACGGCACCGGTGCTTGCCTATGCCGATTTCTCCTCTCCTTTCATCTTAGAGGTAGATGCAAGCTACGGTGGTCTTGGAGCTGTGCTCTCCCAGGAACACAATGGGAAGGTCAGGCCCATAGCCTATGCAAGCAGGGGGTTGAGGCCCACAGAGCGCAACATGTCGAATTACAGTTCCATGAAGTTGGAGTTTCTGGCTCTTAAGTGGGCTATGTCGGAAAAATTTCGCGACTACCTGCTTGGTCATAAATGCATCGTATACACCGACAATAACCCACTCAGCCATTTGTCTTCTGCTAAACTTGGAGCCACTGAGCAGCGTTGGGCCGCTCAGTTGGCTGCATTTGATTTTGAGATAAAATATCGCTCTGGGAGAAGCAACAAAAATGCTGATGCCCTGTCTAGAAAGCACCAACCTGAACCACTGGACCTAGCCATCATGGCCCCTGGTACCTCGCTTCCTGAGCCTTTGCGGGTAGCTTTGCGGCACGAAACCACTCTAGCCACCCAAGCTACCATTGCTGCTCTACCACACCATTCCGGTCATCCAGGAAGTTGAGGAGTTCTGGGGGCAGCAGCGGCGTCCAAACTATCGGGAGCGGAAGCCCTTGTCCCAGCCGGCACTTACCCTCCTAAGCCAGTGGAGTCGACTGGTAGATCAGGATGGAGTCCTTTTCCGGCGTATCTTCCGCCCTGATGGCGCTGAAGCAGTTTTGCAACTCCTCTTGCCTGCTGCGCTGAAACAAGAGGTGCTGGCTCAGGTGCATCAAGGGCATGGACATCAAGGTGTGGAGAGGACATTGGAGCTGTTGCGTCAGAAGTGCTATTGGCCTGGTATGTCTGCAGAGGTGGCACAGTGGTGCAGAGAATGTGAGCAGTGTCAAGTTGCCAAAGACACACACAGACCTGCTCCTAGCTTCATGGGGCATTTGACGGCTTCTTGTCCAAATGAAATCTTGGCTTCACTTTGTTGGAACCTAGCCAGAATGGGATGGAAAATGTCTTAGTCATGACTGATGTTTTCAGTAAATACACCTTGGCTGTTCCTACCCAGAACCAACGGGCCTCTATGGTGGCTCAGGTTTTGGTCTCGGAATGGTTCTATAAGTTTGTGGTTCCTGCTCGTGTCCACTCTGATCAGGGCCGCAACTTTGAGAGTTCCCTCATTCAACAGCTCTGTGTCCTTTATGGTATTGTGAAGTCCCGCACCACTCCTTACCATCCGGCCGGTAACGGCCAATGCCAACGCTTCAACCGCACTCTTCACAACTTGTTGCGTGCCTTACCTGTGTCACGGAAACGAGATTGGCACTCCTGTCTGCCACAGGTGCTCTACTCGTATAACACAACCCCCCATCAGTCAACTGGCGAGTCTCCATTCTACCTGATGTTCGGGCAAGAACCCAGGTTGCCAGTTGATTTCCTTTTGGGCAGAGTTCCAGAACCTGTGGGCGGTGAGGTCCATGAGTGGATCTAAGAACATCAAACCAGGCTCCAGCTTGCCTTTGAAGGGGCACGGGAAAGGATAAAGCTTGCGGCCGAGCGCCGAGGGAAAAACCATGATCGTCATGTCAGGGAAGACCCACTAAAGGTGGGACAACTGGTGTGGTTGCGTGACCATAGTGCGAGAGGACGCCACAAAATTCAGGATCTGTGGGGCCCTGTGGTGTACAGAGTCATACGGACGCCCCAACAGGGAGGTTCTGTGTACACCATCGCACCAACTAGCGACCAGACTAAGGTTCGGCAGATTCATCGCAACCTGTTGAAACCTGTGGCCGGAGCTGCCCTTCAGGGAGGTGCAGTTTCCCTATCCTCCCCTTCTCCTGATCATCCTCCATCAGATGATGAGCGGTCATGTGATGGGGACCTGTTTGTCTTGGGGCCGGGAATCCCTATCACCGCCCCTGCTCGTACAGCTGTGGTCACTCAAACCACCCCTCGGTTGTTATTGCCACCGCCGGACCACATTGATCCGGGGCCTTCCAGCATCACCCCTGCTGCTACTGCAGTGGTCCATGCAGTTCCTTTGGTGGGGCCCTCAACCAGTCATTCTGGTGAAGGTGCAGTCCGCCGATCAGCCAGGTCAACGGCTAGTCACCATTCAAATGTGCATCACCTTCCGAGGCCCGTACAGGGTTTACCCCCTGCTCCAGTGTCCAGTGCCGTCACAGCATTCTATCGGCCATGGGACTAGTAGTGCCATTCCGTAGTGTTAGTCGTTCAATCGTCGGGGCGACGATTCAATTGCTGGGGGTAGAATGTGGCAGTATGGGCCGACAGCCCGGCTGTACCTTGATTAGGCTGCAGTCTCGGCCTTTGCCTTCAGGGGGCATAGTCTTTAAATGTGGGTGCTTGCTCCCTGGGAGCCCTCTCCCTCTGCTCAGAGCTCTTGTCAGCTGTGCTCTCTCGGTATAATCACAACACCTGATCGCCTCGCTGCCGGACTGTGCTGTGTGCTCAGTTCGCTGCTCCTGGTATGTCAATCACATACTTTCTTGCATCGCTTTATTGCGGTTGCCGTCAGGGTTGGCTTTTGTCTCCAACAGTTCCTCACTGGGTCTTCTCTCTCCTGCATCGAACCGATTGCAGGACCCAGAGTGTGTCTTCCTGCATCCCCACACAGCTGGGGTTGGTCAGCTGAGTGGCCTCTGATTGTTCTGTGGCGCTGCGGGTGCCTCGTTCCCTCGCCCTCGTGAGGTTCATTCAACTTTCTGACGGTATGTGTTTAAATGACTGCAACTCATGCTATCATTATTAAGCCGTGGTGCTAAATTATATCTTTCTCACATTAGGTTTTGTGTGTGTGTGAGCCGGTCGGGCTGCCCTAAACTCTCCTCCCTCCTCTCGGCCTGCTATCGGCTGTGCTGCTGTTCTGCTTCTGTGCTGCTGTCGGCTTCGGTGCTGCTGTCGGCTTCTGGGCTGCTGGTTTGCCACTGTGCTGCTGCTGTGGTTGTTTCTGCTACCACTGCTGCCTGCTTTACTGTACTCCTGTCTCATTGCCTTTGGTAAGGCCGTCACTATCGCCATCTAACTTTGATTTGATGGCGTTCTGCTTCATGTGAGGTGACGTCAACACCCTTGGGACTAAGTTTTATTTTGGCAACCTGTTGCCTCAGCTTCCTCATTTTGTTGGCATTTAGTCTATTATGGTTTAAACCATTTGATATTATTTTGTGATTTGAGTGTTTTTGTGTTTTTTTTTCTCCAGTTTGAGTACTTTGTTTTGTTAGTTATTAGTATTTGGTTTATTTGCATGTTTGTTTGGTTTGGTCATTTCTAAATATTTTGAGTTATTTTGGTATTTGTGGTTTATTTTTGATTTAACCAGGATTTGCTATTTGCACATCAATTTTATAGGCAACATTGTTGCTATAGCTAAGAGAAGTGTGTGTGTGTTTGAGTGTGAATGAGTGCGGATGAGTGAGTGAAAAAATATTTTATTAACTTTGTTATTGGTGAAAATTGTCAAATAAAATTCAAACGTATTTTTACACTGGACCACGGCCTCCGGTCTTCACTGGCAGACGAACCTGTGTGTGCCCTAGCTTTATATTCAGGGGTAATTTTACTCTCCAGGTGAAATTCCTGGGGTGGCGTTGTCAGCAACAAAATCAATTCGTATTCAGTAATCAGTAGTTGATTGGTGAATCGGTAAATAGGGGTTACAGTATTTTACTACATCTTCTCCCAAATTCCATTCTCGGTTAACCCCGCCCCCGGCTGCCACAGAAGTAACGTACCCTGTCATGGCAATAAAAAATATGAGGCATGTATGAGATAATAATTTATCATCATTAGCAACTTATTGATTAATGATTTATTCAAACTTCAACCACTGTCCACTAATCCGTGGCAGCGCTGTTCAGCGCCACCATAATCCTGCTCCAGACAGGAGTTTTCTGGACTGCTTTTATACCAGGTTTAATGCTTCCAAAGAGAAAATCCTTGTTAGTTTCCACCACAGACGCGAGGATATCCACTTTCAGCTCTGAAAAAAAAATATTTCTTCTCTTTCATGTTTGACCTCAGTGGGCGAGGCTTCTGAGCCACGAATATTTAAGGGCGTAAACATGTTAATGACGATCGATTTTTAGCCGCCGCATTTATCAAGACCCGATCATACGTATGCTGGGATTGGTCAGATACGAACCCTTTCATAAATCTCACGTGTGTCCTATCGTACGATGAATCCTGCACTCAGATCTTCGCTCAGATCTGCGCAAGCTTGATAAATGAGGGCCAATGTCTCTGTATAAGAGGAGCAGGATGACTGTGAGGATGATGACTGCTTCCAGGATAAGGAAGGAGGTTTGAGGTTTAATGACAGATCTCTTTGTCAAAAGCGGGAGACAGCTTACTTGTGAGGATTCAAAGGAGGTAAATAGGCCTTCAACATTTACATTCTTTCGTTACACCAGATACTTTTTCTACTTTAATAACATGAATTTAATCAGTGTAGAGCTTTGCCTAAAACACGATCCTGACCTTGACATCAAACTAATTTTAACCTCTCAGAGTAAACCCTCCTGAGTGTCTGCAGCTCGTTCCTGCTCATGTCCCTGATGGAAGCTTTAAAGTTGCTGAACGGGTTGTGGCTTTGCTTCAGGCGTCCAATACGGGGAGGAAATGTACTCCCTCTTCACTCTTCACACTTTCCCCTCTGCACACTCAGTTGCAGACACAGTCTTGAACAGTTTAACTCCTCTCAGACAGTTTGAAAGTCTAATGCCTCAGTCAATAGCCGCCATTTAATGTAATCCTCGCCTTTCTCTGACTCTGTAAAGTTGGTTGGATTTAAGGAGTATCCAGCTCCACTCTGTAGCTTCTGTTTTTGGTCAGTACTTTCTTTAAGGAGAGCCTTATAGTCTGTCGCCTGAATGCAAAGACATTCAGATTTGATGACAACGTTTATAAGCTTCATGCATTATTGAGAGCTGCCCGTGGTCTGAAAAAAAGAGCAGTGCTGGTGTAGTCAAACATCAGCTGACTGACGGAGACTAAGATATTTTCCTCTCAGCTCCTTGGAGCAGAGACTGAAAGTTTATTAACCTTAGTGTGTGCACCCAAACAGATTGGTCGTACTTATGGAAGAGCTATCTGACATATTGAATAGCCTGAAGGGAGCAACATGATGACAGAGCAGCAGTGCAGACAGAGGGAACTTAAACTTAAATTCTGCGGGTCTGCAGGGGGAGAACCTGAACAGAGACTGGACTATCAGCGGCTGCCAACAGGGTCAGCTAATTTAAGAAATAAAAATAAGATCTCTTCCATGTGATTTGTTGTTGTCTGATCAACCAGCATGACTTGACACATAGTATGACTCTTATGATGGCTAACAACCAAAGACGTTTCTGGTTTACCTTAAAATGGGTGCAAGTTAATGGTATTTTCCAAAACTTAAGCATGTACACTGGGTTTTATGCAGGCAAACCCTGATCAAGAGGTGCACTGCCATTGAGCACACAGTTATTTATTTATTTATTAGCTACTGCAGCTGGACTGTTATGATGATGCAGCTTTTTGATTAGCTTGTTTTCAAGTACAAGGACAATATTTACAATTTTGTTTCATTAAAGCTCTTGCAAGGAGTTTTTTTATGTGCACTAAAGTAACAGTAATTAACTAGGGCCCCGTTGGGGCACTGGCGGGCCCGAGCTGTGTCCCCCCCCCCCCCCCCAACGCGCTGCCTCCCCGTCCCATTCGCGTCCTCTGGCCATCGTCCTCTCTGGTAACGCCCATCACTGCAAAGACCCTTTTCCTTCATCAGCGTTTGCTGTTCTTCCTGCCAGTGCGTGTTGCTTTCACTTACACTTGCCACAGCCAGCCTCGTGAGTGCCTAGCCTATTGGATATCACTGTCACCTACACAGGACAGTCATTACCTTTCTATTAATACTTTGTTTTTTAATTTCACATTAATTTCCATATTGTGTAAATGACTGGAAAAAACTTGAGCCCCTGCCCCTGTATAATCATGTGCACGTCCCTGTTCTCGCGCCAAGGTGAATCTTCACTGCTCATGTTCTCCTCAGAAGCAGTCACCTCACTCCCCTAAGGTTACTGTACACATGCACCAACTGCTTGCTTCAGGTTTGCATGGAGCTTCATGGTTGTCTTTTGGAGAAATGAGCAGTCAAGTTGTGTTTGAAATTTGATTTTTTTCAGGGGCAAAAGGAAGCCTCTGCATTGTTGTCAAATATGTAAATAGCATGTTTTTGCAGGTGCTAAAAAACAGACTCTGAGTGTGTGTGTGTGTGTGTGTGTGTGTGTGTGTGTGTGTGTGTGTGTGTGTGTGTGTGTGTGTGTGTGTGTGTGTGTGTGTGTGTGTGTGTGTGTGTATCCTGCAGTACTCTGTACTCCTGCAGTGGCCAAAACGACTTTTAAGAATGTGGATTTTTGGGTCATCTTTGGCGCCCCCTAGAACGTAAACCATGGGGTGCAGCGGCATGATTTTTACAACTTTTAATGGCCATGGGGTGTAGATTGGCCTGAGCAAATTTGGTGTCAGTGGGACGAAAGCCTTAGGAGGAGTTAGCCACATTCCAATGTGTGCGAATGGGCAAAAAATGCGAAATAGCCCTTTAGCCGTACATTTTACAGATACGTGCCCATTGACTTTTTCGTAGATCTTATTGAGATACACGTGTGTGTCAAATTTTTTGTCAATATGACAAAGCGTACAGGCGTGAATCTCAACAATGTGTATTTTCACCTTAGGGGACAAGAAAAAATTGACTTTTTTGTCCTGCCATGGGGGGGCGCTCTTTTGGGGAGTCAAAATTCCTTCACAAATGTGTTGATGGCTGGACATTGCATCATCCTAGAGAACTTGGAGGCCAGTGAGGACAAAAATAAAAAGTTATAAGACTTTTAAGAATGTGGATTTTTGGGTTTTGGATGGAGCTTCATGGTTGTCTTTTGGAGAAATGACCAGTCAAGTTGTGTTTGAAATTTGATTTTTTTCAGGGGCAAAAGGAGCCTCTGCATTCTTGTCAAATATGTAAATAGCATGTTTTTGCAGGTGCTAAAAAACAGACTCTGAGTGTGTGTGTGTGTGCGTGTGTCTGTGTGTGTGTGTGTGTGTGTGTGTGTGTGTGTGCGTTCAAGTCACATGACATATTTAACTGGATGTAGCTGCAAGACGGAGCCTCATTGACTCTCCGTTTCAACTTCTCTCAAAAGTGAGGACCTCAACCTATATACCAGTTTTTAAATTGTGTTGATAGGCCAAATAAAACCAGAGTTATGATAAATTATGTCCGCGATACTTGTTTTCTGCTTATTTTGATCACGTTCGGCGCTCGTTCGCGCTGTATGAGACAGGAAAACATAGCATGCAGACATTAGCGACAGGTCTTACAGGCGGAAAAGGCTTGCCAAAGGAAAAAAAAAACACACCACAACATCTCTCCTATTGGTGGAAAACTTCACCACAACAACAAATCCAAAATTATATGGTGACTGATTGACAAGGGGCGGGCGCTTACGTTCTTCCTGCAATATGAGAAGGGAGGGAGGGACTCTCAGCAGGGATGCAGTCTGGGACACGTAGTTGCAAACCTAGCGACTTTGTTGTTAGATTCAATGACTTTTCAGACCCCCTAACGACTTTTTTTTAGAAAGAAAGTGACTTTTATCGACTTCTTCTGGAGTTTAGAGACTCTGACAATAAGCAGGCTTTCCTTACTGAGGAGTTAGCAACGCTGCTAAGGGTGCAGAGCCACACATGCGCTCCGAGCTCTGCATGGGAGACTGAAGCTGACAGAGCTGCAGCAGTTAGCAGGTTTCACCCTCAGAGACCACCAGGGGTTCATGTTGAGGCATTTTCAGTTTTTTTTTTTTTTTTGCCATAGACACTGTCAGCACAATCTGCAGTTACACTAACAAAAATGCTGCAAAAAACAAAGAATTATGGAAAAATTACACATGGACTAACATAGAGGAGGATCTACACAAGTTTTTTACATCATGTTTTACATCATGCATCATTTACATCATGTTTTTTTGTAGTGGCATAAATAAAAAGTGACATTTGTGAGACTATACAGTGTTTTGTAAATAATTTGGTGCCGGTGGAACGAAAGCCTTAGGAGGAGTTAGCCACATTCCAATGTGTGCGGATCAGCAAAAAATGCGGAATAACCCTTTAACCGTACATTTGACAGATACGCGCCCATTGACTTTTTCGTAGATCTTATTGAGATACATGTGTGTGTCAATTTTTGTGTCATTTTGCCAAAGCGTAAAGGCGTGACACTCAACAATGTGTATTTTCACCTTAGGGGACAAGAAAAAATGGACTTTTTTCTCCTGCCATGGGGGGGCGCTCTTTTAGGGAGTCAAAATTCCTTCACAAATGTGTTGATGGCTGGACATTGCATCACCCTAAAAAATTTGGAGGCCAGTGAGGGCAAAAATAAAAAGTTATAAGACTTTTAAATATGTGGATTTTAGGGTTATCTTTGGCGCCCCCTAGAACCTAAACCGTGGGGTGCAGCGTCATGATTTGAATAACTTTTAATGGCCATGGGGTGTAGATTGGCCTGAGCAAATGTGGTGCCGGTGGAACTAAAGCCTTCGGAGGAGTTAGCGAAATTCCAATGTGTGCGGATCGGCAAAAAATGCGGAATAACCCTTTAACTGTACATTTTACATATACGTGGCCATTGACTTTTGCGAAGATCTTATTGAAATACACGTGTATGTCAAATTTTGTGTCATTTTGACAAAGCGTACAGGCGTGACACTCTACAATGTGTATTTTCACCTTAGGGGACAAGAAAAAATTGACTTTTTTCTCCTGTCATGGGGGGCGCTCTTTTGGGGAGTAAAAATTCCTTCACAAATGTGTTGATGGCTGGACATTGCATCATCCTAGAAAACTTGGAGGCCAGTGAGGGCAAAAATAAAAAGTTATAAGACTTTTAAATATGTGGATTTTAGGGTTATCTTTGGCGCCCCCTAGAACCTGAAACCGTGGGGTGCAGCGTCATGATTTGAATAACTTTTAATGGCCATGGGGTGTAGATTGGCCTGAGCAAATGTGGTGCCGGTGGAACTAAAGCCTTCGGAGGAGTTAGCGAAATTCCAATGTGTGCGGATCAGCAAAAAATGCGAAATAACCCTTTAACTGTACATTAGACAGATACGCCCGCACTGACTTTTTTGTAGATCTTATTGAGATACATGTGTGTGTCAATTTTTCTGTCATTTTGACAAAGCGTACAGGCGTCACAATAGTGTGAATTTTCACCTTAGGGGGCGCTATGGAGCCATTTTGCATTTTATTGTTTGGGCGACTTCAGAATATCAAATATTTCACCAGGCCCGGTCGTCCTGCCAAATTTCATGAGTTTTCGCCAGTGGGAAGTGGGCCATTTTCCAGTTCAAAGGGGAAGAAAAAGAAAAACTAGGGCCCCGTTGGGGCACTGGCGGGCCCGAGCCGTGTCACGCCGCCCCCAGCGCGACCGCCTCCCCCACCCGATCGCGTCACACTCAAGGTCCAAAGATGGTGTGCGCACTTGTTTGTGGTCATTTACCATTATAATGAACGGGAGGCGCAGTTTCTACCAAAACGCTCGCTGCAGAAAAACTCCATGTCCTATTTGAAAAAAGTCTGGACCATGAGTGAGGGCACAAACACAGCTAAGATATATCCGAATGGCAAGTTGCTCCTCCTTTCGGTTTTGCCGAGAGAGCGATGCGTTTGAGCCATTGAGCGATGGGCAGGAAAAACTTGACTTTTTCTCCTGCCATGGGGGGCGCTCTTTTGGGGAGAAAAAATTCCTTCACAAATGTGTTGATGGCTGAATATTGCATTATCCTAGAAAACTTGGAGGCCAGTGAGGACAAAAATAAAAAGTTATAAGACTTTTGAAAATGTGGATATTTGGGTCATCTTTGGCGCCCCCTAGAACGTAAACCGTGGAGTGCAGCGTCATGATTTGTACAACTTTGAATGGCCATGGGGTGTAGATTGGCCTGAGCAAATTTGGTGCCGATGGGACGAAAGCTTTAGGAGGAGTTAGCCACATTCCAATGTGTGCGAATCGGCAAAAAATGCAAAATAGCCCTTTGACCGTACATTTTACAGATACGTGGCCATTGACTTTTTCGAAGATCTTATTGAGATACACGTGTATGTAAAATTTTGTGTCAATACGACAAAACATACAGGCGTAGCACTCAACAATGTGTATTTTCACCTTAGTGGACAAGAAAAAATGACTTTTTTCTCCTGCCATGGGGGGGCGCTCTTTTGCCGAGTAAAAATTCCTTCACAAATGTGTTGATGGCTGGACATTGCATCATCCTAGAAAACTTGGAGGCCAGTGGGGACAAAAATAAAAAGTTATAAGACTTTTAAATATGTGGATTTTACGGTTATCTTTGGCCCCCCTAGAACCTAAACCGTGGGGTGCAGCGTCATGATTTGAATAACTTTTAATGGCCATGGGGTGTAGATTGGCCTGAGCAAATGTGGTGCCGGTGGAACGAAAGCCTTCGGAGGAGTTAGCGAAATTCCAATGTGTGCGGATCGGCAAAAAATGCGGAATAACCCTTTAACCGTACATTTGACAGATACGCGCGCATTGACTTTTTCGTAGATCTTATTGAGATACATGTGTGTGTCAATTTTTGTGTCATTTTGCCAAAGCGTACAGGTGTTACACTCAACAATGTGTATTTTCACCTTGGGGACAAGAAAAAATGGACTTTTTTCTCCTGCCATGGGGGGGCGCTCTTTTGGGGAGTAAAAATTCCTTCACAAATGTGTTGATGGCTGGACATTGCATCATCCTAGAAAACTTGGAGGCCAGTGAGGGCAAAAATAAAAAGTTATAAGACTTTTAAATATGTGGATCTTAGGGTTATCTTTGGCGCCCCCTAGAACCTAAACCGTGGGGTGCAGCGTCATGATTTGAATAACTTTTAATGGCCATGGGGTGTAGATTGGCCTGAGCAAATGTGGTGCCGGTGGAACGAAAGCCTTCGGAGGAGTTAGCGAAATTCCAATGTGTGCGGATCGGCAAAAAATGCGAAATAACCCTTTAACCGTACATTTGACAGATACGCCCGCACTGACTTTTTTGTAGATCTTATTGAGATACATGTGTGTGTCAATTTTTGTGTCATTTTGACAAAGCGTACAGGCGTGACAGTCAATAGTGTGAATTTTCACCTTAGGGGGCGCTATGGAGCCATTTTGCATTTTCTTGTTTGGGCGACTTCGGAATATCAAATTTTTCACCAGGCCCGGTCGTCCTGCCAAATTTCATGAGTTTTCGCCAGTGGGAAGTGGGCCATTTTCCAGTTCAAAGGGGAGGAAAAATAACTAGGACCCCGTTGGGGCACTGGCGGGCCCGAGCCGTGTCGCGCCCCCCCCCAACGTGCTGCCTCCCCGTCCCATTTGTGTCCTCTGGCCATCGCCCTCTCTGGTAACGCCCATCACTGCAAAGACCCTTTTCCTTCATCGGCGTTTGCTGTTCTTCCTGCCAGTGCGTGTTGCTTTCACTTACACTTGCCACAGCCAGCCTCGTGAGTGCCTAGCCTATTGGATATCACTGTCACCTACACAGGACAGTCATTACCTTTCTATTAATACTTTGTGTTTTAATTTCACATTAATTTCCATATTGTATAAACGACTGGAAAAAACTTGAGCCCCTGCCCCTGTATAATCATGTGCATGTCTCTGTTCTAGCTCCAAGGTGAATCTTCACTGCTCATGTTCTCCTCAGAAGCACTCACCTCACTCCCCTCAGGTTACTGTACACATGCACCAACTGCCTGCTTCAGGTTTGGATGGAGCTTCATGGTTGTCTTTTGGAGAAATGACCAGTCAAGTTGTGTTTGAAATTTGATTTTTTTCAGGGGCAAAAGGAGCCTCTGCATTCTTGTCAAATATGTAAATAGCATGTTTTTGCAGGTGCTAAAAACCAGACTCTGAGTGTGTGTGTGTGTGTGTGCGTGTGTGTGTCTGTGTGTGCGTTCAAGTCACATGACATATTTAACCGGATGTAGCTGCAGCCTCGTTGACTCTCCGTTTCAACTTATCTCAAAAGTGAGGACCTCAACCTATATACCAGTTTTTAAATTGTGTTGATAGGCCAAATAAAACCAGAGTTATGATAAATTATGTCCGCGATACTTTTTTTCTGCTTATTTTGATCACGTTCGGCGCTCGATCGCGCTGTATGAGACAGGAAAACATAGCATGCAGACATTAGCGACAGCTCTTACAGGCGGAAAAGGCTTGCCAAAAGAAAAAAAAAACACACCACAACATCTCTCCTATTGGTGGAAAACTTCACCACAACAACCAATCCAAAATTATATGGTGACTGATTGACAAGGGGCGGGCGCTTACGTTCTTCCTGCAACATGAGAAGGGAGGGAGGGACTCTCAGCAGGGATGCAGTCTGGGACACGTAGTTGCAAACCTAGCGACTTTGTTGTTAGATTCAATGACTTTTCAGACCCCCTAACGACTTTTTTTTAGAAAGAAAGGGACTTTTATCGACTTCTTCTGGAGTTTAGAGACTCTGACATGAAGCAGGCTTTCCTTACTGAGGAGTTAGCAACGCTGCTAAGGGTGCAGAGCCACACATGCGCTCAGAGCTCTGCATGGGAGACTGAAGCTGACAGAGCTGCAGCAGTTAGCAGGTTTCACCCTCAGAGACCACCAGGGGTTCATGTTGAGGCATTTTAATTTTTTTTTTTTTGTGCCATAGACACTGTCAGCACAATCTGCAGTTACACTAACAAAAATGCTGCAAAAAACAAAGAATTATGGAAAAATTACACATGGACTGACATACAGGAGGATCTACACAAGTTTTTTACATCATGTTTTACATCATGCATCATTTACATCATGTTTTTTTGTAGTGGCATAAATAAAAAGTGACATTTGTGAGACTATACAGTGTTTTGTAAATAATTTTACAAAGAACGCCTGGGCCATTGCCTGCATTTTGATGTAAATAGAGGTAAATCACTATGTTCTTTGTTAAAAATTTGCATATGTTTTGAAGTTTACAATTTTTATTTGAAGTTTAAGTTTTAAAAACAGTTCATCACACATATTTGTGGTTTTCACAGTAAAAATGTTACTTTTTTCCACTCGGATTTTATGTTTTGTGTGTGAATTTGGGTCCATTGTGTAAATTCAGTATGTCAACATGATAAAATAACTGTAAATTCGCACAGGTGAGGTTGTGCTGAAAAAAATGATACCAGGCAAGGCACGTGATTGTCAAATTTTGTGTCAATATGACAAAGCGTATAGGCGTGAATCTCAACAATATGTATTTTCACCTTAGGGGACAAGAAAAAATGGACTTTTTTCTCCTGCCATGGGGGGGCGCTCTTTTGGGGAGTAAAAATTCCTTCACAAATGTGTTGATGGCTGGACATTGCATCATCCTAGAAAACTTGGAGGCCAGTGAGGACAAAAATAAAAAGTTATAAGACTTTTAAATATGTGGATTTTAGGGTTATCTTTGGCGCCCCCTAGAACCTAAACCGTGGGGTGCAGCGTCATGATTTTGATAACTTTTAATGGCCATGGGCTGTAGATTGGCCTGAGCAAATGTGGTGCCGGTGGAACGAAAGCCTTAGGAGGAGTTAGCCACATTCCAATGTGTGCGGATCGGCAAAAAATGCGGAATAACCCTTTAACCGTACATTTGACAGATACGCGCGCATTGACTTTTTCGTAGATCTTATTGAGATACATGTGTGTGTCAAATTTTGTGTCATTTTGACAAAGCGTATAGGCGTGACACTCAACAATGTGTATTTTCACCTTAGGGGACAAGAAAAAATGGACTTTTTTCTCCTGCCATGGGGGGGCGCTCTTTTGGGGAGTAAAAATTCCTTCACAAATGTGTTGATGGCTGGACATTGCATCATCCTAGAAAACTTGGAGGCCAGTGAGGACAAAAATAAAAAGTTATAAGACTTTTAAATATGTGGATTTTAGTGTTATCTTTGGCGCCCCCTAGAACCTAAACCTTGGGGTGCAGCGTCATGATTTTGATAACTTTTAATGGCCACGGGGTGTAGATTGGCCTGAGCAAATGTGGTGCCGGTGGAACGAAAGCCTTCGGAGGAGTTAGCGAAATTCCAATGTGTGCAGATCGGCAAAAAATGCGAAATAACCCTTTAACCGTAATTTTGACAGATACGGCCGCACTGACTTTTTTGTAGATCTTATTGAGATACATGTGTGTGTCAATTTTTGTGTCATTTTGACAAAGCGTACAGTCGTGACAGTGAATTGTGTGAATTTTCACCTTAGGGGGCGCTATGGAGCCATTTTGCATTTTATTGTTTTGGCGACTTCAGAATATCAAATTTTTCACCAGGCCCGGTCGTCCTGCCAAATTTCATGAGTTTTCGCCAGTGGGAAGTGGGCCATTTTCCAGTTCAAAGGGGAGGAAAAAGAAAAAAGAAAGAAAGAAACAAAGACTAGGGCCCCGGTGGGGCACTGTCGGGCCCGAGCCGCGTTGTGCCGCCCCCAGCGCGACCGCCTCCCCCTCCCGATCGCGTCACACTCAAGGTCCAAAGATGGTGTGCGCACTTGTCTGTGGTCATTTCCCATTATAATGAATGGGAGGCGCAGTTTCTACCAAAACACTCGCTGCAGACAAACTTCATGTCCTATTTGAAAAAAGTCTGGACCATGAGTGAGGGCACAAACACAGCTGGGATATATCCAAATGGCAGGTTGCTCCTGGATACGGTGTTGCCTGGAGAGCGATGCGATTGAGCCATTGAGCGATGGGCAGGAAAAACTTGACTTTTTCTCCTGCCATGGGGGGGGGAGAATGTGGATTCTTTTAAGAATGTGGATTTTTTGGTCATCTTTGGCGCCCCCTAGAACGTAAACCGTGGGGTGCAGCGTCATGATTTTTACAACTTTGAATGGCCATGGGGTGTAGATTGGCCTGAGCAAATTTGGTTTCAGTGGGACGAAAGCCTTAGGAGGAGTTAGCCACATTCCAATGTGTGCGAATCGGCAAAAAATGCAAAATAGCCCTCTAACCGTACATTTGACAGATACGCACCCATTGACTTTTTCGTAGATCTTATTGAGATACACGTGATTGTCAAATTTTGTGTCAATATGACAAAGCGTACAGGTGTCACACTCAACAATGTGAATTTTCACCTTACGGGACAAGAAAAAATTGACTTTTTTCTCCTGCCATGGGGGGGCGCTCTTTTAGGGAGTAAAAATTCCTTCACAAATGTGTTGATGGCTGGACATTGCATCATCCTAGAAAACTTGGAGGCCAGTGAGGACAAAAATAAAAAGTTATAAGACTTTGAAATATGTGGATTTTAGGGTTATCTTTGGCGCCCCCTAGAACCTAAACCGTGGGGTGCAGCGTCATGATTTGAATAACTTTTAATGGCCATGGGGTGTAGATTGGCCTGAGCAAATGTGGTGCCGGTGGAACGCCAGCCTTAGGAGGAGTTAGCGAAATTCCAATGTGTGCGGATCAGCAAAAAATGCAGAATAACCCTTTAACCGTACATTTGACAGATACGCGCGCATTGACTTTTTCGTAGATCTTATTGAGATACATGTGTGTGTCAAATTTTGTGTCAATATGACAAAGCGTACAGGCGTGACACTCAACAATGTGTATTTTCACCTTAGGGGACAAGAAAAAATGGACTTTTTTCTCCGGCCATGGGGGGGCGCTCTTTTGGGGAGTAAAAAATCCTTCACAAATGTGTTGATGGCTGGACATTGCATCATCCTAGAAAACTTGGAGGCCAGTGAGGGTAAAAATAAAAAGTTATAAGACTTTTAAATATGTGGATTTTAGGGTTATCTTTGGCGCCCCCTAGAACCTAAACCGTGGGGTGCAGCGTCATGATTTGAATAACTTTTAATGGCCATGGGGTGTAGATTGGCCTGAGCAAATGTGGTGCCGGTGGAAAGAAAGCCTTCGGAGGAGTTAGCGAAATTCCAATGTGTGCGGATCTGCAAAAAATGCGAAATAACCCTTTAACCGTACATTTGACAGATACGCCCGCACTGACTTTTTTGTAGATCTTATTGAGATACATATGTGTGTCAATTTTTGTGTCATTTTGACAAAGCGTAAAGGCGTGACAGTCAATAGTGTGAATTTTCACCTTAGGGGGCGCTATGGAGCCATTTTGCATTTTCTTGTTTGGGCGACTTCGGAATATCAAATTTTTCACCAGGCCCGGTCATCCTGCCAAATTTCATGAGTTTTCGCCAGTGGGAAGTGGGCCATTTTCCAGTTCAAAGGGGAGGAAAAAGAAGAAAGAAAGAAACAAAGAAAAACCACTTGGGGAATAATAGGGCTCTCGCAGCTGCTTAGCAGCTACGCTCGGGCCCTAATAATAATAATAATAACAAAAGAAGGAAACTACAGGAACAAGAGGGCTCTCGCAGCTGCTTAGCAGCTACGCTCGGGCCCTAACTAGGGCCCCGTTGGGGCACTGGCGGGCCCGAGCCGTGTCACGCCGCCCCCAGCGCGACCGCCTCCCCCACCCGATCGCGTCACACTCAAGGTCCAAAGATTGTGTGCGCACTTGTTTGTGGTCATTTACCATTATAATGAACGGGAGGCGCAGTTTCTACCAAAACGCTCGCTGCAGAAAAACTCCATGTCCTATTTGAAAAAAGTCTGGACCATGAGTGAGGGCACAAACACAGCTAAGATATATCCAAATGGCAAGTTGCTCCTCCTTTCGCTTTTGCCGAGAGAGCAGTGCGTTTGAGCCATTGAATGATGAACAGGAAAAACTTGACTTTATTCTCCTGCCATGGGGGGGCGCTCTTTTAACGAGAAAAAACTCCTTCACAAATGTGTTGATGGCTGGACATTGCATCATCCTAGAAAACATGGAGGCCAGTGAGGACAAAAATAAAAAGTTATAAGACTTTTAAATATGTGGATTTTAGGGTTATCTTTGGCGCCCCCTAGAACCTAAACCGTGGGGTGCAGCGTCATGATTTGAATAACTTTTAATGGCCATGGGGTGTAGATTGGCCTGAGCAAATGTGGTGCCGGTGGAACGAAAGCCTTCGGAGGACTTAGCGAAATTCCAATGTGTGCGGATCGGCAAAAAATGCGGAATAACCCTTTAACCGTACATTTGACAGATATGCGCGCATTTACTTTTTCGTAGATCTTATTGAGATACATGTGTGTGTCAATTTTTGTGTCATTTTGCCAAAGCGTACAGGTGTTACACTCAACAATTTGTATTTTCACCTTAGGGGACAAGAAAAAATGGACTTTTTTCTCCTGCCATGGGGGGGCGCTCTTTTGGGGAGTAAAAATTCCTTCACAAATGTGTTGATGGCTGGACATTGCATCATCCTAGAAAACTTGGAGGCCAGTGAGGGCAAAAAAAAAAAGTTATAAGACTTTTAAATATGTGGATCTTAGGGTTATCTTTGGCGCCCCCTAGAACCTAAACCGTGGGGTGCAGCGTCATGATTTGAATAACTATTAATGGCCATGGGGTGTAGATTGGCCTGAGCAAATGTGGTGGCGGTGGAACGAAAGCCTTCGGAGGAGTTAGCGAAATTCCAATGTGTGCACATCGGCAAAAAATGCGGAATAACCCTTTAACCGTACATTTGACAGATACGCCCGCACTGACTTTTTTGTAGATCTTATTGAGATACATGTGTGTGTCAATTTTTGCGTCATTTTGACAAAGCGTACAGGCGTGACAGTCAATAGTGTGAATTTTCACCTTAGGGGGCGCTATGGAGCCATTTTGCATTTTCTTGTTTGGGCGACTTCGGAATATCAAATTTTTCACCAGGCCCGGTCGTCCGGCCAAATTTCATGAGTTTTCGCCAGTGGGAAGTGGGCCATTTTCCAGTTCAAAGGGGAGGAAAAATAACTAGGACCCCGTTGGGGCACTGGCGGGCCCGAGCCGTGTCGCGTCCCCCCCCAACGTGCTGCCTCCCCGTCCCATTTGTGTCCTCTGGCCATCGCCCTCTCTGGTAACGCCCATCACTGCAAAGACCCTTTTCCTTCATCGGCGTTTGCTGTTCTTCCTGCCAGTGCGTGTTGCTTTCACTTACACTTGCCACAGCCAGCCTCGTGAGTGCCTAGCCTATTGGATATCACTGTCACCTACACAGGACAGTCATTACCTTTCTATTAATACTTTGTGTTTTAATTTCACATTAATTTCCATATTGTATAAACGACTGGAAAAAACTTGAGCCCCTGCCCCTGTATAATCATGTGCATGTCTCTGTTCTAGCTCCAAGGTGAATCTTCACTGCTCATGTTCTCCTCAGAAGCACTCACCTCACTCCCCTCAGGTTACTGTACACATGCACCAACTGCCTGCTTCAGGTTTGGATGGAGCTTCATCGTTGTCTTTTGGAGAAATGACCAGTCAAGTTGTGTTTGAAATTTGATTTTTTTCAGGGGCAAAAGGAGCCTCTGCATTCTTGTCAAATATGTAAATAGCATGTTTTTGCAGGTGCTAAAAACCAGACTCTGAGTGTGTGTGTGTGTGTGTGTGTGTGTGTGCGTGTGTGTGTCTGTGTGTGCGTTCAAGTCACATGACATATTTAACCGGATGTAGCTGCAAGACGGAGCCTCGTTGACTCTCCGTTTCAACTTATCTCAAAAGTGAGGACCTCAACCTATATACCAGTTTTTAAATTGTGTTGATAGGCCAAATAAAACCAGAGTTATGATAAATTATGTCCGCGATACTTTTTTTCTGCTTATTTTGATCACGTTCGGCACTCGATCGCGCTGTATGAGACAGGAAAACATAGCATGCAGACATTAGCGACAGCTCTTACAGGCGGAAAAGGCTTGCCAAAAGAAAAAAAAAACACACCACAACATCTCTCCTATTGGTGGAAAACTTCACCACAACAACCAATCCAAAATTATATGGTGACTGATTGACAAGGGGCGGGCGCTTACGTTCTTCCTGCAACATGAGAAGGGAGGGAGGGACTCTCAGCAGGGATGCAGTCTGGGACACGTAGTTGCAAACCTAGCGACTTTGTTGTTAGATTCAATGACTTTTCAGACCCCCTAACGACTTTTTTTTAGAAAGAAAGGGACTTTTATCGACTTCTTCTGGAGTTTAGAGACTCTGACATGAAGCAGGCTTTCCTTACTGAGGAGTTAGCAACGCTGCTAAGGGTGCAGAGCCACACATGCGCTCAGAGCTCTGCATGGGAGACTGAAGCTGACAGAGCTGCAGCAGTTAGCAGGTTTCACCCTCAGAGACCACCAGGGGTTCATGTTGAGGCATTTTAATTTTTTTTTTTTTTGTGCCATAGACACTGTCAGCACAATCTGCAGTTACACTAACAAAAATGCTGCAAAAAACAAAGAATTATGGAAAAATTACACATGGACTGACATACAGGAGGATCTACACAAGTTTTTTACATCATGTTTTACATCATGCATCATTTACATCATGTTTTTTTGTAGTGGCATAAATAAAAAGTGACATTTGTGAGACTATACAGTGTTTTGTAAATAATTTTACAAAGAACGCCTGGGCCATTGCCTGCATTTTGATGTAAATAGAGGTAAATCACTATGTTCTTTGTTAAAAATTTGCATATGTTTTGAAGTTTACAATTTTTATTTGAAGTTTAAGTTTTAAAAACAGTTCATCACACATATTTGTGGTTTTCACAGTAAAAATGTTACTTTTTTCCACTCGGATTTTATGTTTTGTGTGTGAATTTGGGTCCATTGTGTAAATTCAGTATGTCAACATGATAAAATAACTGTAAATTCGCACAGGTGAGGTTGTGCTGAAAAAAATGATACCAGGCAAGGCACGTGATTGTCAAATTTTGTGTCAATATGACAAAGCGTATAGGCGTGAATCTCAACAATATGTATTTTCACCTTAGGGGACAAGAAAAAATGGACTTTTTTCTCCTGCCATGGGGGGGCGCTCTTTTGGGGAGTAAAAATTCCTTCACAAATGTGTTGATGGCTGGACATTGCATCATCCTAGAAAACTTGCAGGCCAGTGAGGACAAAAATAAAAAGTTATAAGACTTTTAAATATGTGGATTTTAGGGTTATCTTTGGCGCCCCCTAGAACCTAAACCGTGGGGTGCAGCGTCATGATTTTGATAAATTTTAATGGCCATGGGGTGTAGATTGGCCTGAGAAAATGTGGTGCCGGTGGAACGAAAGCCTTAGGAGGAGTTAGCCACATTCCAATGTGTGCGGATCGGCAAAAAATGCGGAATAACCCTTTAACCGTACATTTGACAGATACGCGCGCATTGACTTTTTCGTAGATCTTATTGAGTTACATGTGTGTGTCAATTTTTGTGTCATTTTGACAAAGCGTATAGGCGTGACACTCAACAATGTGTATTTTCACCTTAGGGGACAAGAAAAAATGGACTTTTTTCTCCTGCCATGGGGGGGCGCTCTTTTGGGGAGTAAAAATTCCTTCACAAATGTGTTGATGGCTGGACATTGCATCATCCTAGAAAACTTGGAGGCCAGTGAGGACAAAAATAAAAAGTTATAAGACTTTTAAATATGTGGATTTTAGTGTTATCTTTGGCGCCCCCTAGAACCTAAACCTTGGGGTGCAGCGTCATGATTTTGATAACTTTTAATGGCCACGGGGTGTAGATTGGCCTGAGCAAATGTGGTGCCGGTGGAACGAAAGCCTTCGGAGGAGTTAGCGAAATTCCAATGTGTGCAGATCGGCAAAAAATGCGAAATAACCCTTTAACCGTAATTTTGACAGATACGGCCGCACTGACTTTTTTGTAGATCTTATTGAGATACATGTGTGTGTCAATTTTTGTGTCATTTTGACAAAGCGTACAGTCGTGACAGTGAATAGTGTGAATTTTCACCTTAGGGGGCGCTATGGAGCCATTTTGCATTTTATTGTTTTGGCGACTTCAGAATATCAAATTTTTCACCAGGCCCGGTCGTCCTGCCAAATTTCATGAGTTTTCGCCAGTGGGAAGTGGGCCATTTTCCAGTTCAAAGGGGAGGAAAAAGAAACTAGGACCCCGTTGGGGCACTGGCGGGCCCGAGCCGTGTCGCGTCTCCCCCCCCCCCCCCCAACGTGCTGCCTCCCCGTCCCATTTGTGTCCTCTGGCCATCGCCCTCTCTGTTAACGCCCATCACTGCAAAGACCCTTTTCCTTCATCGGCGTTTGCTGTTCTTCCTGCCAGTGCGTGTTGCTTTCACTTACACTTGCCACAGCCAGCCTCGTGAGTGCCTAGCCTATTGGATATCACTGTCACCTACACAGGACAGTCATTACCTTTCTATTAATACTTTGTGTTTTAATTTCACATTAATTTCCATATTGTATAAACGACTGGAAAAAACTTGAGCCCCTGCCCCTGTATAATCATGTGCATGTCTCTGTTCTAGCTCCAAGGTGAATCTTCACTGCTCATGTTCTCCTCAGAAGCACTCACCTCACTCCCCTCAGGTTACTGTACACATGCACCAACTGCCTGCTTCAGGTTTGGATGGAGCTTCATGGTTGTCTTTTGGAGAAATGACCAGTCAAGTTGTGTTTGAAATTTGATTTTTTTTTCAGGGGCAAAAGGAGCCTCTGCATTCTTGTCAAATATGTAAATAGCATGTTTTTGCAGGTGCTAAAAACCAGACTCTGAGTGTGTGTGTGTGTGTGTGTGTGCGTGTGTGTGTGTCTGTGTGTGCGTTCAAGTCACATGACATATTTAACCGGATGTAGCTGCAAGACGGAGCCTCGTTGACTCTCCGTTTCAACTTATCTCAAAAGTGAGGACCTCAACCTATATACCTGTTTTTAAATTGTGTTGATAGGCCAAATAAAACCAGAGTTATGATAAATTATGTCCGCGATACTTTTTTTCTGCTTATTTTGATCACGTTCGGCGCTCGATCGCGCTGTATGAGACAGGAAAACATAGCATGCAGACATTAGCGACAGGTCTTACAGGCGGAAAAGGCTTGCCAAAAGAAAAAAAAAACACACCACAACATCTCTCCTATTGGTGGGAAACTTCACCACAACAACCAATCCAAAATTATATGGTGACTGATTGACAAGGGGCGGGCGCTTACGTTCTTCCTGCAACATGAGAAGGGAGGGAGGGACTCTCAGCAGGGATGCAGTCTGGGACACGTAGTTGCAAACCTAGCGACTTTGTTGTTAGATTCAATGACTTTTCAGACCCCCTAACGACTTTTTTTTAGAAAGAAAGGGACTTTTATCGACTTCTTCTGGAGTTTAGAGACTCTGACATGAAGCAGGCTTTCCTTACTGAGGAGTTAGCAACGCTGCTAAGGGTGCAGAGCCACACATGCGCTCAGAGCTCTGCATGGGAGACTGAAGCTGACAGAGCTGCAGCAGTTAGCAGGTTTCACCCTCAGAGACCACCAGGGGTTCATGTTGAGGCATTTTATTTATTTTTTTTTGTGCCATAGACACTGTCAGCACAATCTGCAGTTACACTAACAAAAATGCTGCAAAAAACAAAGAATTATGGAAAAATTACACATGGACTGACATAGAGGAGGATCTACACAAGTTTGTTACATCATGTTTTACATCATGCATCATTTACATCATGTTTTTTTGTAGTGGCATAAATAAAAAGTGACATTTGTGAGACTATACAGTGTTTTGTAAATAATTTTACAAAGAACGCCTGGGCCATTGCCTGCATTTTGATGTAAATAGAGGTAAATCACTATGTTCTTTGTTAAAAATTTGCATATGTTTTGAAGTTTACAATTTTTATTTGAAGTTTAAGTTTTAAAAACAGTTCATCACACATATTTGTGGTTTAATTTCACATTAATTTCCATATTGTATAAATGACTCGAAAAAACTTGAGCCCCTGCCCCTGTATAATCATGTGCACGTCCCTGTTCTAGCTCCAAGGTGAATCTTCACTGCTCATGTTCTCCTCAGAAATAGTCACCTCACTCCCCTCAGGTTACTGTACACATGCACCAACTATCTGCTTCAGGTTTGAAATGGAACTTCATGGTTGTCTTTTGGAGAAATGAACAGTCAAGTTGTGTTTGAAATTTGATTTTTTCAGGGGCAAAAGGAAGCCTCTGCATTCTTGTCAAATATGTAAACAGCATGTTTTTGCAGGTGCTAAAAAACAGACTCTGTGTGTGTGTGTGTGTGTGTGTGTGTGTGTGTGTGTGTGTGTGTGTGTATGTTGGCGTGTGTGTATATGTGTGTGTATCCTGCAGTACTCTGTACTCCTGCAGTGGCCAAAAAGACTTTTAAGAATGTGGATTTTTGGGTCATCTTTGGCGCCCCCTAGAACTGCAGTACTCTGTACTCCTGCAGTGGCCAAAATGACTTTTAAGAATGTGGATTTGTGGGTCATCTTTGGCGCCCACTAGAACGTAAACCGTGGGGTGCAGCGTCATGATTTTTACAACTTTGAATGGGCATGGGGTGTAGATTGCCCTGAGCAAACTTGGTATCGGTGGGACGAAAGCCTTAGGAGGAGATAGCCACATTCCAATGTGTGCGAATCGGCAAAAAATGCAAAATAGCCCTTTAACCGTACATTATAAAGATACGCGCTCTTTGACTTTTTCGTAGATCTAATTGAGATACACATGATTGTCAATTTTTTTGTCAATATGACAAAGCGTTCAGGCGTGACACTCAACAATGTGTATTTTCATGTAAGGGGACAAGAAAAAATTGACTTTTTTCTCCTACCATGGGGGGGCGCTCTTTTGGGGAGTAAAAATTCCTTCACAAATGTGTTGATGGCTGGACATTGCATCATCCTAGAAAACTTGGAGGCCAGTGAGGACAAAAATAAAAAGTTATAAAACATTTAAGAATGTGGATTTTTGGGTTATTTTTGGCGCCCCCTAGAACCTAAACCATGGGGTGCAGCATCATGATTTGAATAACTTTTAATGGCCATGGGGTGTAGATTGGCCTGAGCAAATGTGGTGCCGGTGGAACGAAAGCCTTCGGAGGAGTTAGCGAAATTCCAATGTGTGCGTATCGGCAAAAAATGCGGAATAACCCTTTAACTGTACATTTGACAGATACGCGCGCATGGACTTTTTTGTAGATCTTATTGAGTTACATGTGTGTGTCAATTTTTGTGTCATTTTGACAAAGCGTATAGGCGTGACACTCAACAATGTGTATTTTCACCTTAGGGGACAAGAAAAAATGGACTTTTTTCTCCTGCCATGGGGGGGCGCTCTTTTGGGGAGTAAAAATTCCTTCACAAATGTGTTGATGGCTGGACATTGCATCATCCTAGAAAACTTGGAGGCCAGTGGGGACAAAAATAAAAAGTTATAAGACTTTTAAATATGTGGATTTTAGTGTTATCTTTGGCGCCCCCTAGAACCTAAACCGTGGGGTGCAGCGTCATGATTTGAATAACTTTTAATGGCCATGGGGTGTAGATTGGCCTGAGCAAATGTGGTGCTGGTGGAACGAAAGCCTTCGGAGGAGTTAGCGAAATTCCAATGTGTGCGGATCGGCAAAAAATGCGAAATAACCCTTTAACCGTACATTTGACAGATACGCCCGCACTGACTTTTTTGTAGATCTTATTGAGATACATGTGTGTGTCAATTTTTGTGTCATTTTGACAAAGCATACAGGCGTGACAGTCAATAGTGTGAATTTTCACCTTAGGGGGCGCTATGGAGCCATTTTGCATTTTCTTGATTGGGCGACTTCGGAATATCAAATTTTTCACCAGGCCCGGTCGTCCTGCCAAATTTCATGAGTTTTCGCCAGTGGGAAGTGGGCCATTTTCCAGTTCAAAGGGGAGGAAAAATAACTAGGGCCCCGGTGGGGCACTGTCGGGCCCGAGCCGCGTCGCGCCGCCCCCAGCGCGACCACCTCCCCCTCCCGATCGCGTCACACTCAAGGTCCAAAGATGGTGTGCGCACTTGTCTGTGGTCATTTCCCATTATAATGAATGGGAGGCGCAGTTTCTACCAAAACACTCGCTGCAGACAAACTACATGTCCTATTTGAAAAAAGTCTGGACCATGAGTGAGGTCACAAACACAGCTAGGATATATCCAAACGGCAAGTTGCTCCTCGTTACGGTGTTGCCGGGAGAGCGATGCGATTGAGCCATTGAGTGATGGGCAGGAAAAACTTGACTGTTTCTCCTGCCATGGGGAATGGGGTATGGGGGATGGGGGGGGGGGGGGGGGGGGGGGCGGGGGGGGATGTGGATTCTTTTAAGAATGTGGATATTTGGGTCATCTTTGGCGCCCCCTAGAACGTAAACCGTGGGGTGCAGCGTCATGATTTTTACAACTTTGAATGGCCATGGGGTGTAGATTGGCCTGAGCAAATTTGGTGTCAGTGGGACGAAAGCCTTAGGAGGAGTTAGCCACATTCCAATGTGTGCGAATCGGCAAAAAATGCAAAATAGCCCTTTAACCGTACATTTGACAGATACGCGCGCATTGACTTTTTCGTAGATCTTATTGAGATACACGTGATTGTCAAATTTTGTGTCAATATGACAAAGCGTACAGGTGTCACACTCAACAATGTGAATTTTCACCTTAGGGGACAAGAAAAAATGGACTTTTTTCTCCTGCCATGGGGGGCGCTCTTTTGGGGAGTAAAAATTCCTTCACAAATGTGTTGATGGCTGGACATTGCATCATCCTAGAAAACTTGGAGGCCAGTGAGGACAAAAATAAAAAGTTATAAGATTTTGAAATATGTGGATTTTAGGGTTATATTTGGCGCCCCCTAGAACCTAAACCGTGGGGTGCAGCGTCATGATTTGAATAACTTTTAATGGCCATGGGGTGTAGATTGGCCTGAGCAAATGTGGTGCCGGTGGAACGCCAGCCTTAGGAGGAGTTAGCGAAATTCCAATGTGTGCGGATCGGCAAAAAATGCGGAATAACCCTTTAACCGTACATTTGACAGATACGCGTGCTTTGACTTTTTCGTAGATCTTATTGAGATACATGTGTGTGTCAAATTTTGTGTCAATATGACAAAGCGTACAGGCGTGACACTCAACAATGTGTATTTTCACCTTAGGGGACAAGAAAAAATGGACTTTTTTCTCCTGCCATGGGGGGGCGCTCTTTTGGGGAGTAAAAATTCCTTCACAAATGTGTTGATGGCTAGACATTGCATCATCCTAGAAAACATGGAGGCCAGTGAGGGCAAAAATAAAAAGTTATAAGACTTTTAAATATGTGGATTTTAGGGTTATCTTTGGCGCCCCCTAGAACCTAAACCGTGGGGTGCAGCGTCATGATTTGAATAACTTTTAATGGCCATGGGGTGTAGATTGGCCTGAGCAAATGTGGTGCCGGTGGAAAGAAAGCCTTCGGAGGAGTTAGCAAAATTCCAATGTGTGCGCATCGGCAAAAAATGCGGAATAACCCTTTAACCGTACATTTGACAGATACGCCCGCACTGACTTTTTTGTAGATCTTATTGAGATACATGTGTGTGTCAATTTTTGTGTCATTTTGACAAAGCGTAAAGGCGTGACAGTCAATAGTGTGAATTTTCACCTTAGGGGGCGCTATGGAGCCATTTTGCATTTTCTTGTTTGGGCGACTTCGGAATATCAAATTTTTCACCAGGCCCGGTCGTCCTGCCAAATTTCATGAGTTTTCGCCAGTGGGAAGTGGGCCATTTTCCAGTTCAAAGGGGAGGAAAAAGAAGAAAGAAAGAAACAAAGAAAAACCACTTGGGGAATAATAGGGCTCTCGCAGCTGCTTAGCAGCTACGCTCGGGCCCTAATAATAATAACACTAGGGCCCCGTTGGGGCACTGGCGGGCCCGAGCCGTGTCACGCCGCCCCCAGCGCGACCGCCTCCCCCACCCGATCGCGTCACACTCAAGGTCCAAAGATGGTGTGCGCACTTGTTTGTGGTCATTTACCATTATAATGAACGGGAGGCGCAGTTTCTACCAAAACGCTCGCTGCAGAAAAACTCCATGTCCTATTTGAAAAAAGTCTGGACCATGAGTGAGGGCACAAACACAGCTAAGATATATCCAAATGGCAAGTTGCTCCTCCTTTCGCTTTTGCCGAGAGAGCAGTGCGTTTGAGCCATTGAATGATGAACAGGAAAAACTTGACTTTATTCTCCTGCCATGGGGGGCGCTCTTTTAAAGAGAAAAACTCCTTCACAAATGTGTTGATGGCTGGACATTGCATCATCCTAGAAAACATGGAGGCCAGTGAGGACAAAAATAAAAAGTTATAAGACTTTTAAATATGTGGATTTTAGGGTTATCTTTGGCGCCCCCTAGAACCTAAACCGTGGGGTGCAGCGTCATGATTTGAATAACTTTTAATGGCCATGGGGTGTAGATTGGCCTGAGCAAATGTGGTGCCGGTGGAACGAAAGCCTTCGGAGGAATTAGCGAAATTCCAATGTGTGCGAATCTGCAAAAAATGCGAAATAACCCTTCAACCGTACATTTTACAGATACGTGGCCATTGACTTTTTCGAAGATCTTATTGAAATACACGTGTATGTAAAATTTTGTGTCAATACGACAAAACATACAGGCGTAGCACTCAACAATGTGTATTTTCACCTTAGTGGACAAGAAAAAATTGACTTTTTTCTCCTGCCATGGGGGGCGCTCTTTTGCCGAGTAAAAATTCCTTCACAAATGTGTTGATGGCTGGACATTGCATCATCCTAGAAAACTTGGAGGCCAGTGGGGACAAAAATAAAAAGTTATAAGACTTTTAAATATGTGGATTTTACGGTTATCTTTGGCTCCCCCTAGAACCTAAACCGTGGGGTGCAGCGTCATGATTTGAATAACTTTTAATGGCCATGGGGTGTAGATTGGCCTGAGCAAATGTGGTGCCGGTGGAACGAAAGCCTTCGGAGGAGTTAGCGAAATTCCAATGTGTGCGGATCGGCAAAAAATGCGGAATAACCCTTTAACCGTACATTTGACAGATACGCGCGCATTGACTTTTTCGTAGATCTTATTGAGATACATGTGTGTGTCAATTTTTGTGTCATTTTGCCAAAGCGTACAGGTGTTACACTCAACAATGTGTATTTTCACCTTTGGGGACAAGAAAAAATGGACTTTTTTCTCCTGCCATGGGGGGCGCTCTTTTGGGGAGTAAAAATTCCTTCACAAATGTGTTGATGGCTGGACATTGCATCATCCTAGAAAACTTGGAGGCCAGTGAGGGCAAAAATAAAAAGTTATAAGACTTTTAAATATGTGGATCTTAGGGTTATCTTTGGCGCCCCCTAGAACCTAAACCTTGGGGTGCAGCGTCATGATTTGAATAACTTTTAATGGCCATGGGGTGTAGATTGGCCTGAGCAAATGTGGTGCCGGTGGAACGAAAGCCTTCGGAGGAGTTAGCGAAATTCCAATGTGTGCGGATCGGCAAAAAATGCGAAATAACCCTTTAACCGTACATTTGACAGATACGCCCGCACTGACTTTTTCGTAGATCTTATTGAGATACATGTGTGTGTCAATTTTTGTGTCATTTTGACAAAGCGTACAGGCGTGACAGTCAATAGTGTGAATTTTCACCTTAGGGGGCGCTATGGAGCCATTTTGCATTTTCTTGTTTGGGCGACTTCGGAATATCAAATTTTCACCAGGCCCGGTCGTCCTGCCAAATTTCATGAGTTTTCGCCAGTGGGAAGTGGGCCATTTTCCAGTTCAAAGGGGAGGAAAAATAATAATAATAATAACTAGGACCCCGTTGGGGCACTGGCGGGCCCGAGCCGTGTCGCGTCCCCCCCCCAACGTGCTGCCTCCCCGTCCCATTTGTGTCCTCTGGCCATCGCCCTCTCTGGTAACGCCCATCACTGCAAAGACCCTTTTCCTTCATCGGCGTTTGCTGTTCTTCTTGCCAGTGCGTGTTGCTTTCACTTACACTTGCCACAGCCAGCCTCGTGAGTGCCTAGCCTATTGGATATCACTGTCACCTACACAGGACAGTCATTACCTTTCTATTAATACTTTGTGTTTCAATTTCACATTAATTTCCATATTGTATAAACGACTGGAAAAAACTTGAGCCCCTGCCCCTGTATAATCATGTGCATATCTCTGTTCTAGCTCCAAAGTGAATCTTCACTGCTCATGTTCTCCTCAGAAGCACTCACCTCACTCCCCTCAGGTTACTGTACACATGCACCAACTGCCTGCTTCAGGTTTGGATGGAGCTTCATGGTTGTCTTTTGGAGAAATGACCAGTCAAGTTGTGTTTGAAATTTGATTTTTTTCAGGGGCAAAAGGAGCCTCTGCATTCTTGTCAAATATGTAAATAGCATGTTTTTGCAGGTGCTAAAAACCAGACTCTGAGTGTGTGTGTGTGTGTGTGTGTGTGTGTGTGTGTGTGTGTCTGTGTGTGCGTTCAAGTCACATGACATATTTAACCGGATGTAGCTGCAAGACGGAGCCTCGTTGACTCTCCGTTTCAACTTATCTCAAAAGTGAGGACCTCAACCTATATACCAGTTTTTAAATTGTGTTGATAGGCCAAATAAAACCAGAGTTATGATAAATTATGTCCGCGATACTTTTTTTCTGCTTATTTTGATCACGTTCGGCGCTCGATCGCGCTGTATGAGACAGGAAAACATAGCATGCAGACATTAGCGACAGGTCTTACAGGCGGAAAAGGCTTGCCAAAAGAAAAAAAAAACACACCACAACATCTCTCCTATTGGTGGAAAACTTCACCACAACAACCAATCCAAAATTATATGGTGACTGATTGACAAGGGGCGGGTGCTTACGTTCTTCCTGCAACATGAGAAGCGAGGGAGGGACTCTCAGCAGGGATGCAGTCTGGGACACGTAGTTGCAAACCTAGCGACTTTGTTGTTAGATTCAATGACTTTTCAGACCCCCTAACGACTTTTTTTTTAGAAAGAAAGGGACTTTTATCGACTTCTTCTGGAGTTTAGAGACTCTGACATGAAGCAGGCTTTCCTTACTGAGGAGTTAGCAACGCTGCTAAGGGTGCAGAGCCACACATGCGCTCAGAGCTCTGCATGGGAGACTGAAGCTGACAGAGCTGCAGCAGTTAGCAGGTTTCACCCTCAGAGACCACCAGGGGTTCATGTTGAGGCATTTTAATTTTTTTTTTTTTTGTGCCATAGACACTGTCAGCGCAATCTGCAGTTACACTAACAAAAATGCTGCAAAAAACAAAGAATTATGGAAAAATTACACATGGACTGACATAGAGGAGGATCTAGTTTTTTACATCATGTTTTACATCATGCATCATTTACATCATGTTTTTTTGTAGTGGCATAAATAAAAAGTGACATTTGTGAGACTATACAGTGTTTTGTAAATAATTTTACAAAGAACGCCTGGGCCATTGCCTGCATTTTGATGTAAATAGAGGTAAATCACTATGTTCTTTGTTAAAAATTTGCATATGTTTTGAAGTTTACAATTTTTATTTGAAGTTTAAGTTTTAAAAACAGTTCATCACACATATTTGTGGTTTTCACAGTAAAAATGTTACTTTTTTCCACTCGGATTTTATGTTTTGTGTGTGAATTTGGGTCCATTGTGTAAATTCAGTATGTCAACATGATAAAATAACTGTAAATTCGCACAGGTGAGGTTGTGCTGAAAAAAATGATACCAGGCAAGGCACGTGATTGTCAAATTTTGTATCAATATGACAAAGCGTATAGGCGTGAATCTCAACAATATGTATTTTCACCTTAGGGGACAAGAAAAAATTGACTTTTTTCTCCTGCCATGGGGGGGCGCTCTTTTGGGGAGTAAAAATTCCTTCACAAATGTGTTGATGGCTGGACATTGCATCATCCTAGAAAACTTGGAGGCCAGTGAGGACAAAAATAAAAAGTTATAAGACTTTTAAATATGTGGATTTTAGGGTTATCTTTGGCGCCCCCTAGAACCTAAACCGTGGGGTGCAGCGTCATGATTTTGATAACTTTTAATGGCCATGGGGTGTAGATTGGCCTGAGCAAATGTGGTGCCGGTGGAACGAAAGCCTTAGGAGGAGTTAGCCACATTCCAATGTGTGCGGATCGGCAAAAAATGCGGAATAACCCTTTAACCGTACATTTGACAGATACGCGCTCATAGACTTTTTTGTAGATCTTATTGAGATACATGTGTGTGTCAATTTTTGTGTCATTTTGCCAAAGCGTAAAGGCGTGACACTCAACAATGTGTATTTTCACCTTAGGGGTCAAGAAAAAATGGACTTTTTTCTCCTGCCATGGGGGGGCGCTCTTTTGGGGAGTAAAAATTCCTTCACAAATGTGTTGATGGCTGGACATTGCATCATCCTAGAAAACTTGGAGGCCAGTGAGGACAAAAATAAAAAGTTATAAGACTTTTAAAAATGTGGATTTTTGGGTTATCTTTGGCGCCCCCTAGAACGTAAACCGTGGGGTGCAGCGTCATGATTTGAATAACTTTTAATGGCCATGGGGTGTAGATTGGCCTGAGCAAATGTGGTGCCGGTGGAACGAAAGCCTTCAGAGGAGTTAGCGAAATTCCAATGTGTGCGGATCGGCAAAAAATGCGAAATAACCCTTTAACCGTACATTAGACAGATACGCGCGCATGGACTTTTTTGTAGATCTTATTGAGATACATGTGTGTGTCAATTTTTGTGTCATTTTGACAAAGCGTACAGGCGTGACAGTCAATAGTGTGAATTTTCACCTTAGGGGACAAGAAAAAATGGACTTTTTTCTCCTGCCATGGGGGGGGCGCTCTTTTGGGGAGTAAAAATTCCTTCACAAATGTGTTGATGGCTGGACATTGCATCATCCTAGAAAACTTGGAGGCCAGTGAGGGCAAAAATAAAAAGTTATAAGACTTTTAAATATGTGGATTTTAGGGTTATCTTTGGCGCCCCCTAGAACCTAAACCGTGGGGTGCAGCGTCATGATTTGAATAACTTTTAATGGCCATGGGGTGTAGATTGGCCTGAGCAAATGTGGTGCCGGTGGAACGAAAGCCTTCAGAGGAGTTAGCGAAATTCCAATGTGTGCGGATCGGCAAAAAATGCGAAATAACCCTTTAACCGTACATTTGACAGATACGCCCGCACTGACTTTTTTGTAGATCTTATTGAGATACATGTGTGTGTCAATTTTTGTGTCATTTTGACAAAGCGTACAGGCGTGACAGTCAATAGTGTGAATTTTCACCTTAGGGGGCGCTATGGAGCCATTTTGCATTTTCTTGTTTGGGCGACTTCGGAATATCAAATTTTTCACCAGGCCCGGTCGTCCTGCCAAATTTCATGAGTTTTCGCCAGTGGGAAGTGGGCCATTTTCCAGTTCAAAGGGGAGGAAAAAGAAACTAGGGCCCCGTTGGGGCACTGGCGGGCCCGAGCCGTGTCGCGCTGCCCCCCCCAACACGCTGCCTCCCCGTCCCATTCGCGTCCTCTGGCCATCGTCCTCTCTGGTAACGCCCATCACTGCAAAGACCCTTTCCTTCATCGGCGTTTGCTGTTCTTCCTGCCAGTGCGTGTTGCTTTCACTTACACTTGCCACAGCCAGCCTCGTGAGTGCCTAGCCTATTGGATATCACTGTCATCTACACAGGACAGTCATAACCTTTCTATTAATACTTTGTTTTTTAATTTCACATTAATTTCCATATTGTATAAATGACTGAAAAAAAACTTGAGCCCCTGCCCCTGTATAATCATGTGCACGTCCCTGTTCTAGCTCCAAGGTGAATCTTCACTGCTCATGTTCTCCTCAGAAATAGTCACCTCACTCCCCTCAGGTTACTGTACACATGCACCAACTATCTGCTTCAGGTTTGGATGGAGCTTCATGGTTGTCTTTTGGAGAAATGAACAGTCAAGTTGTGTTTGAAATTTGATTTTTTTCAGGGGCAAAAGGAAGCCTCTGCATTCTTGTCAAATATGTAAACAGCATGTTTTTGCAGGTGCTAAAAAACAGACTCTGAGTGTGTGTGTGTGTGTGTGTGTGTGTGTGTTGGCATGTGTGTATATGTGTGTGTATCCTGCAGTACTCTGTACTCCTGCAGTGGCCAAAACGACTTTTAAGAATGTGGATATTTGGGTCATCTTTGGCGCCCCCTAGAACTGCAGTACTCTGTACTCCTGCAGTGGCCAAAATGACTTTTAAGAATGTGGATTTTTGGGTCATCTTTGGCGCCCCCTAGAACTGCAGTACTCTGTACTCCTGCAGTGGCCAAAATGACTTTTAAGAATGTGGATTTTTGGGTCATCTTTGGCGCCCCCTAGAACGTAAACCGTGGGGTGCAGCGTCATGATTTTTACAACTTTGAATGGGCATGGGGTGTAGATTGCCCTGAGCAAATTTGGTATCAGTGGGACGAAAGCCTTAGGAGGAGATAGCCACATTCCAATGTGTGCGAATCGGCAAAAAATGCAAAATAGCCCTTTAACCGTACATTATACAGATACGCGCTCTTTGACTTTTTCGTAGAGCTAATTGAGATACACATGATTGTCAATTTTTGTGTCAATATGACAAAGCGTTCAGGCGTGACACTCAACAATGTGTTTTTTCACCTTATGGGACAAGAAAAAATGGACTTTTTTCTCCTGCCATGGGGGGGCGCTCTTTTGGGGAGTAAAAATTCCTTCACAAATGTGTTGATGGCTGGACATTGCATCATCCTAGAGAACTTGGAGGCCAGTGAGGACAAAAATAAAAAGTTATAAGACTTTGAAATATGTGGATTTTAGGGTTATCTTTGGCGCCCCCTAGAACCTAAACTGTGGGGTGCAGCGTCATGATTTGAATAACTTTTAATGGCCATGGGGTGTAGATTGGCCTGAGCAAATGTGGTGCCGGTGGAACGCCAGCCTTAGGAGGAGTTAGCGAAATTCCAATGTGTGCGGATCAGCAAAAAATGCGGAATAACCCTTTAACCGTACATTTTACAGATACGCGCGCATTGACTTTTTCGTAGATCTTATTGAGATACATGTGTGTGTCAAATTTTGTGTCAATATGACAAAGCGTACAGGCGTGACACTCAACAATGTGTATTTTCACCTTAGGGGACAAGAAAAAATGGACTTTTTTCTCCTGCCATGGGGGGGCGCTCTTTTGGGGATTAAAAATTCCTTCACAAATGTGTTGATGGCTGGACATTGCATCATCCTAGAAAACTTGGAGGCCAGTGAGGGCAAAAATAAAAAGTTATAAGACTTTTAAATATGTGGATTTTAGGGTTATCTTTGGCGCCCCCTAGAACCTAAACCGTGGGGTGCAGCGTCATGATTTGAATAACTTTTAATGGCCATGGGGTGTAGATTGGCCTGAGCAAATGTGGTGCCGGTGGAACAAAAGCCTTCGGAGGAGTTAGCGAAATTCCAATGTGTGCGGATCGGCAAAAAATGCGAAATAACCCTTTAACCGTACATTTGACAGATACGCCCGCACTGACTTTTTTGTAGATCTTATTGAGATACATGTGTGTGTCAATTTTTGTGTCATTTTGACAAAGCGTACAGGCGTGACAGTGAATAGTGTGAATTTTCACCTTAGGGGGCGCTATGGAGCCATTTTGCATTTTCTTGTTTGGGCGACTTCGGAATATCAAATTTTTCACCAGGCCCGGTCGTCCTGCCAAATTTCATGAGTTTTCGCCAGTGGGAAGTGGGCCATTTTCCAGTTCAAAGGGGAGGAAAAAGAAACTAGGGCCCCGTTGGGGCACTGGCGGGCCCGAGCCGTGTCGCGCTGCCCCCCCCAACACGCTGCCTCCCCGTCCCATTCGCGTCCTCTGGCCATCGTCCTCTCTGGTAACGCCCATCACTGCAAAGACCCTTTCCTTCATCGGCGTTTGCTGTTCTTCCTGCCAGTGCGTGTTGCTTTCACTTACACTTGCCACAGCCAGCCTCGTGAGTGCCTAGCCTATTGGATATCACTGTCATCTACACAGGACAGTCATAACCTTTCTATTAATACTTTGTTTTTTAATTTCACATTAATTTCCATATTGTATAAATGACTGAAAAAAACTTGAGCCCCTGCCCCTGTATAATCATGTGCACGTCCCTGTTCTAGCTCCAAGGTGAATCTTCACTGCTCATGTTCTCCTCAGAAATAGTCACCTCACTCCCCTCAGGTTACTGTACACATGCACCAACTATCTGCTTCAGGTTTGGATGGAGCTTCATGGTTGTCTTTTGGAGAAATGAACAGTCAAGTTGTGTTTGAAATTTGATTTTTTTCAGGGGCAAAAGGAAGCCTCTGCATTCTTGTCAAATATGTAAACAGCATGTTTTTGCAGGTGCTAAAAAACAGACTCTGAGTGTGTGTGTGTGTGTGTGTGTGTGTGTGTGTGTTGGCATGTGTGTATATGTGTGTGTATCCTGCAGTACTCTGTACTCCTGCAGTGGCCAAAACGACTTTTAAGAATGTGGATATTTGGGTCATCTTTGGCGCCCCCTAGAACTGCAGTACTCTGTACTCCTGCAGTGGCCAAAATGACTTTTAAGAATGTGGATTTTTGGGTCATCTTTGGCGCCCCCTAGAACTGCAGTACTCTGTACTCCTGCAGTGGCCAAAATGACTTTTAAGAATGTGGATTTTTGGGTCATCTTTGGCGCCCCCTAGAACGTAAACCGTGGGGTGCAGCGTCATGATTTTTACAACTTTGAATGGGCATGGGGTGTAGATTGCCCTGAGCAAATTTGGTATCAGTGGGACGAAAGCCTTAGGAGGAGATAGCCACATTCCAATGTGTGCGAATCGGCAAAAAATGCAAAATAGCCCTTTAACCGTACATTATACAGATACGCGCTCTTTGACTTTTTCGTAGAGCTAATTGAGATACACATGATTGTCAATTTTTGTGTCAATATGACAAAGCGTTCAGGCGTGACACTCAACAATGTGTTTTTTCACCTTATGGGACAAGAAAAAATGGACTTTTTTCTCCTGCCATGGGGGGGCGCTCTTTTGGGGAGTAAAAATTCCTTCACAAATGTGTTGATGGCTGGACATTGCATCATCCTAGAGAACTTGGAGGCCAGTGAGGACAAAAATAAAAAGTTATAAGACTTTGAAATATGTGGATTTTAGGGTTATCTTTGGCGCCCCCTAGAACCTAAACTGTGGGGTGCAGCGTCATGATTTGAATAACTTTTAATGGCCATGGGGTGTAGATTGGCCTGAGCAAATGTGGTGCCGGTGGAACGCCAGCCTTAGGAGGAGTTAGCGAAATTCCAATGTGTGCGGATCAGCAAAAAATGCGGAATAACCCTTTAACCGTACATTTTACAGATACGCGCGCATTGACTTTTTCGTAGATCTTATTGAGATACATGTGTGTGTCAAATTTTGTGTCAATATGACAAAGCGTACAGGCGTGACACTCAACAATGTGTATTTTCACCTTAGGGGACAAGAAAAAATGGACTTTTTTCTCCTGCCATGGGGGGGCGCTCTTTTGGGGATTAAAAATTCCTTCACAAATGTGTTGATGGCTGGACATTGCATCATCCTAGAAAACTTGGAGGCCAGTGAGGGCAAAAATAAAAAGTTATAAGACTTTTAAATATGTGGATTTTAGGGTTATCTTTGGCGCCCCCTAGAACCTAAACCGTGGGGTGCAGCGTCATGATTTGAATAACTTTTAATGGCCATGGGGTGTAGATTGGCCTGAGCAAATGTGGTGCCGGTGGAACAAAAGCCTTCGGAGGAGTTAGCGAAATTCCAATGTGTGCGGATCGGCAAAAAATGCGAAATAACCCTTTAACCGTACATTTGACAGATACGCCCGCACTGACTTTTTTGTAGATCTTATTGAGATACATGTGTGTGTCAATTTTTGTGTCATTTTGACAAAGCGTACAGGCGTGACAGTGAATAGTGTGAATTTTCACCTTAGGGGGCGCTATGGAGCCATTTTGCATTTTCTTGTTTGGGCGACTTCGGAATATCAAATTTTTCACCAGGCCCGGTCGTCCTGCCAAATTTCATGAGTTTTCGCCAGTGGGAAGTGGGCCATTTTCCAGTTCAAAGGGGAGGAAAAATAACTAGGGCCCCGGTGGGGCACTGTCGGGCCCGAGCCGCGTCGCGCCGCCCCCAGCGCGACCGCCTCCCCCTCCCGATCGCGTCACACTCAAGGTCCAAAGATGGTGTGCACACTTGTCTGTGGTCATTTCCCATTATAATGAATGGGAGGCGCAGTTTCTACCAAAACACTCGCTGCAGACAAACTTCATGTCCTATTTGAAAAAAGTCTGGACCATGAGTGAGGGCACAAACACAGCTAGGATATATCCAAATGGCAGGTTGCTCCTCCTTACGGTGTTGCCTGGAGAGGGATGCGATTGAGCCATTGAGCGATGGGCAGGAAAAACTTGACTTTTTCTCCTGCCATGGGCGGGGGGGGAATGTGGATTCTTTTAAGAATGTGGTTTTTTGGGTCATCTTTGGCGCCCCCTAGAACGTAAACCGTGGGGTGCAGCGTCATGATTTTTACAACTTTGAATGGCCATGGGGTGTAGATTGGCCTGAGCAAATTTGGTTTCAGTGGGACGAAAGCCTTAGGAGGAGTTAGCCACATTCCAATGTGTGCAAATCGGCAAAAAATGCAAAATAGCCCTCTAACCGTACATTTGACAGATACGCGTGCATTGACTTTTTCGTAGATCTTATTGAGATACACGTGATTGTCAAATTTTGTGTCAATATGACAAAGCGTACAGGTGTCACACTCAACAATGTGAATTTTCACCTTACGGGACAAGAAAAAATGGACTTTTTTCTCCTGCCATGGGGGGGCGCTCTTTTGGGGAGTAAAAATTCCTTCACAAATGTGTTGATGGCTGGACATTGCATCATCCTAGAAAACTTGGAGGCCAGTGAGGACAAAAATAAAAAGTTATAAGACTTTTAAATATGTGGATTTTAGGGTTATCTTTGGCGCCCCCTAGAACCTTAACCTTGGGGTGCAGCGTCATGATTTGAATAACTTTTAATGGCCATGGGGTGTAGATTGGCCTGAGCAAATGTGGTGCCGGTGGAACGCCAGCCTTAGGAGGAGTTAGCCACATTCCAATGTGTGCGGATCAGCAAAAAATGCGGAATAACCCTTTAACCGTACATTTGACAGATATGCGCGCATTGACTTTTTCGTAGATCTTATTGAGATACATGTGTGTGTCAAATTTTGTGTCAATATGACAAAGCGTACAGGCGTGACACTCAACAATGTGTATTTTCACCTTAGGGGACAAGAAAAAATGGACTTTTTTCTCCGGCCATGGGGGGGCGCTCTTTTGGGGAGTAAAAATTCCTTCACAAATGTGTTGATGGCTGGACATTGCATCATCCTAGAAAACTTGGAGGCCAGTGAGGGCAAAAATAAAAAGTTATAAGACTTTTAAATATGTGGATTTTAGGGTTATCTTTGGCGCCCCCTAGAACCTAAACCGTGGGGTGCAGCGTCATGATTTGAATAACTTTTAATGGCCATGGGGTGCAGATTGGCCTGAGCAAATGTGGTGCCGGTGGAAAGAAAGCCTTCGGAGGAGTTAGCGAAATTCCAATGTGTGCGGATCGGCAAAAAATGCGGAATAACCCTTTAACCGTACATTTGACAGATACGCCCGCACTGACTTTTTTGTAGATCTTATTGAGATACATATGTGTGTCAATTTTTGTGTCATTTTGACAAAGCGTAAAGGCGTGACAGTCAATAGTGTGAATTTTCACCTTAGGGGGCGCTATGGAGCCATTTTGCATTTTCTTGTTTGGGCGACTTCGGAATATCAAATTTTTCACCAGGCCCGGTCATCCTGCCAAATTTCATGAGTTTTCGCCAGTGGGAAGTGGGCCATTTTCCAGTTCAAAGGGGAGGAAAAAGAAGAAAGAAAGAAAGAACTAGGACCCCGTTGGGGCACTGGCGGGCCCGAGCCGTGTCGCGCCCCCCCCCCCCCCAACGTGCTGCCTCCCCGTCCCATTTGTGTCCTCTGGCCATCGCCCTCTCTGGTAACGCCCATCACTGCAAAGACCCTTTTCCTTCATCGGCGTTTGCTGTTCTTCCTGCCAGTGCGTGTTGCTTTCACTTACACTTGCCACAGCCAGCCTCGTGAGTGCCTAGCCTATTGGATATCACTGTCACCTACACAGGACAGTCATTACCTTTCTATTAATACTTTGTGTTTTAATTTCACATTAATTTCCATATTGTATAAACGACTGGAAAAAACTTGAGCCCCTGCCCCTGTATAATCATGTGCATGTCTCTGTTCTAGCTCCAAGGTGAATCTTCACTGCTCATGTTCTCCTCAGAAGCACTCACCTCACTCCCCTCAGGTTACTGTACACATGCACCAACTGCCTGCTTCAGGTTTGGATGGAGCTTCATGGTTGTCTTTTGGAGAAATGACCAGTCAAGTTGTGTTTGAAATTTGATTTTTTTCAGGGCAAAAGGAGCCTCTGCATTCTTGTCAAATATGTAAATAGCATGTTTTTGCAGGTGCTAAAAACCAGACTCTGAGTGTGTGTGTGTGTGTGTGTGTGTGTGTGTGTGTGTGTGTGTGTGTGTGTGCGTGCGTGTGCGTGTGTGTGTGTCTGTGTGTGCGTTCAAGTCACATGACATATTTAACCGGATGTAGCTGCAAGACGGAGCCTCGTTGACTCTCCGTTTCAACTTATCTCAAAAGTGAGGACCTCAACCTATATACCAGTTTTTAAATTGTGTTGATAGGCCAAATAAAACCAGAGTTATGATAAATTATGTCCGCGATACTTTTTTTCTTCTTATTTTGATCACGTTCGGCGCTCGATCGCGCTGTATGAGACAGGAAAACATAGCATGCAGACATTAGCGACAGGTCTTACAGGCGGAAAAGGCTTGCCAAAAGAAAAAAAAAACACACCACAACATCTCTCCTATTGGTGGAAAACTTCACCACAACAACCAATCCAAAATTATATGGTGACTGACTGACAAGGGGCGGGCGCTTACGTTCTTCCTGCAACATGAGAAGAGAGGGAGGGACTCTCAGCAGGGATGCAGTCTGGGACACGTAGTTGCAAACCTAGCGACTTTGTTGTTAGATTCAATGACTTTTCAGACCCCCTAACGACTTTTTTTTAGAAAGAAAGGGACTTTTATCGACTTCTTCTGGAGTTTAGAGACTCTGACATGAAGCAGGCTTTCCTTACTGAGGAGTTAGCAACGCTGCTAAGGGTGCAGAGCCACACATGCGCTCAGAGCTCTGCATGGGAGACTGAAGCTGACAGAGCTGCAGCAGTTAGCAGGTTTCACCCTCAGAGACCACCAGGGGTTCATGTTGAGGCATTTTAATTTTTTTTTTTTTTTGTGCCATAGACACTGTCAGCACAATCTGCAGTTACACTAACAAAAATGCTGCAAAAAACAAAGAATTATGGAAAAATTACACATGGACTGACATAGAGGAGGATCTACACAAGTTTTTTACATCATGTTTTACATCATGCATCATTTACATCATGTTTTTTTGTAGTGGCATAAATAAAAAGTGACATTTGTGAGACTATACAGTGTTTTGTAAATAATTTTACAAAGAACGCCTGGGCCATTGCCTGCATTTTGATGTAAACAGAGGTAAATCACTATGTTCTTTGTTAAAAATTTGCATATGTTTTGAAGTTTACAATTTTTATTTGAAGTTTAAGTTTTAAAAACAGTTCATCACACATATTTGTGGTTTAATTTCACATTAATTTCCATATTGTATAAATGACTGGAAAAAACTTGAGCCCCTGCCCCTGTATAATCATGTGCACGTCCCTGTTCTAGCTCCAAGGTGAATCTTCACTGCTCATGTTCTCCTCAGAAATAGTCACCTCACTCCCCTCAGGTTACTGTACACATGCACCAACTATCTGCTTCAGGTTTGAAATGGAGCTTCATGGTTGTCTTTTGGAGAAATGAACAGTCAAGTTGTGTTTGAAATTTGATTTTTTTCAGGGGCAAAAGGAAGCCTCTGCATTCTTGTCAAATATGTAAACAGCATGTTTTTGCAGGTGCTAAAAAACAGACTCTGAGTGTGTGTGTGTGTCTCTGTGTGTGTGTGTGTGTGTGTGTGTGTGTGTATGTTGGCGTGTGTGTATATGTGTGTGTATCCTGCAGTACTCTGTACTCCTGCAGTGGCCAAAAAGACTTTTAAGAATGTGGATTTTTGGGTCATCTTTGGCGCCCCCTAGAACTGCAGTACTCTGTACTCCTGCAGTGGCCAAAATGACTTTTAAGAATGTGGATTTTTGGGTCATCTTTGGCGCCCCCTAGAACGTAAACCGTGGGGTGCAGCGTCATGATTTTTACAACTTTGAATGGCCATGGAGTGTAGATTGCCCTGAGCAAATTTGGTATCGGTGGGACGAAAGCCTTAGGAGGAGATAGCCACATTCCAATGTGTGCGAATCGGCAAAAAATGCAAAATAACCCTTTAACCGTACATTATAAAGATACGCGCTCTTGACTTTTTCGTAGATCTAATTGAGATACACATGATTGTCAATTTTTGTGTCAATATGACAAAGCGTTCAGGCGTGACACTCAACAATGTGTATTTTCATGTAAGGGGACAAGAAAAAATTGACTTTTTCTCCTACCATGGGGGGCGCTCTTTTGGGGAGTAAAAATTCCTTCACAAATGTGTTGATGGCTGGACATTGCATCATCCTAGAAAACTTGGAGGCCAGTGAGGACAAAAATAAAAAGTTATAAAACATTTAAGAATGTGGATTTTTGGGTTATTTTTGGCGCCCCCTAGAACCTAAACCATGGGGTGCAGCATCATGATTTGAATAACTTTTAATGGCCATGGGGTGTAGATTGGCCTGAGCAAATGTGGTGCCGGTGGAACGAAAGCCTTCGGAGGAGTTAGCGAAATTCCAATGTGTGCGTATCGGCAAAAAATGCGGAATAACCCTTTAACTGTACATTTGACAGATACGCGCGCATGGACTTTTTTGTAGATCTTATTGAGTTACATGTGTGTGTCAATTTTTGTGTCATTTTGACAAAGCGTATAGGCGTGACACTCAACAATGTGTATTTTCACCTTAGGGGACAAGAAAAAATGGACTTTTTTCTCCTGCCATGGGGGGGCGCTCTTTTGGGGAGTAAAAATTCCTTCACAGATGTGTTGATGGCTGGACATTGCATCATCCTAGAAAACTTGGAGGCCAGTGAGGACAAAAATAAAAAGTTATAAGACTTTTAAATATGTGGATTTTAGGGTTATTTTTGGCGCCCCCTAGAACCTAAACCGTGGGGTGCAGCGTCATGATTTGAATAACTTTTAATGGCCATGGGGTGTAGATTGGCCTGAGCAAATGTGGTGCCGGTGGAACGAAAGCCTTCGGAGGAGTTAGCGAAATTCCAATGTGTGCAGATCTGCAAAAAATGCAAAATAACCCATTAACCGTACATTTGACAGATACGCCCGCACTGACTTTTTTGTAGATCTTATTGAGATACATGTGTGTGTCAATTTTTGTGTCATTTTGACAAAGCGTACAGGCGTGACAGTGAATAGTGTGAGTTTTCACCTTAGGGGGCGCTATGGAGCCATTTTGCATTTTCTTGTTTGGGCGACTTCGGAATATCAAATTTTCCACCAGGCCCGGTCGTCCTGCCAAATTTCATGAGTTTTCGCCAGTGGGAAGTGGGCCATTTTCCAGTTCAAAGGGGAGGAAAAATAATAATAATAACAAAAGAAGGAAACTACAGGAACAAGAGGGCTCTCGCAGCTGCTTAGCAGCTACGCTCGGGCCCTAATAATAACAAAAGAAGGAAACTACAGGAACAAGAGGGCTCTCGCAGCTGCTTAGCAGCTACGCTCGGGCCCTAACTAGGACCCCGTTGGGGCACTGGCGGGCCCGAGCTGTGTCGCCCCCCCCCCCAACGCGCTGCCTCCCCGTCCCATTTGTGTCCTCTGGCCATCGCCCTCTCTGGTAACGCCCATCACTGCAAAGACCCTTTTCCTTCATCGGCGTTTGCTGTTCTTCCTGCCAGTGCGTGTTGCTTTCACTTACACTTGCCACAGCCAGCCTCGTGAGTGCCTAGCCTATTGGATATCACTGTCACCTACACAGGACAGTCATTACCTTTCTATTAATACTTTGTTTTTTAATTTCAAATTAATTTCCATATTGTATAAACAACTGGAAAAAACTTGAGCCCCTGCCCCTGTATAATCATGTGCACGTCTCTGTTCTAGCTCTAAGGTGAATCTTCACTGCTCATGTTCTCCTCAGAAGCAGTCACCTCACTCCCCTCAGGTTACTGTACACATGCACCAACTGCCTGCTTCAGGTTTGGATGGAGCTTCATGGTTGTCTTTTGGAGTAATGACCAGTCAAGTTGTGTTTGAAATTTGATTTTTTTCAGGGGCAAAAGGAGCCTCTGCATTCTTGTCAAATATGTAAATAGCATGTTTTTGCAGGTGCTAAAAACCAGACTCTGAGTGTGTGTGTGTGCGTGTGTGTGTGTGTGTCTGTGTGTGTGTGTGTGTGTGTGTGTGCGTTCAAGTCACATGACATATTTAACCGGATGTAGCTGCAAGACGGAGCCTCGTTGACTCTCCGTTTCAACTTATCTCAAAAGTGAGGACCTCAACCTATATACCAGTTTTTAAATTGTGTTGATAGGCCAAATAAAACCAGAGTTATGATAAATTATGTCCGCGATACTTGTTTTCTGCTTATTTTGATCACGTTCGGCGCTCGATCGCGCTGTATGAGACAGGAAAACATAGCATGCAGACATTCGCGACAGGTCTTACAGGCGGAAAAGGCTTGCCAAAGGAAAAAAAAAACACACCACAACATCTCTCCTATTGGTGGAAAACTTCACCACAACAACCAATCCAAAATTATATGGTGACTGATTGACAAGGGGCGGGCGCTTACGTTCTTCCTGCAATATGAGAAGGGAGGGAGGGACTCTCAGCAGGGATGCAGTCTGGGACACGTAGTTGCAAACCTAGCGACTTTGTTGTTAGATTCAATGACTTTTCAGACCCCCTAACGACTTTTTTTTAGAAAGAAAGTGACTTTTATCGACTTCTTCTGGAGTTTAGAGACTCTGACATGAAGCAGGCTTTCCTTACTGAGGAGTTAGCAACGCTGCTAAGGGTGCAGAGCCACACATGCGCTCCGAGCTCTGCATGGGAGACTGAAGCTGACAGAGCTGCAGCAGTTAGCAGGTTTCACCCTCAGAGACCACCAGGGGTTCATGTTGAGGCATTTTCAGTTTTTTTTTTTTTTTGCCATAGACACTGTCAGCACAATCTGCAGTTACACTAACAAAAATGCTGCAAAAAACAAAGTCCATGTGTAATTTTTCCATAATTCTAACAGAGGAGGATCTACACAAGTTTTTTACATCATGTTTTACATCATGCATCATTTACATCATGTTTTTTTGTAGTGGCATAAATAAAAAGTGACATTTGTGAGACTATACAGTGTTTTGTAAATAATTTTACAAAGAACACCTGGGCCATTGCCTGCATTTTGATGTAAATAGAGGTAAATTACTATGTTCTTTGTTAAAAATTTGCATATGTTTTGAAGTTTACAATTTTTATTTGAAGTTTAAGTTTTAAAAACAGTTCATCACACATATTTGTGGTTTTCACAGTAAAAACGTTACTTTTTTCCACTCGGATTTTATGTTTTGTGTGTGAATTTGGGTCCAATGTGTAAATACAGTATGTCAAAATGATAAAATAACTGTAAATTGACACAGGTGAGGTTGTGCTGAAAAAAATGATACCAGGCAAGGCAAGGTAAAAATTTTGTAAGAGGAAATATAAAGGTAAAATCTAAAGTAGTCAAAAACGGCCAATAGTGACTCACAGACTCCACAGACAAGTCCCTTTGGCGCCACTCAGTGGGCAAAACTACTTTGTCTACTGTAATGTATATTTGGGTCATCTTTGGCGCCCCCTAAAACGTAAACCGTGGGGTGCAGCATCATGATTTTTACAACTTTGAATGGCCATGGAGTGTAGATTGGCCTGAGCAAATTTGGTGTCATTGGGACGAAAGCCTTAGGAGGAGTTAGCGAAATTCCAATGTGTGCGAATCGGCAAAAAATGCAAAATAGCCCTTTTACCGTACATTATACAGATACGCGCTCTTTGACTTTTTCATAGATCTAATTGAGATACACATGATTGTCAATTTTTGTGTCATTTTGCCAAAGCGTACAGGCGTGACAGTCAACAATGTGTATTTTCACCTTAGGGGACAAGAAAAAATGGACTTTTTTCTCCTGCCATGGGGGGCGCTCTTTTAGGGAGTAAAAATTCCTTCACAAATGTGTTGATGGCTGGACATTGCATCATCCTAGAAAACTTGGAGGCCAGTGAGGACAAAAATAAAAAGTTATAAGACTTTTAAAAATGTGGATTTTTGGGTTATCTTTGGCGCCCCCTAGAACGTAAACCGTGGGGTGCAGCGTCATGATTTGAATAACTTTTAATGGCCATGGGGTGTAATTTGGCCTGAGCAAATGTGGTGCCGGTGGAACGAAAGCCTTCGGAGGAGTTAGCGAAATTCCAATGTGTGCGGATCGGCAAAAAATGCGGAATAACCCTTTAACCGTACATTTGACAGATACGCGCACATTGACTTTTTCGTAGATCTTATTGAGATACACGTGATAGTCAAATTTTGTGTCAATATGACAAAGCGTACAGGTGTCACACTCAACAATGTGAATTTTCACCTTACGGGACAAGAAAAAATTGACTTTTTTCTCCTGCCATGGGGGGGCGCTCTTTTGGGGAGTAAAAATTCCTTCACAAATGTGTTGATGGCTGGACATTGCATCATCCTAGAAAACTTGGAGGCCAGTGAGGGCAAAAATAAAAAGTTATAAGACTTTGAAATATGTGGATTTTAGGGTTATCTTTGGCGCCCCCTAGAACCTAAACCGTGGGGTGCAGCATAATGATTTGAATAACTTTTAATGGCCATGGGGTGTAGATTGGCCTGAGCAAATGTGGTGCCGGTGGAACAAAAGCCTTCGGAGGAGTTAGCGAAATTCCAATGTGTGCGGATCGGCAAAAAATGCGCAATAACCCTTTAACCGTACATTTGACAGATACGCCCGCACTGACTTTTTTGTAGATCTTATTGAGATACATGTGTGTGTCAATTTTTGTGTCATTTTGACAAAGCGTACAGGCGTCAGGTGAATTTTTCACCTTAGGGGGCGCTATGGAGCCATTTTGCATTGTATTGTTTGGGCGACTTCAGAATATCAAATTTTTCACCAGGCCCGGTCGTCCTGCCAAATTTCATGAGTTTTCGCCAGTGGGAAGTGGGCCATTTTCCAGTTCAAAGGGGAGGAAAAAGAAAAAAGAAACAAAGACTAGGACCCCGTTGGGGCACTGGCGGGCCCGAGCCGTGTCGCGTCCCCCCCCCAAACGTGCTGCCTCCCCGTCCCATTTGTGTCCTCTGGCCATCGCCCTCTCTGGTAACGCCCATCACTGCAAAGACCCTTTTCCTTCATCGGCGTTTGCTGTTCTTCTTGCCAGTGCGTGTTGCTTTCACTTACACTTGCCACAGCCAGCCTCGTGAGTGCCTAGCCTATTGGATATCACTGTCACCTACACAGGACAGTCATTACCTTTTTATTAATACTTTGTGTTTTAATTTCACATTAATTTCCATATTGTATAAACGACTGGAAAAAACTTGAGCCCCTGCCCCTGTATAATCATGTGCATGTCTCTGTTCTAGCTCCAAGGTGAATCTTCACAGCTCATGTTCTCCTCAGAAGCACTCACCTCACTCCCCTCAGGTTACTGTACACATGCACCAACTACCTGCTTCAGGTTTGGATGGAGCTTCATGGTTGTCTTTTGGAGAAATGACCAGTCAAGTTGTGTTTGAAATTTGATTTTTTTCAGGGGCAAAAGGAGCCTCTGCATTCTTGTCAAATATGTAAATAGCATGTTTTTGCAGGTGCTAAAAACCAGACTCTGAGTGTGTGTGTGTGTGTGTGTGTGTGTGTGTGTGTGCCTGTGTGTGTGTCTGTGTGTGCGTTCAAGTCACATGACATATTTAACCGGATGTAGCTGCAAGACGGAGCCTCGTTGACTCTCCGTTTCAACTTATCTCAAAAGTGAGGACCTCAACCTATATACCAGTTTTTAAATTGTGTTGATAGGCCAAATAAAACCAGAGTTATGATAAATTATGTCCGCGATACTTTTTTTCTGCTTATTTTGATCACGTTCGGCGCTCGATCGCGCTGTATGAGACAGGAAAACATAGCATGCAGACATTAGCGACAGCTCTTACAGGCGGAAAAGGCTTGCCAAAAGAAAAAAAAACACACCACAACATCTCTCCTATTGGTGGAAAACTTCACCACAACAACCAATCCAAAATTATATGGTGACTGATTGACAAGGGGCGGGCGCTTACGTTCTTCCTGCAACATGAGAAGCGAGGGAGGGACTCTCAGCAGGGATGCAGTCTGGGACACGTAGTTGCAAACCTAGCGACTTTGTTGTTAGATTCAATGACTTTTCAGACCCCCTAACGACTTTTTTTTAGAAAGAAAGGGACTTTTATCGACTTCTTCTGGAGTTTAGAGACTCTGACATGAAGCAGGCTTTCCTTACTGAGGAGTTAGCAACGCTGCTAAGGGTGCAGAGCCACACATGCGCTCCGAGCTCTGCATGGGAGACTGAAGCTGACAGAGCTGCAGCAGTTAGCAGGTTTCACCCTCAGAGACCACCAGGGGTTCATGTTGAGGCATTTTCAGTTTTTGTTTTTTTTGTGCCATAGACACTGTCAGCACAATCTGCAGTTACACTAACAAAAATGCTGCAAAAAACAAAGAATTATGGAAAAATTACACATGGACTGACATAGAGGAGGATCTACACAAGTTTTTTACATCATGTTTTACATCATGCATCATTTACATCATGTTTTTTTGTTGTGGCATAAATAAAAAGTGACATTTGTGAGACTATACAGTGTTTTGTAAATAATTTTACAAAGAACGCCTGGGCCATTGCCTGCATTTTGATGTAAATAGAGGTAAATTACTATGTTCTTTGTTAAAAATTTGCATATGTTTTGAAGTTTACAATTTTTATTTGAAGTTTAAGTTTTAAAAACAGTTCATCACACATATTTGTGTTTTAATTTCACATTAATTTCCATATTGTATAAATGACTGGAAAAAACTTGAGCCCCTGCCCCTGTATAATCATGTGCACGTCCCTGTTCTAGCTCCAAGGTGAATCTTCACTGCTCATGTTCTCCTCAGAAATAGTCACCTCACTCCCCTCAGGTTACTGTACACATGCACCAACTATCTGCTTCAGGTTTGGATGGAGCTTCATGGTTGTCTTTTGGAGAAATGAACAGTCAAGTTGTGTTTGAAATCTGATTTTTTTCAGGGGCAAAAGGAAGCCTCTGCATTCTTGTCAAATATGTAAACAGCATGTTTTTGCAGGTGCTAAAAAACAGACTCTGAGTGTGTGTGCGTGTGTGTGTGTGTGTGTGTGTGTGTGTGTGTGTGTGTGTGTGTGTATATATGTGTGTGTATCCTGCAGTACTCTGTACTCCTGCAGTGGCCAAAAAGACTTTTAAGAATGTGGATTTTTGGGTCATCTTTGGTGCCCCCTAGAACTGCAGTACTCTGTACTCCTGCAGTGGCCAAAATGACTTTTAAGAATGTGGATTTTTGGGTCATCTTTGGTGCCCCCTAAAACGTAAACCGTGGGGTGCAGTGTCATGATTTTTACAACTTTGAATGGGCATGGGGTGTAGATTGCCCTGAGCAAATTTGGTATCGGTGGGACGAAAGCCTTAGGAGGAGATAGCCACATTCCAATGTGTGCGAATCGGCAAAAAATGCGAAATAGCCCTTTAACCGTACATTATACAGATACGCGCTTTTTGACTTTTTCGTAGATCTTATTGAGATACATGTGTGTGTCAATTTTTGTGTAATTTTGACAAAGCGTACAGGCGTGACAGTCAATAGTGTGAATTTTCACCTTATGGGACAAGAAAAAATGGACTTTTTTCTCCTGCCATGGGGGGGCGCTCTTTTGGGGAGTAAAAATTCCTTCACAAATGTGTTGATGGCTGGACATTGCATCATCCTAGAAAACTTGGAGGCCAGTGAGGGCAAAAATAAAAAGTTATAAGACTTTGAAATATGTGGATTTTAGGGTTATCTTTGGCGCCCCCTAGAACCTAAACCGTGGGGTGCAGCGTCATGATTTGAATAACTTTTAATGGCCATGGGGTGTAGATTGGCCTGAGCAAATGTGGTGCCGGTGGAACGAAAGCCTTCGGAGGAGTTAGCGAAATTCCAATGTGTGCGGATCGGCAAAAAATGCGCAATAACCCTTTAACCGTACATTTGACAGATACGCCCGCACTGACTTTTTTGTAGATCTTATTGAGATACATGTGTGTGTCAATTTTTGTGTCATTTTGACAAAGCGTACAGGCGTCAGGTGAATTTTTCACCTTAGGGGGCGCTATGGAGCCATTTTGCATTGTATTGTTTGGGCGACTTCAGAATATCAAATTTTTCACCAGGCCCGGTCGTCCTGCCAAATTTCATGAGTTTTCGCCAGTGGGAAGTGGGCCATTTTCCAGTTCAAAGGGGAGGAAAAATAATAATAACAAAAGAAGGAAACATGCAGGAACAAGAGGGCTCTCGCAGCTGCTTAGCAGCTACGCTCGGGCCCTAAAAAACCACTTGGGGAATAATAGGGCTCTCGCAGCTGCTTAGCAGCTACGCTCGGGCCCTAATAACTAGGGCCCCGGTGGGGCACTGTCGGGCCCGAGCCGCGTCGTGCCGCCCCCAGCGTGACCGCCTACCCCTCCCGATCGCGTCACACTCAAGGTCCAAAGATGGTGTGCGCACTTGTCTGTGGTCATTTACCATTATAATGAATGGGAGGCGCAGTTTCTACCAAAACACTCGCTGCAGACAAACTTCATGTCCTATTTGAAAAAAGTCTGGACCATGAGTGAGGGCACAAACACAGCTGGGATATATCCAAATGGCAGGTTGCTCCTCCTTACGGTGTTGCCTGGAGAGCGATGCGATTGAGCCATTGAGCGATGGGCAGGAAAAACTTGACTTTTTCTCCTGCCATGGGGGGGAGAATGTGGATTCTTTTAAGAATGTGGATTTTTTGGTCATCTTTGGCGCCCCCTAGAACGTAAACCGTGGGGTGCAGCGTCATGATTTTTACAACTTTGAATGGCCATGGGGTGTAGATTGGCCTGAGCAAATTTGGTGTCAGTGGGACGAAAGCCTTAGGAGGAGTTAGCCACATTCCAATGTGTGCGAATCGGCAAAAAATGCAAAATAGCCCTCTAACCGTACATTTGACAGATACGCACCCATTGACTTTTTCGTAGATCTTATTGAGATACACGTGATTGTCAAATTTTGTGTCAATATGACAAAGCGTACAGGTGTCACACTCAACAATGTGAATTTTCACCTTACGGGACAAGAAAAAATGGACTTTTTTCTCCTGCCATGGGGGGGCGCTCTTTTGGGGAGTAAAAATTCCTTCACAAATGTGTTGATGGCTGGACATTGCATTATCCTAGAAAACTTGGAGGCCAGTGAGGACAAAAATAAAAAGTTATAAGACTTTGAAATATGTGGATTTTAGGGTTATCTTTGGCGCCCCCTAGAACCTAAACCGTGGGGTGCAGCGTCATGATTTGAATAACTTTTAATGGCCATGGGGTGTAGATTGGCCTGAGCAAATGTGGTGCCGGTGGAACGCCAGCCTTAGGAGGAGTTAGCGAAATTCCAATGTGTGCGGATCAGCAAAAAATGCGGAATAACCCTTTAACCGTACATTTGACAGATACGCGCGCATTGACTTTTTCGTAGATCTTATTGAGATACACGTGATTGTCAAATTTTGTGTCAATATGACAAAGCGTACAGGCGTGACACTCAACAATGTGTATTTTCACCTTAGGGGACAAGAAAAAATGGACTTTTTTCTCCGGCCATGGGGGGGCGCTCTTTTGGGGAGTAAAAATTCCTTCACAAATGTGTTGATGGCTGGACATTGCATCATCCTAGAAAACTTGGAGGCCAGTGAGGGCAAAAATAAAAAGTTATAAGACTTTGAAATATGTGGATTTTAGGGTTATCTTTGGCGCCCCCTAGAACCTAAACCGTGGGGTGCAGCGTCATGATTTGAATAACTTTTAATGGCCATGGGGTGTAGATTGGCCTGAGCAAATGTGGTGCCGGTGGAAAGAAAGCCTTCGGAGGAGTTAGCGAAATTCCAATGTGTGCGGATCGGCAAAAAATGCGGAATAACCCTTTAACCGTACATTTGACAGATACGCCCGCACTGACTTTTTTGTAGATCTTATTGAGATACATATGTGTGTCAATTTTTGTGTCATTTTGACAAAGCGTAAAGGCGTGACAGTCAATAGTGTGAATTTTCACCTTAGGGGGCGCTATGGAGCCATTTTGCATTTTCTTGTTTGGGCGACTTCGGAATATCAAATTTTTCACCAGGCCCGGTCATCCTGCCAAATTTCATGAGTTTTCGCCAGTGGGAAGTGGGCCATTTTCCAGTTCAAAGGGGAGGAAAAAGAAGAAAGAAAGAAACAAAGAAAAACCTATTGGGGAATAATAGGGCTCTCGCAGCTGCTTAGCAGCTACGCTCGGGCCCTAACAAAAGAAGGAAACTACAGGAACAAGAGGGCTCTCGCAGCTGCTTAGCAGCTACGCTCGGGCCCTAAAGAAAGAAACAAAGAAAAACCACTTGGGGAATAATAGGGCCTACGCCCGGCTGCTCTGCAGCTGGCTCGGGCCCTAAAGAAAGAAAGAAAGAAAGAAGAAAGAAAAACCTATACAGGAAAAATAGGGCTCTACGCCCGGCTGCTCTGCAGCTGGCTCGGGCCCTAAAAAGAAACAAAGAAAAACCACTACAGGAATAACAGGGCCTACGCCCGGCTGCTCTGCAGCTGGCTCGGGCCCTAAAAAGAAACAAAGAAAAACCACTACAGGAATAACAGGGCCTACGCCCGGCTGCTCTGCAGCTGGCTCGGGCCCTAACGAAAGAAGGAAACATGCAGGAACAAGAGGGCTCTCGCAGCTGCTTAGCAGCTACGCTCGGGCCCTAACAAAAGAAGAATCCATCAGGAACAAGAGGGCTCTCGCAGCTGCTTAGCAGCTATGCTCGGGCCCTAAAGAAAGAAAGAAAGAAAGAAAGAAACAAAGAACTAGGGCCCCGGTGGGGCACTGTCGGGCCCGAGCCGCGTCGCGCCGCCCCTAGCGCGACCGCCTCCCCCTCCCGATCGCGTCACACTCAAGGTCCAAAGATGGTGTGCGCACTTGTCTGTGGTCATTTCCCATTATAATGAATGGGAGGCGCGGTTTCTACCAAAACACTCGCTGCAGACAAACTTCATGTCCTATTTGAAAAAAGTCTGGACCATGAGTGAGGGCACAAACACAGCTATGATATATCGAAATGGCAGGTTGCTCCTCCTTACGGTGTTGCCTGGAGAGCGATGCGATTGAGCCATTGAGCGATGGGCAGGGTTAACTTGACTTTTTCTCCTGCCTTGGGGGGGGATGTGGATTCCTTTAAGAATGTGGATTTTTGGGTCATCTTTGGCGCCCCCTAGAACGTAAACCGTGGGGTGCAGCATCATGATTTTTACAACTTTGAATGGCCATGGGGTGTAGATTGGCCTGAGCAAATTTGGTGTCAGTGGGACGAAAGCCTTAGGAGGAGTTAGCCACATTCCAATGTGTGCGAATCGGCAAAAAATGCAAAATAGCCCTTTAACCGTACATTTGACAGATACGCGCGCATTGACTTTTTTGTAGATCTTATTGAGATACATATGTGTGTCAATTTTTGTGTCAATATGATAAAGCGTACAGGCGTGACAGTCAATAGTGTGAATTTCCACCTTAGGGGACAAGAAAAAATTGACTTTTTTCTCCTGCCATGGGGGGGGCGCTCTTTTGGGGAGTAAAAATTCCTTCACAAATGTGTTGATGGCTGGACATTGCATCATCCTAGAAAACTTGGAGGCCAGTGAGGACAAAAATAAAAAGTTATAAGACTTTTAAATATGTGGATTTTAGGGTTATCTTTGGCGCCCCCTAGAACCTAAACCGTGGGGTGCAGCGTCATGATTTGAATAACTTTTAATGGCCATGGGGTGTCGATTGGCCTGAGCAAATGTGGTGCCGGTGGAACGAAAGCCTTCGGAGGAGTTAGCGAAATTCCAATGTGTGCGGATCGGCAAAAAATGCGGAATAACCCTTTAACCGTACATTTGACAGATACGCGCGCATTGACTTTTTCGTAGATCTTATTGAGATACATGTGTGTGTCAATTTTTGTGTCATTTTGCCAAAGCGTACAGGCGTGACACTCAACAATGTGTATTTTCACCTTAGGGGACAAGAAAAAATGGACTTTTTTCTCCTGCCATGGGGGGGCGCTCTTTTGGGGAGTAAAAATTCCTTCACAAATGTGTTGATGGCTGGACATTGCATCATCCTAGAAAACTTGGAGGCCAGTGAGGGAAAAAATAAAAAGTTATAAGACTTTTAAAAATGTGGATTTTAGGGTTATCTTTGGCGCCCCCTAGAACCTAAACCGTGGGGTGCAGCGTCATGATTTGAATAACTTTTAATGGCCATGGGGTGTAGATTGGCCTGAGCAAATGTGGTGCCGGTGGAACGAAAGCCTTCGGAGGAGTTAGCGAAATTCCAATGTGTGCGGATCGGCAAAAAATGCGAAATAACCCTTTAACCGTACATTTGACAGATACAACCGCACTGACTTTTTTGTAGATCTTATTGAGATACATGTGTGTGTCAATTTTTGTGTCATTTTGACAAAGCGTACAGGCGTGACAGTCAATAGTGTGAATTTTCACCTTAGGGGGCGCTATGGAGCCATTTTGCATTTTCTTGTTTGGGCGACTTCGGAATATCGAATTTTTCACCAGGCCCGGTCGTCCTGCCAAATTTCCTGAGTTTTCGCCAGTGGGAAGTGGGCCATTTTCCAGTTCAAAGGGGAGGAAAAAGAAGAAAGAAAGAACTAGGGCCCCGTTGGGGCACTGTCGGGCCCGAGCCGCGTCGCGCCGCCCCCAGCGCGACCGCCTCCCCCTCCCGATCGCGTCACACTCAAGGTCCAAAGATGGTGTGCACACTTGTCTGTGGTCATTTCCCATTATAATGAATGGGAGGCGCAGTTTCTACCAAAACACTCGCTGCAGACAAACTTCATGTCCTATTTGAAAAAAGTCTGGACCATGAGTGAGGGCACAAACACAGCTAGGATATATCCAAATGGCAGGTTGCTCCTCCTTACGGTGTTGCCTGGAGAGGGATGCGATTGAGCCATTGAGCGATGGGCAGGAAAAACTTGACTTTTTCTCCTGCCATGGGCGGGGGGGGAATGTGGATTCTTTTAAGAATGTGGTTTTTTGGGTCATCTTTGGCGCCCCCTAGAACGTAAACCGTGGGGTGCAGCGTCATGATTTTTACAACTTTGAATGGCCATGGGGTGTAGATTGGCCTGAGCAAATTTGGTTTCAGTGGGACGAAAGCCTTAGGAGGAGTTAGCCACATTCCAATGTGTGCAAATCGGCAAAAAATGCAAAATAGCCCTCTAACCGTACATTTGACAGATACGCGTGCATTGACTTTTTCGTAGATCTTATTGAGATACACGTGATTGTCAAATTTTGTGTCAATATGACAAAGCGTACAGGTGTCACACTCAACAATGTGAATTTTCACCTTACGGGACAAGAAAAAATGGACTTTTTTCTCCTGCCATGGGGGGGCGCTCTTTTGGGGAGTAAAAATTCCTTCACAAATGTGTTGATGGCTGGACATTGCATCATCCTAGAAAACTTGGAGGCCAGTGAGGACAAAAATAAAAAGTTATAAGACTTTTAAATATGTGGATTTTAGGGTTATCTTTGGCGCCCCCTAGAACCTTAACCTTGGGGTGCAGCGTCATGATTTGAATAACTTTTAATGGCCATGGGGTGTAGATTGGCCTGAGCAAATGTGGTGCCGGTGGAACGCCAGCCTTAGGAGGAGTTAGCCACATTCCAATGTGTGCGGATCAGCAAAAAATGCGGAATAACCCTTTAACCGTACATTTGACAGATATGCGCGCATTGACTTTTTCGTAGATCTTATTGAGATACATGTGTGTGTCAAATTTTGTGTCAATATGACAAAGCGTACAGGCGTGACACTCAACAATGTGTATTTTCACCTTAGGGGACAAGAAAAAATGGACTTTTTTCTCCGGCCATGGGGGGCGCTCTTTTGGGGAGTAAAAATTCCTTCACAAATGTGTTGATGGCTGGACATTGCATCATCCTAGAAAACTTGGAGGCCAGTGAGGGCAAAAATAAAAAGTTATAAGACTTTTAAATATGTGGATTTTAGGGTTATCTTTGGCGCCCCCTAGAACCTAAACCGTGGGGTGCAGCGTCATGATTTGAATAACTTTTAATGGCCATGGGGTGCAGATTGGCCTGAGCAAATGTGGTGCCGGTGGAAAGAAAGCCTTCGGAGGAGTTAGCGAAATTCCAATGTGTGCGGATCGGCAAAAAATGCGGAATAACCCTTTAACCGTACATTTGACAGATACGCCCGCACTGACTTTTTTGTAGATCTTATTGAGATACATATGTGTGTCAATTTTTGTGTCATTTTGACAAAGCGTAAAGGCGTGACAGTCAATAGTGTGAATTTTCACCTTAGGGGGCGCTATGGAGCCATTTTGCATTTTCTTGTTTGGGCGACTTCGGAATATCAAATTTTTCACCAGGCCCGGTCATCCTGCCAAATTTCATGAGTTTTCGCCAGTGGGAAGTGGGCCATTTTCCAGTTCAAAGGGGAGGAAAAAGAACTAGGACCCCGTTGGGGCACTGTCGGGCCCGAGCCGTGTCCTCTGGCCATCGCCCTCTCTTGTAACGCCCATCACTGCAAAGACCCTTTTCCTTCATTGGCGTTTGCTGTTCTTCCTGCCAGTGCGTGTTGCTTTCACTTACACTTGCCACAGCCAGCCTCGTGAGTGCCTAGCCTATTGGATATCACTGTCACCTACACAGGACAGTCATTACCTTTCTATTAATACTTTGTGTTTTAATTTCACATTAATTTCCATATTGTATAAACGACTGGAAAAAACTTGAGCCCCTGCCCCTGTATAATCATGTGCATGTCTCTGTTCTAGCTCCAAGGTGAATCTTCACTGCTCATGTTCTCCTCAGAAGCACTCACCTCACTCCCCTCAGGTTACTGTACACATGCACCAACTGCCTGCTTCAGGTTTGGATGGAGCTTCATGGTTGTCTTTTGGAGAAATGACCAGTCAAGTTGTGTTTGAAATTTGATTTTTTTCAGGGGCAAAAGGAGCCTCTGCATTCTTGTCAAATATGTAAATAGCATGTTTTTGCAGGTGCTAAAAACCAGACTCTGAGTGTGTGTGTGTGTGTGTGTGTGTGTGTGGTGTGTGTGTGTGTCTGTGTGTGCGTTCAAGTCACATGACATATTTAACCGGATGTAGCTGCAAGACGGAGCCTCGTTGACTCTCCGTTTCAACTTATCTCAAAAGTGAGGACCTCAACCTATATACCAGTTTTTAAATTGTGTTGATAGGCCAAATAAAACTAGAGTTATGATAAATTATGTCCGCGATACTTTTTTTCTGCTTATTTTGATCACGTTCGGCGCTCGATCGCGCTGTATGAGACAGGAAAACATAGCATGCAGACATTAGCGACAGGTCTTACAGGCGGAAAAGGCTTGCCAAAAAAGAAAAAAAAAACACACCACAACATCTCTCCTATTGGTGGAAAACTTCACCACAACAACCAATCCAAAATTATATGGTGACTGATTGACAAGGGGCGGGCGCTTACGTTCTTCCTGCAACATGAGAAGGGAGGGAGGGACTCTCAGCAGGGATGCAGTCTGGGACACGTAGTTGCAAACCTAGCGACTTTGTTGTTAGATTCAATGACTTTTCAGACCCCCTAACGACTTTTTTTTAGAAAGAAAGGGACTTTTATCGACTTCTTCTGGAGTTTAGAGACTCTGACATGAAGCAGGCTTTCCTTACTGAGGAGTTAGCAACGCTGCTAAGGGTGCAGAGCCACACATGCGCTCAGAGCTCTGCATGGGAGACTGAAGCTGACAGAGCTGCAGCAGTTAGCAGGTTTCACCCTCAGAGACCACCAGGGGTTCATGTTGAGGCATTTTAATTTTTTTTTTTTTTGTGCCATAGACACTGTCAGCACAATCTGCAGTTACACTAACAAAAAACGCTGCAAAAAACAAAGAATTATGGAAAAATTACACATGGACTGACATAGAGGAGGATCTACACAAGTTTTTTACATCATGTTTTACATCATGCATCATTTACATCATGTTTTTTTGTAGTGGCATAAATAAAAAGTGACATTTGTGAGACTATACAGTGTTTTGTAAATAATTTTACAAAGAACGCCTGGGCCATTGCCTGCATTTTGATGTAAATAGAGGTAAATCACTATGTTCTTTGTTAAAAATTTGCATATGTTTTGAAGTTTACAATTTTTATTTGAAGTTTAAGTTTTAAAAACAGTTCATCACACATATTTGTGGTTTAATTTCACATTAATTTCCATATTGTATAAATGACTGGAAAAAACTTGAGCCCCTGCCCCTGTATAATCATGTGCACGTCCCTGTTCTAGCTCCAAGGTGAATCTTCACTGCTCATGTTCTCCTCAGAAATAGTCACCTCACTCCCCTCAGGTTACTGTACACATGCACCAACTATCTGCTTCAGGTTTGAAATGGAGCTTCATGGTTGTCTTTTGGAGAAATGAACAGTCAAGTTGTGTTTGAAATTTGATTTTTTTCAGGGGCAAAAGGAAGCCTCTGCATTCTTGTCAAATATGTAAACAGCATGTTTTTGCAGGTGCTAAAAAACAGACTCTGAGTGTGTGTGTGTGTCTGTGTGTGTGTGTGTGTGTGTGTGTGTGTGTGTGTGTTGGCGTGTGTGTATATGTGTGTGTATCCTGCAGTACTCTGTACTCCTGCAGTGGCCAAAAAGACTTTTAAGAATGTGGATTTTTGGGTCATCTTTGGCGCCCCCTAGAACTGCAGTACTCTGTACTCCTGCAGTGGCCAAAATGACTTTTAAGAATGTGGATTTTTGGGTCATCTTTGGCGCCCCCTAGAACGTAAACCGTGGGGTGCAGCGTCATGATTTTTACAACTTTGAATGGGCATGGGGTGTAGATTGCCCTGAGCAAATTTGGTATCGGTGGGACGAAAGCCTTAGGAGGAGATAGCCACATTCCAATGTGTGCGAATCAGCAAAAAATGCAAAATAGCCCTTTAACCGTACATTATACAGATACGCGCTCTTTGACTTTTTCGTAGATCTAATTGAGATACACATGATTGTCAATTTTTGTGTCAATATGACAAAGCGTTCAGGCGTGACACTCAACAATGTGTATTTTCATGTAAGGGGACAAGAAAAAATTGACTTTTTTCTCCTACCATGGGGGGGCGCTCTTTTGGGGAGTAAAAATTCCTTCACAAATGTGTTGATGGCTGGACATTGCATCATCCTAGAAAACTTGGAGGCCAGTGAGGACAAAAATAAAAAGTTATAAAACATTTAAGAATGTGGATTTTTGGGTTATTTTTGGCGCCCCCTAGAACCTAAACCATGGGGTGCAGCATCATGATTTGAATAACTTTTAATGGCCATGGGGTGTAGATTGGCCTGAGCAAATGTGGTGCCGGTGGAACGAAAGCCTTCGGAGGAGTTAGCGAAATTCCAATGTGTGCGTATCGGCAAAAAATGCGGAATAACCCTTTAACTGTACATTTGACAGATACGCGCCCATGGACTTTTTTGTAGATCTTATTGAGTTACATGTGTGTGTCAATTTTTGTGTCATTTTGACAAAGCGTATAGGCGTGACACTCAACAATGTGTATTTTCACCTTAGGGGACAAGAAAAAATGGACTTTTTTCTCCTGCCATGGGGGGGCGCTCTTTTGGGGAGTAAAAATTCCTTCACAAATGTGTTGATGGCTGGACATTGCATCATCCTAGAAAACTTGGAGGCCAGTGAGGACAAAAAAAAAAGTTATAAGACTTTTAAATATGTGGATTTTAGTGTTATCTTTGGCGCCCCCTAGAACCTAAACCTTGGGGTGCAGCGTCATGATTTTGATAACTTTTAATGGCCACGGGGTGTAGATTGGCCTGAGCAAATGTGGTGCCGGTGGAACGAAAGCCTTCGGAGGAGTTAGCGAAATTCCAATGTGTGCGGATCGGCAAAAAATGCGAAATAACCCTTTAACCGTAATTTTGACAGATACGCCCGCACTGACTTTTTTGTAGATCTTATTGAGATACATGTGTGTGTCAATTTTTGTGTCATTTTGACAAAGCGTACAGGCGTGACAGTCAATAGTGTGAATTTTCACCTTAGGGGGCGCTATGGAGCCATTTTGCATTTTCTTGTTTGGGCGACTTCGGAATATCAAATTTTTCACCAGGCCCGGTCGTCCTGCCAAATTTCATGAGTTTTCGCCAGTGGGAAGTGGGCCATTTTCCAGTTCAAAGGGGAGGAAAAAGAAAAAAGAAAGAACTAGGACCCCGTTGGGGCACTGGCGGGCCCGAGCCGTGTCGCGTCCCCCCCCCCCCCCCAAACGTGCTGCCTCCCCGTCCCATTTGTGTCCTCTGGCCATCGCCCTCTCTGTTAACGCCCATCACTGCAAAGACCCTTTTCCTTCATCGGCGTTTGCTGTTCTTCCTGCCAGTGCGTGTTGCTTTCACTTACACTTGCCACAGCCAGCCTCGTGAGTGCCTAGCCTATTGGATATCACTGTCACCTACACAGGACAGTCATTACCTTTCTATTAATACTTTGTGTTTTAATTTCACATTAATTTCCATATTGTATAAACGACTGGAAAAAACTTGAGCCCCTGCCCCTGTATAATCATGTGCATGTCTCTGTTCTAGCTCCAAGGTGAATCTTCACTGCTCATGTTCTCCTCAGAAGCACTCACCTCACTCCCCTCAGGTTACTGTACACATGCACCAACTGCCTGCTTCAGGTTTGGATGGAGCTTCATGGTTGTCTTTTGGAGAAATTACCAGTCAAGTTGTGTTTGAAATTTGATTTTTTTCAGGGGCAAAAGGAGCCTCTGCATTCTTGTCAAATATGTAAATAGCATGTTTTTGCAGGTGCTAAAAACCAGACTCTGAGTGTGTGTGTGTGTGTGTGTGTGTGTGTGTGTGTGTGTGTGTGTGTGTGTGTGCGTGTGTGTGTGTCTATGTGTGCGTTCAAGTCACATGACATATTTAACCGGATGTAGCTGCAAGACGGAGCCTCGTTGACTCTCCGTTTCAACTTATCTCAAAAGTGAGGACCTCAACCTATATACCAGTTTTTAAATTGTGTTGATAGGCCAAATAAAACCAGAGTTATGATAAATTATGTCCGCGATACTTTTTTTCTGCTTATTTTGATCACGTTCGGCGCTCGATCGCGCTATATGAGACAGGAAAACATAGCATGCAGACATTAGCGACAGGTCTTACAGGCGGAAAAGGCTTGCCAAAGAAAAAAAAAACACACCACAACATCTCTCCTATTGGTGGAAAACTTCACCACAACAACCAATCCAAAATTATATGGTGACTGATTGACAAGGGGCGGGCGCTTACGTTCTTCCTGCAACATGAGAAGGGAGGGAGGGACTCTCAGCAGGGATGCAGTCTGGGACACGTAGTTGCAAACCTAGCGACTTTGTTGTTAGATTCAATGACTTTTCAGACACCCTAACGACTTTTTTTTAGAAAGAAAGTGACTTTTATCGACTTCTTCTGGAGTTTAGAGACTCTGACATGAAGCAGGCTTTCCATACTGAGGAGTTAGCAACGCTGCTAAGGGTGCAGAGCCACACATGCGCTCAGAGCTCTGCATGGGAGACTGAAGCTGACAGAGCTGCAGCAGTTAGCAGGTTTCACCCTCAGAGACCACCAGGGGTTCATGTTGAGGCATTTTAATTTTTTTTTTTTTTTTGAGCCATAGACACTGTCAGCACAATCTGCAGTTACACTAACAAAAATGCTGCAAAAAACAAAGAATTATGGAAAAATTACACATGGACTGACATAGAGGAGGATCTACACAAGTTTTTTACATCATGTTTTACATCATGCATCATTTACATCATGTTTTTTTGTAGTGGCATAAATAAAAAGTGACATTTGTGAGACTATACAGTGTTTTGTAAATAATTTTACAAAGAATGCCTGGGCCATTGCCTGCATTTTGATGTAAATAGAGGTAAATTACTATGTTCTTTGTTAAAAATTTGCATATGTTTTGAAGTTTACAATTTTTATTTGAAGTTTAAGTTTTAAAAACAGTTCATCACACATATTTGTGGTTTAATTTCACATTAATTTCCATATTGTATAAATGACTGGAAAAAACTTGAGCCCCTGCCCCTGTATAATCATGTGCACGTCCCTGTTCTAGCTCCAAGGTGAATCTTCACTGCTCATGTTCTCCTCAGAAATAGTCACCTCACTCCCCTCAGGTTACTGTACACATGCACCAACTATCTGCTTCAGGTTTGAAATGGAGCTTCATGGTTGTCTTTTGGAGAAATGAACAGTCAAGTTGTGTTTGAAATTTGATTTTTTTCAGGGGCAAAAGGAAGCCTCTGCATTCTTGTCAAATATGTAAACAGCATGTTTTTGCAGGTGCTAAAAAACAGACTCTGAGTGTGTGTGTGTGTCTGTGTGTGTGTGTGTGTGTGTGTGTGTGTGTGTGTGTGTGTGTGTGTGTTGGCGTGTGTGTATATGTGTGTGTATCCTGCAGTACTCTGTACTCCTGCAGTGGCCAAAAAGACTTTTAAGAATGTGGATTTTTGGGTCATCTTTGGCGCCCCCTAGAACTGCAGTACTCTGTACTCCTGCAGTGGCCAAAATGACTTTTAAGAATGTGGATTTTTGGGTCATCTTTGGCGCCCCCTAGAACGTAAACCGTGGGGTGCAGCGTCATGATTTTTACAACTTTGAATGGGCATGGGGTGTAGATAGCCCTGAGCAAATTTGGTATCGGTGGGACGAAAGCCTTAGGAGGAGATAGCCACATTCCAATGTGTGCGAATCGGCAAAAAATGCAAAATAGCCCTTTAACCGTACATTATACAGATACGCGCTCTTTGACTTTTTCGTAGATCTAATTGAGATACACATGATTGTCAAATTTTGTGTCAATATGACAAAGCGTACAGGTGTTACACTCAACAATGTGTATTTTCACCTTAGGGGACAAGAAAAAATGGACTTTTTTCTCCTGCCATGGGGGGGCGCTCTTTTGGGGAGTAAAAATTCCTTCACAAATGTGTTGATGGCTGGACATTGCATCATCCTAGAAAACTTGGAGGCCAGTGAGGGCAAAAATAAAAAGTTATAAGACTTTTAAATATGTGGATCTTAGGGTTATCTTTGGCGCCCCCTAGAACCTAAACCGTGGGGTGCAGCGTCATGATTTGAATAACTTTTAATGGCCATGGGGTGTAGATTGGCCTGAGCAAATGTGGTGCCGGTGGAACGAAAGCCTTCGGAGGAGTTAGCGAAATTCCAATGTGTGCGGATCGGCAAAAAATGCGAAATAACCCTTTAACCGTACATTTGACAGATACGCCCGCACTGACTTTTTTGTAGATCTTATTGAGATACATGTGTGTGTCAATTTTTGTGTCATTTTGACAAAGCGTACACGCGTGACAGTCAATAGTGTGAATTTTCACCTTAGGGGGCGCTATGGAGCCATTTTGCATTTTCTTGTTTGGGCGACTTCGGAATATCAAATTTTTCACCAGGCCCGGTCGTCCTGCCAAATTTCATGAGTTTTCGCCAGTGGGAAGTGGGCCATTTTCCAGTTCAAAGGGGAGGAAAAATAATAACTAGGGCCCCGGTGGGGCACTGTCGGGCCCGAGCCGCGTCGCGCCGCCCCCAGCGCGACCACCTCCCCCTCCCGATCGCGTCACACTCAAGGTCCAAAGATGGTGTGCGCACTTGTCTGTGGTCATTTCCCATTATAATGAATGGGAGGCGCAGTTTCTACCAAAACACTCGCTGCAGACAAACTACATGTCCTATTTGAAAAAAGTCTGGACCATGAGTGAGGTCACAAACACAGCTAGGATATATTCAAACGGCAAGTTGCTCCTCGTTACGGTGTTGCCGGGAGAGCGATGCGATTGAGCCATTGAGTGATGGGCAGGAAAAACTTGACTGTTTCTCCTGCCATGGGGAATGGGGTATGGGGGATGGGGGGGGGGGGGGATGTGGATTCTTTTAAGAATGTGGATATTTGGGTCATGTTTGGCGCCCCCTAGAACGTAAACCGTGGGGTGCAGCGTCATGATTTTTACAACTTTGAATGGCCATGGGGTGTAGATTGGCCTGAGCAAATTTGGTGTCAGTGGGACGAAAGCCTTAGGAGGAGTTAGCCACATTCCAATGTGTGCGAATCGGCAAAAAATGCAAAATAGCCCTTTAACCGTACATTTGACAGATACGCGCGCATTGACTTTTTCGTAGATCTTATTGAGATACACGTGATTGTCAAATTTTGTGTCAATATGACAAAGCGTACAGGTGTCACACTCAACAATGTGAATTTTCACCTTAGGGGACAAGAAAAAATGGACTTTTTTCTCCTGCCATGGGGGGGCGCTCTTTTGGGGAGTAAAAATTCCTTCACAAATGTGTTGATGGCTGGACATTGCATCATCCTAGAAAACTTGGAGGCCAGTGAGGACAAAAATAAAAAGTTATAAGATTTTGAAATATGTGGATTTTAGGGTCATGTTTGGCGCCCCCTAGAACGTAAACCGTGGGGTGCAGCGTCATGATTTTTACAACTTTGAATGGCCATGGGGTGTAGATTGGCCTGAGCAAATTTGGTGTCAGTGGGACGAAAGCCTTAGGAGGAGTTAGCCACATTCCAATGTGTGCGAATCGGCAAAAAATGCAAAATAGCCCTTTAACCGTACATTTGACAGATACGCGCGCATTGACTTTTTCGTAGATCTTATTGAGATACACGTGATTGTCAAATTTTGTGTCAATATGACAAAGCGTACAGGTGTCACACTCAACAATGTGAATTTTCACCTTAGGGGACAAGAAAAAATGGACTTTTTTCTCCTGCCATGGGGGGCGCTCTTTTGGGGAGTAAAAATTCCTTCACAAATGTGTTGATGGCTGGACATTGCATCATCCTAGAAAACTTGGAGGCCAGTGAGGACAAAAATAAAAAGTTATAAGATTTTGAAATATGTGGATTTTAGGGTCATGTTTGGCGCCCCCTAGAACGTAAACCGTGGGGTGCAGCGTCATGATTTTTACAACTTTGAATGGCCATGGGGTGTAGATTGGCCTGAGCAAATTTGGTGTCAGTGGGACGAAAGCCTTAGGAGGAGTTAGCCACATTCCAATGTGTGCGAATCGGCAAAAAATGCAAAATACCCCTTTAACCGTACATTTGACAGATACGCGCGCATTGACTTTTTCGTAGATCTTATTGAGATACACGTGATTGTCAAATTTTGTGTCAATATGACAAAGCGTACAGGTGTCACACTCAACAATGTGAATTTTCACCTTAGGGGACAAGAAAAAATGGACTTTTTTCTCCTGCCATGGGGGGGCGCTCTTTTGGGGAGTAAAAATTCCTTCACAAATGTGTTGATGGCTGGACATTGCATCATCCTAGAAAACTTGGAGGCCAGTGAGGACAAAAATAAAAAGTTATAAGATTTTGAAATATGTGGATTTTAGGGTTATATTTGGCGCCCCCTAGAACCTAAACCGTGGGGTGCAGCGTCATGATTTGAATAACTTTTAATGGCCATGGGGTGTAGATTGGCCTGAGCAAATGTGGTGCCGGTGGAACGCCAGCCTTAGGAGGAGTTAGCGAAATTCCAATGTGTGCGGATCGGCAAAAAATGCGGAATAACCCTTTAACCGTACATTTGACAGATACGCGTGCTTTGACTTTTTCGTAGATCTTATTGAGATACATGTGTGTGTCAAATTTTGTGTCAATATGACAAAGCGTACAGGCGTGACACTCAACAATGTGTATTTTCACCTTAGGGGACAAGAAAAAATGGACTTTTTTCTCCTGCCATGGGGGGGCGCTCTTTTGGGGAGTAAAAATTCCTTCACAAATGTGTTGATGGCTGGACATTGCATCATCCTAGAAAACTTGGAGGCCAGTGAGGGCAAAAATAAAAAGTTATAAGACTTTTAAATATGTGGATTTTAGGGTTATCTTTGGCGCCCCCTAGAACCTAAACCGTGGGGTGCAGCGTCATGATTTGAATAACTTTTAATGGCCATGGGGTGTAGATTGGCCTGAGCAAATGTGGTGCCGGTGGAAAGAAAGCCTTCGGAGGAGTTAGCAAAATTCCAATGTGTGCGCATCGGCAAAAAATGCGGAATAACCCTTTAACCGTACATTTGACAGATACGCCCGCACTGACTTTTTTGTAGATCTTATTGAGATACATGTGTGTGTCAATTTTTGTGTCATTTTGACAAAGCGTAAAGGCGTGACAGTCAATAGTGTGAATTTTCACCTTAGGGGGCGCTATGGAGCCATTTTGCATTTTCTTGTTTGGGCGACTTCGGAATATCAAATTTTTCACCAGGCCCGGTCGTCCTGCCAAATTTCATGAGTTTTCGCCAGTGGGAAGTGGGCCATTTTCCAGTTCAAAGGGGAGGAAAAAGAAGAAAGAAAGAAACAAAGAAAAACCACTTGGGGAATAATAGGGCTCTCGCAGCTGCTTAGCAGCTACGCTCGGGCCCTAATAACAAAAGAAGGAAACATGCAGGAACAAGAGGGCTCTCGCAGCTGCTTAGCAGCTACGCTCGGGCCCTAACTAGGACCCCGTTGGGGCACTGGCGGGCCCGAGCCGTGTCGCGTCCCCCCCCAACGTGCTGCCTCCCCGTCCCATTTGTGTCCTCTGGCCATCGCCCTCTCTGGTAACGCCCATCACTGCAAAGACCCTTTTCCTTCATCGGCGTTTGCTGTTCTTCCTGCCAGTGCGTGTTGCTTTCACTTACACTTGCCACAGCCAGCCTCGTGAGTGCCTAGCCTATTGGATATCACTGTCACCTACACAGGACAGTCATTACCTTTCTATTAATACTTTGTGTTTTAATTTCACATTAATTTCCATATTGTATAAACGACTGGAAAAAACTTGAGCCCCTGCCCCTGTATAATCATGTGCATGTCTCTGTTCTAGCTCCAAGGTGAATCTTCACTGCTCATGTTCTCCTCAGAAGCACTCACCTCACTCCCCTCAGGTTACTGTACACATGCACCAACTGCCTGCTTCAGGTTTGGATGGAGCTTCATGGTTGTCTTTTGGAGAAATGACCAGTCAAGTTGTGTTTGAAATTTGATTTTTTTCAGGGGCAAAAGGAGCCTCTGCATTCTTGTCAAATATGTAAATAGCATGTTTTTGCAGGTGCTAAAAACCAGACTCTGAGTGTGTGTGTGTGTGTGTGTGTGTGTGTGCGTGTGTGTGTGTCTGTGTGTGCGTTCAAGTCGCATGACATATTTAACCGGATGTAGCTGCAAGACGGAGCCTCGTTGACTCTCCGTTTCAACTTATCTCAAAAGTGAGGACCTCAACCTATATACCAGTTTTTAAATTGTGTTGATAGGCCAAATAAAACCAGAGTTATGATAAATTATGTCCGCGATACTTTTTTTCTGCTTATTTTGATCACGTTCGGCGCTCGATCGCGCTGTATGAGACATGAAAACATAGCATGCAGACATTAGCGACAGGTCTTACAGGCGGAAAAGGCTTGCCAAAAGAAAAAAAAACACACCACAACATCTCTCCTATTGGTGGAAAACTTCACCACAACAACCAATCCAAAATTATATGGTGACTGATTGACAAGGGGCGGGCGCTTACGTTCTTCCTGCAATATGAGAAGGGAGGGAGGGACTCTCAGCAGGGATGCAGTCTGGGACACGTAGTTGCAAACCTAGAGACTTTGTTGTTAGATTCAATGACTTTTCAGACCCCCTAACGACTTTTTTTAGAAAGAAAGGGACTTTTATCGACTTCTTCTGGAGTTTAGAGACTCTGACATGAAGCAGGCTTTCCTTACTGAGGCGTTAGCAACGCTGCTAAGGGTGCAGAGCCACACATGCGCTCAGAGCTCTGCATGGGAGACTAAAGCTGACAGAGCTGCAGCAGTTAGCAGGTTTCACCCTCAGAGACCACCAGGGGTTCATGTTGAGGCATTTTAATTTTTTTTTTTTTGTGCCATAGACACTGTCAGCACAATCTGCAGTTACACTAACAAAAATGCTGCAAAAAACAAAGAATTATGGAAAAATTACACATGGACTGACATAGAGGAGGATCTACACAAGTTTTTTACATCATGTTTTACATCATGCATCATTTACATCATGTTTTTTTGTAGTGGCATAAATAAAAAGTGACATTTGTGAGACTATACAGTGTTTTGTAAATAATTTTACAAAGAACACCTGGGCCATTGCCTGCATTTTGATGTCAATAGAGGTAAATTACTATGTTCTTTGTTAAAAATTTGCATATGTTTTGAAGTTTACAATTTTTATTTGAAGTTTAAGTTTTAAAAACAGTTCATCACACATATTTGTGGTTTTCACAGTAAAAATGTTACTTTTTTCCACTCGGATTTTATGTTTTGTGTGTGAATTTGGGTCCATTGTGTAAATTCAGTATGTCAACATGATAAAATAACTGTAAATTCGCACAGGTGAGGTTGTGCTGAAAAAAAATGATACCAGGCAAGGCACGTGATTGTCAAATTTTGTGTCAATATGACAAAGCGTAAAGGCGTGACAGTCAATAGTGTGAATTTTCGCCTTAGGAGACAAGAAAAAATTGACTTTTTTCTCCTGCCATGGGGGGGCGCTCTTTTGGCGAGTAAAAATTCCTTCACAAATGTGTTGATGGCTGGACATTGCATCATCCTAGAAAACATGGAGGCCAGTGAGGACAAAAATAAAAAGTTATAAGACTTTTAAATATGTGGATTTTTGGGTTGTCTTTGGCGCCCCCTAGAACCTAAACCGTGGGGTGCAGCGTCATGATTTTGATAACTTTTAATGGCCATGGGGTGTAGATTGGCCTGAGCAAATGTGGTGCCGGTGGACAGAAAGCCTTCGGAGGAGTTAGCGAAATTCCAATGTGTGCGGATCGGCAAAAAATGCGGAATAACCCTTTAACCGTACATTTGACAGATACGCGCGCATTGACTTTTTCGTAGATCTTATTGAGTTACATGTGTGTCTCAATTTTTGTGTCATTTTGACAAAGCGTAAAGGCGTGACAGTCAACAATGTGTATTTTCACCTTAGGGGACAAGAAAAAATGGACTTTTTTCTCCTGCCATGGGGGGCGCTCTTTTGGGGAGTAAAAATTCCTTCACAAATGTGTTGATGGCTGGACATTGCATCATCCTAGAAAACTTGGAGGCCAGTGAGGACAAAAATAAAAAGTTATAAGACTTTTAAATATGTGGATTTTAGGGTTGTCTTTGGCGCCCCCTAGAACCTAAACCGTGGGGTGCAGCGTCATGATTTGTACAACTTTTAATGGCCATGGGGTGTAGATTGGCCTGAGCAAATGTGGTGCCGGTGGACAGAAAGCCTTCGGAGGAGTTAGCGAAATTCCAATGTGTGCGGATCGGCAAAAAATGCGGAATAACCCTTTAACCGTACATTTGACAGATACGCGCGCATTGACTTTTTCGTAGATCTTATTGAGATACATGTGTGTGTCAATTTTTGTGTCATTTTGCCAAAGCATACAGGTGTTACACTCAACAATGTGTATTTTCACCTTAGGGGACAAGAAAAAATGGACTTTTTTCTCCTGCCATGGGGGGGCGCTCTTTTGGGGAGTAAAAATTCCTTCACAAATGTGTTGATGGCTGGACATTGCATCATCCTAGAAAACTTGGAGGCCAGTGAGGGCAAAAATAAAAAGTTATAAGACTTTTAAATATGTGGATCTTAGGGTTATCTTTGGCGCCCCCTAGAACCTAAACCGTGGGGTGCAGCGTCATGATTTGAATAACTTTTAATGGCCATGGGGTGTAGATTGGCCTGAGCAAATGTGGTGCCGGTGGAACGAAAGCCTTCGGAGGAGTTAGCGAAATTCCAATGTGTGCGGATCGGCAAAAAATGCGGAATAACCCTTTAACCGTACATTTGACAGATACGCGCGCATTGACTTTTTCGTAGATCTTATTGAGTTACATGTGTGTCTCAATTTTTGTGTCATTTTGACAAAGCGTAAAGGCGTGACAGTCAACAATGTGTATTTTCACCTTAGGGGACAAGAAAAAATGGACTTTTTTCTCCTGCCATGGGGGGGCGCTCTTTTGGGGAGTAAAAATTCCTTCACAAATGTGTTGATGGCTGGACATTGCATCATCCTAGAAAACTTGGAGGCCAGTGAGGACAAAAATAAAAAGTTATAAGACTTTTAAATATGTGGATTTTAGGGTTGTCTTTGGCGCCCCCTAGAACCTAAACCGTGGGGTGCAGCGTCATGATTTGTACAACTTTTAATGGCCATGGGGTGTAGATTGGCCTGAGCAAATGTGGTGCCGGTGGACAGAAAGCCTTCGGAGGAGTTAGCGAAATTCCAATGTGTGCGGATCGGCAAAAAATGCGGAATAACCCTTTAACCGTACATTTGACAGATACGCGCGCATTGACTTTTTCGTAGATCTTATTGAGATACATGTGTGTGTCAATTTTTGTGTCATTTTGCCAAAGCATACAGGTGTTACACTCAACAATGTGTATTTTCACCTTAGGGGACAAGAAAAAATGGACTTTTTTCTCCTGCCATGGGGGGGCGCTCTTTTGGGGAGTAAAAATTCCTTCACAAATGTGTTGATGGCTGGACATTGCATCATCCTAGAAAACTTGGAGGCCAGTGAGGGCAAAAATAAAAAGTTATAAGACTTTTAAATATGTGGATCTTAGGGTTATCTTTGGCGCCCCCTAGAACCTAAACCGTGGGGTGCAGCGTCATGATTTGAATAACTTTTAATGGCCATGGGGTGTAGATTGGCCTGAGCAAATGTGGTGCCGGTGGAACGAAAGCCTTCGGAGGAGTTAGCGAAATTCCAATGTGTGCGGATCGGCAAAAAATGCGAAATAACCCTTTAACCGTACATTTGACAGATACGCCCGCACTGACTTTTTTGTAGATCTTATTGAGATACATGTGTGTGTCAATTTTTGTGTCATTTTGACAAAGCGTACAGGCGTGACAGTGAATAGTGTGAATTTTCACCTTAGGGGGCGCTATGGAGCCATTTTGCATTTTCTTGTTTGGGCGACTTCGGAATATCAAATTTTTCACCAGGCCCGGTCGTCCTGCCAAATTTCATGAGTTTTCGCCAGTGGGAAGTGGGCCATTTTCCAGTTCAAAGGGGAGGAAAAATAATAACTAGGGCCCCGGTGGGGCACTGTCGGGCCCGAGCCGCGTTGCGCCGCCCCCAGCGCGACCGCCTCCCCCTCCCGATCGCGTCACACTCAAGGTCCAAAGATGGTGTGCGCACTTGTCTGTGGTCATTTCCCATTATAATGAATGGGAGGCGCAGTTTCTACCAAAACACTCGCTGCAGACAAACTACATGTCCTATTTGAAAAAAGTCTGGACCATGAGTGAGGGCACAAACACAGCTAGGATATATCCAAACGGCAAGTTGCTCCTCGTTACGGTGTTGCCGGGAGAGTGATGCGATTGAGCCATTGAGTGATGGGCAGGAAAAACTTGACTGTTTCTCCTGCCATGGGGGTTGGGGGATGGGGGGGGGGGATGTGGATTCTTTTAAGAATGTGGATATTTGGGTCATCTTTGGCGCCCCCTAGAACGTAAACCGTGGGGTGCAGCGTCATGATTTTTACAACTTTGAATGGCCATGGGGTGTAGATTGGCCTGAGCAAATTTGGTGTCAGTGGGACGAAAGCCTTAGGAGGAGTTAGCCACATTCCAATGTGTGCGAATCGGCAAAAAATGCAAAATAGCCCTTTAACCGTACATTTTACAGATACGCGCGCATTGACTTTTTCGTAGATCTTATTGAGATACATGTGATTGTCAAATTTTGTGTCAATATGACAAAGCGTACAGGTATGACAGTCAACAATGTGTTTTTTCACCTTATGGGACAAGAAAAATTGGACTTTTTTCTCCTGCCATGGGGGGGCGCTCTTTTGGGGAGTAAAAATTCCTTCACAAATGTGTTGATGGCTGGACATTGCATCATCCTAGAAAACTTGGAGGCCAGTGAGGACAAAAATAAAAAGTTATAAGACTTTGAAATATGTGGATTTTAGGGTTATCTTTGGCGCCCCCTAGAACCTAAACCGTGGGGTGCAGCGTCATGATTTGAATAACTTTTAATGGCCATGGGGTGTAGATTGGCCTGAGCAAATGTGGTGCCGGTGGAACGAAAGCCTTAGGAGGAGTTAGCGAAATTCCAATGTGTGCGGATCGGCAAAAAATGCGGAATAACCCTTTAACCGTACATTTGACAGATACGCGCGCATTGACTTTTTCGTAGATCTTATTGAGATACATGTGTGTGTCAATTTTTGTGTCATTTTGACAAAGCGTATAGGCGTGATACTCAACAGTGTGTATTTTCACCTTAGGGGACAAGAAAAAATGGACTTTTTTCTCCTGCCATGGGGGGGCGCTCTTTTGGGGAGTAAAAATTCCTTCACAAATGTGTTGATGGCTGGACATTGCATCATCCTAGAAAACTTGGAGGCCAGTGAGGACAAAAATAAAAAGTTATAAGACTTTTAAATATGTGGATTTTAGGGTTATCTTTGGCGCCCCCTAGAACCTAAACCGTGGGGTGCAGCGTCATGATTTGAATAACTTTTAATGGCCATGGGGTGTAGATTGGCCTGAGCAAATGTGGTGCCGGTGGAACGAAAGCCTTCGGAGGAGTTAGCGAAATTCCAATGTGTGCGGATCGGCAAAAAATGCGAAATAACCCTTTAACCGTACATTTGACAGATACGCCCGCACTGACTTTTTTGTAGATCTTATTGAGATACATATGTGTGTCAATTTTTGTGTCAATATGACAAAGCGTACAGGCGTGACAGTCAATAGTGTGAATTTCCACCTTAGGGGGCGCTATGGAGCCATTTTGCATTTTATTGTTTGGGCGACTTCAGAATATCGAAATTTTTCACCAGGCCCGGTCGTCCTGCCAAATTTCATGAGTTTTCACCAGTGGGAAGTGGGCCATTTTCCAGTTCAAAGGGGAGGAAAAAGAAGAAAGAAAGAAAGAAAGAAACAAAGAAAAACCACTTGGGGAATAATAGGGCTCTCGCAGCTGCTTAGCAGCTACGCTCGGGCCCTAACTAGGACCCCGTTGGGGCACTGGCGGGCCCGAGCCGTGTCGCGTCCCCCCCCCCAACGTGCTGCCTCCCCGTCCCATTTGTGTCCTCTGGCCATCCCCCTCTCTGGTAACGCCCATCACTGCAAAGACCCTTTTCCTTCATCGGCGTTTGCTGTTCTTCCTGCCAGTGCGTGTTGCTTTCACTTACACTTGCCACAGCCAGCCTCGTGAGTGCCTAGCCTATTGGATATCACTGTCACCTACACAGGACAGTCATTACCTTTCTATTAATACTTTGTGTTTTAATTTCACATTAATTTCCATATTGTATAAACGACTGGAAAAAACTTGAGCCCCTGCCCCTGTATAATCATGTGCATGTCTCTGTTCTAGCTCCAAGGTGAATCTTCACTGCTCATGTTCTCCTCAGAAGCACTCACCTCACTCCCCTCAGGTTACTGTACACATGCACCAACTGCCTGCTTCAGGTTTGGATGGAGCTTCATGGTTGTCTTTTGGAGAAATGACCAGTCAAGTTGTGTTTGAAATTTGATTCTTTTCAGGGGCAAAAGGAGCCTCTGCATTCTTGTCAAATATGTAAATAGCATGTTTTTGCAGGTGCTAAAAAACAGACTCTGAGTGTGTGTGTGTGTGTGTGTGTGTGTGTGTGTGTGTGCGTGTGTGTGTGTCTGTGTGTGCGTTCAAGTCACATGACATATTTAACCGGATGTAGCTGCAAGACGGAGCCTCGTTGACTCTCCGTTTCAACTTATCTCAAAAGTGAGGACCTCAACCTATATACCAGTTTTTAAATTGTGTTGATAGGCCAAATAAAACCAGAGTTATGATAAATTATGTCCGCGATACTTTTTTTCTGCTTATTTTGATCACGTTCGGCGCTCGATCGCGCTGTATGAGACAGGAAAACATAGCATGCAGACATTAGCGACAGGTCTTACAGGCGGAAAAGGCTTGCCAAAAGAAAAAAAAACACACCACAACATCTCTCCTATTGGTGGAAAACTTCACCACAACAACCAATCCAAAATTATATGGTGACTGATTGACAAGGGGCGGGTGCTTACGTTCTTCCTGCAACATGAGAAGGGAGGGAGGGACTCTCAGCAGGGATGCAGTCTGGGACACGTAGTTGCAAACCTAGCGACTTTGTTGTTAGATTCAATGACTTTTCAGACCCCCTAACGACTTTTTTAGAAAGAAAGGGACTTTTATCGACTTCTTCTGGAGTTTAGAGACTCTGACATGAAGCAGGCTTTCCTTACTGAGGAGTTAGCAACGCTGCTAAGGGTGCAGAGCCACACATGCGCTCAGAGCTCTGCATGGGAGACTGAAGCTGACAGAGCTGCAGCAGTTAGCAGGTTTCACCCTCAGAGACCACCAGGGGTTCATGTTGAGGCATTTTAAATTTTTTTTTTTTTTGTGCCATAGACACTGTCAGCACAATCTGCAGTTACACTAACAAAAATGCTGCAAAAAACAAAGAATTATGGAAAAATTACACATGGACTGACATAGAGGAGGATCTACACAAGTTTTTTACATCATGTTTTACATCATGCATCATTTACATCATGTTTTTTTGTAGTGGCATAAATAAAAAGTGACATTTGTGAGACTATACAGTGTTTTGTAAATAATTTTACAAAGAACGCCTGGGCCATTGCCTGCATTTTGATGTAAATAGAGGTAAATCACTATGTTCTTTGTTAAAAATTTGCATATGTTTTGAAGTTTACAATTTTTATTTGAAGTTTAAGTTTTAAAAACAGTTCATCACACATATTTGTGGTTTTCACAGTAAAAATGTTACTTTTTTCCACTCGGATTTTATGTTTTGTGTGTGAATTTGGGTCCATTGTGTAAATTCAGTATGTCAACATGATAAAATAACTGTAAATTCGCACAGGTGAGGTTGTGCTGAAAAAAATGATACCAGGAAAGGCACGTGATTGTCAAATTTTGTGTCAATATGACAAAGCGTATAGGCGTGAATCTCAACAATATGTATTTTCACCTTAGGGGACAAGAAAAAATGGACTTTTTTCTCCTGCCATGGGGGGGGCGCTCTTTTAGGGAGTAAAAATTCCTTCACAAATGTGTTGATGGCTGGACATTGCATCATCCTAGAAAACTTGGAGGCCAGTGAGGACAAAAATAAAAAGTTATAAGACTTTGAAATATGTGGATTTTAGGGTTATCTTTGGCGCCCCCTAGAACCTAAACCGTGGGGTGCAGCGTCATGATTTGAATAACTTTTAATGGCCATGGGGTGTAGATTGGCCTGAGCAAATGTGGTGCCGGTGGAACGAAAGCCTTAGGAGGAGTTAGCCACATTCCAATGTGTGCGGATCGGCAAAAAATGCGGAATAACCCTTTAACCGTACATTTGACAGATACGCGCGCGTTGACTTTTTCGTAGATCTTATTGAGTTACATATGTGTGTCAATTTTTGTGTCATTTTGACAAAGCGTATAGGCGTGACACTCAACAATGTGTATTTTCACCTTAGGGGACAAGAAAAAATGGACTTTTTTCTCCTGCCATGGGGGGGCGCTCTTTTGGGGAGTAAAAATTCCTTCACAAATGTGTTGATGGCTGGACATTGCATCATCCTAGAAAACTTGGAGGCCAGTGAGGACAAAAATAAAAAGTTATAAGACTTTTAAATATGTGGATTTTAGGGTTATCTTTGGCGCCCCCTAGAACCTAAACCTTGGGGTGCAGCGTCATGATTTTGATAACTTTTAATGGCCATGGGGTGTAGATTGGCCTGAGCAAATGTGGTGCCGGTGGAACGAAAGCCTTCGGAGGAGTTAGCGAAATTCCAATGTGTGCGGATCGGCAAAAAATGCGAAATAACCCTTTAACCGTACATTTGACAGATACGCGCGCATTGACTTTTTCGTAGATCTTATTGAGTTACATGTGTGTGTCAATTTTTGTGTCATTTTGACAAAGGGTATAGGCGTGACACTCAACAATGTGTATTTTCACCTTAGGGGACAAGAAAAAATGGACTTTTTTCTCCTGCCATGGGGGGCGCTCTTTTGGGGAGTAAAAATTCCTTCACAAATGTGTTGATGGCTGGACATTGCATCATCCTAGAAAACTTGGAGGCCAGTGAGGACAAAAATAAAAAGTTATAAGACTTTTAAATATGTGGATTTTAGTGTTATCTTTGGCGCCCCCTAGAACCTAAACCTTGGGGTGCAGCGTCATGATTTTGATAACTTTTAATGGCCACGGGGTGTAGATTGGCCTGAGCAAATGTGGTGCCGGTGGAACGAAAGCCTTCGGAGGAGTTAGCGAAATTCCAATGTGTGCGGATCGGCAAAAAATGCGAAATAACCCTTTAACCGTAATTTTGACAGATACGGCCGCACTGACTTTTTTGTAGATCTTATTGAGATACATATGTGTGTCAATTTTTGTGTCAATATGACAAAGCGTACAGGCGTGACAGTCAATAGTGTGAATTTCCACCTTAGGGGGCGCTATGGAGCCATTTTGCATTTTATTGTTTGGGCGACTTCAGAATATCGAATTTTTCACCAGGCCCGGTCGTCCTGCCAAATTTCATGAGTTTTCGCCAGTGGGAAGTGGGCCATTTTCCAGTTCAAAGGGGAGGAAAAAGAAGAAAGAAAGAAAGAAAGAAAGAAAGAAAGAAAGAAACAAAGAAAAACCACTTGGGGAATAATAGGGCCTACGCCCGGCTGCTCTGCAGCTGGCTCGGGCCCTAATAACAAAAGAAGGAAACTACAGGAACAAGAGGGCTCTCGCAGCTGCTTAGCAGCTACGCTCGGGCCCTAAAAAGAAAGAAAGAAACAAAGACTAGGACCCCGTTGGGGCACTGGCGGGCCCGAGCCGTGTTGCGTCCCCCCCCCCCCCCCCCCAACGTGCTGCCTTCCCGTCCCATTTGTGTCCTCTGGCCATCGCCCTCTCTGGTAACGCCCATCACTGCAAAGACCCTTTTCCTTCATCGGCGTTTGCTGTTCTTCCTGCCAGTGCGTGTTGCTTTCACTTACACTTGCCACAGCCAGCCTCGTGAGTGCCTAGCCTATTGGATATCACTGTCACCTACACAGGACAGTCATTACCTTTCTATTAATACTTTGTGTTTTAATTTCACATTAATTTCCATATTGTATAAACGACTGGAAAAAACTTGAGCCCCTGCCCCTGTATAATCATGTGCACGTCTCTGTTCTAGCTCCAAGGTGAATCTTCACTGCTCATGTTCTCCTCAGAAGCAGTCACCTCACTCCCCTCAGGTTACTGTACACATGCACCAACTGCCTGCTTCAGGTTTGGATGGAGCTTCATGGTTGTCTTTTTGAGAAATGACCAGTCAAGTTGTGTTTGAAATTTGATTTTTTTCAGGGGCAAAAGGAGCCTCTGCATTCTTGTCAAATATGTAAATAGCATGTTTTTGCAGGTGCTAAAAACCAGACTCTGAGTGTGTGTGTGTGTGTGTGTGTGTGTGTGTGTGTGTGTGTGTGTGTGTGTGTGTGTGTGTGTGTGTGTGTGTGTCTGTGTGTGCGTTCAAGTCACATGACATATTTAACCGGATGTAGCTGCAAGACGGAGCCTCGTTGACTCTCCGTTTCAACTTATCTCAAAAGTGAGGACCTCAACCTATATACCAGTTTTTAAATTGTGTTGATAGGCCAAATAAAACCAGAGTTATGATAAATTATGTCCGCGATACTTTTTTTCTGCTTATTTTGATCACGTTCGGCGCTCGATCGCGCTGTATGAGACAGGAAAACATAGCATGCAGACATTAGCGACAGGTCTTACAGGCGGAAAAGGCTTGCCAAAAGGAAAAAAAAAACACACCACAACATCTCTCCTATTGGTGGAAAACTTCACCACAACAACCAATCCAAAATTATATGGTGACTGATTGACAAGGGGCGGGCGCTTACGTTCTTCCTGCAACATGAGAAGGGAGGGAGGGACTCTCAGCAGGGATGCAGTCTGGGACACGTAGTTGCAAACCTAGCGACTTTGTTGTTAGATTCAATGACTTTTCAGACCCCCTAACGACTTTTTAGAAAGAAAGGGACTTTTATCGACTTCTTCTGGAGTTTAGAGACTCTGACATGAAGCAGGCTTTCCTTACTGAGGAGTTAGCAACGCTGCTAAGGGTGCAGAGCCACACATGCGCTCAGAGCTCTGCATGGGAGACTGAAGCTGACAGAGCTGCAGCAGTTAGCAGGTTTCACCCTCAGAGACCACCAGGGGTTCATGTTGAGGCATTTTAATTTTTTTTTTTTTTTTTTTGCCATAGACACTGTCAGCACAATCTGCAGTTACACTAACAAAAATGCTGCAAAAAACAAAGAATTATGGAAAAATTACACATGGACTAACATAGAGGAGGATCTACACAAGTTTTTTACATCATGTTTTACATCATGCATCATTTACATCATGTTTTTTTGTAGTGGCATAAATAAAAAGTGACATTTGTGAGACTATACAGTGTTTTGTAAATAATTTTACAAAGAACACCTGGGCCATTGCCTGCATTTTGATGTCAATAGAGGTAAATTACTATGTTCTTTGTTAAAAATTTGCATATGTTTTGAAGTTTACAATTTTTATTTGAAGTTTAAGTTTTAAAAACAGTTCATCACACATATTTGTGGTTTTCACAGTAAAAACGTTACTTTTTTCCACTCGGATTTTATGTTTTGTGTGTGAATTTGGGTCCAATGTGTAAATATAGTATGTCAAAATGATAAAATAACTGTAAATTGACACAGGTGAGGTTGTGCTGAAAAAAATGATACCAGGCAAGGCAAGGTAAAAATTTTGTAAGAGGAAATATAAAGGTAAAACCTAAAGTAGTCAAAAACGGCCAATAGTGACTCACAGACTCCACAGACAAGTCCCTTTGCCGCCACTCAGTGGGCAAAACTACTTTGTCTACTGTAATGTATATTTGGGTCATCTTTGGCGCCCCCTAAAACGTAAACCGTGGGGTGCAGCGTCATGATTTTTACAACTTTGAATGGCCATGGAGTGTAGATTGGCCTGAGCAAATTTGGTGTCAGTGGGATGAAAGCCTTAGGAGGAGTTAGCGAAATTCCAATGTGTGCGAATCGGCAAAAAATGCAAAATAGCCCTTTTACCGTACATTATACAGATACGCGCTCTTTGACTTTTTCGTAGATCTAATTGAGATACACATGATTGTCAATTTTTGTGTCATTTTGCCAAAGCGTACAGGCGTGACAGTCAACAATGTGTATTTTCACCTTAGGGGACAAGAAAAAATGGACTTTTTTCTCCTGCCATGGGGGGGCGCTCTTTTGGGGAGTAAAAATTCCTTCACAAATGTGTTGATGGCTGGACATTGCATCATCCTAGAAAACTTGGAGGCCAGTGAGGACAAAAATAAAAAGTTATAAGACTTTTAAATATGTGGATTTTGGGTTATCTTTGGCGCCCCCTAGAACCTAAACCGTGGGATGCAGCGTCATGATTTGAATAACTTTTAATGGCCATGGGGTGTAGATTGGCCTGAGCAAATGTGGTGCCGGTGGAACGAAAGCCTTCGGAGGAGTTAGCGAAATTCCAATGTGTGCGGATCGGCAAAAAATGCGGAATAACCCTTTAACCGTACATTTGACAGATACGCGCGCATGGACTTTTTTGTAGATCTTATTGAGATACATGTGTGTGTCAATTTTTGTGTCATTTTGACAAAGCGTACAGGTGTTACACTCAACAATGTGTATTTTCACCTTAGGGGACAAGAAAAAATGGACTTTTTTCTCCTGCCATGGGGGGCGCTCTTTTGGGGAGTAAAAATTCCTTCACAAATGTGTTGATGGCTGGACATTGCATCATCCTAGAAAACTTGGAGGCCAGTGAGGGCAAAAATAAAAAGTTATAAGACTTTTAAATATGTGGATCTTAGGGTTATCTTTGGCGCCCCCTAGAACCTAAACCGTGGGGTGCAGCGTCATGATTTGAATAACTTTTAATGGCCATGGGGTGTAGATTGGCCTGAGCAAATGTGGTGCCGGTGGAACGAAAGCCTTCGGAGGAGTTAGCGAAATTCCAATGTGTGCGGATCGGCAAAAAATGCGAAATAACCCTTTAACCGTACATTTGACAGATACGCCCGCACTGACTTTTTTGTAGATCTTACTGAGATACATGTGTGTGTCAATTTTTGTGTCATTTTGACAAAGCGTACAGGCGTGACAGTCAATAGTGTGAATTTTCACCTTAGGGGGCGCTATGGAGCCATTTTGCATTTTCTTGTTTGGGCGACTTCGGAATATCAAATTTTTCACCAGGCCCGGTCGTCCTGCCAAATTTCCTGAGTTTTCGCCAGTGGGAAGTGGGCCATTTTCCAGTTCAAAGGGGAGGAAAAAGAAGAAAGAAAGAAACAAAGAAAAACCCCTACAGGAATAACAGGGCCTACGCCCGGCTGCTCTGCAGCTGGCTCGGGCCCTAAAAAACCACTTGGGGAATAATAGGGCCTACGCCTGGCTGCTCTGCAGCTGGCTCGGGCCCTAAAGAAAGAAAGAAAGAAACAAAGAAAAACCACTTGGGGAATAATAGGGCCTACGCCCTGCTGCTTAGCAGCTATGCTCGGGCCCTAAAGAAAAACCACTACAGGAATAACAGGGCCTACGCCCGGCTGCTCTGCAGCTGGCTCGGGCCCTAAAAAGAAACAAAGAAAAACCACTACAGGAATAACAGGGCCTACGCCCGGCTGCTCTGCAGCTGGCTCGGGCCCTAAAAAGAAACAAAGAAAAACCACTACAGGAATAATAGGGCCTCGCAGCTGCTTAGCAGCTACGCTCGGGCCCTAAAAACCACTTGGGGAATAATAGGGCTCTCGCAGCTGCTTAGCAGCTACGCTCGGGCCCTAATAACAAAAGAAGAATCCATCAGGAACAAGAGGGCTCTCGCAGCTGCTTAGCAGCTACGCTCGGGCCCTAAAGAAGAATCCATCAGGAACAAGAGGGCTCTCGCAGCTGCTGAGCAGCTATGCTCGGGCCCTAATAAGAAGAAGAAGAAGAAGAAGAAAGAAGAATCCATCAGGAACAATAGGGCTCTCGCAGCTGCTTAGCAGCTACGCTCGGGCCCTATGCTGGTGTGAGGGAGTAGGTGACATCCAATTCGCTAAAGAAACAGACGTTTTTTACCATTTCCACTTTAGATAGTCCCAACACATTAAACATTGGAGTCCCAGAAGTCAGCAGGATGAGACTTTAGTTAGATCACACTACTTACACATGTGAAGGATACGATAAGTAAAGACTTCTATGTCCACAGGGGCCAAAGTCAACACAAATTGAGAGTGTGATTTCAGTGATCAGATGAGTTATTTACTTAAAAAATAAAAGAAACTTTCATTCAAAATTACCTGTTTATCTAATTTTCTCACAAAATTCTGTGAATATTCAATCCAGAGTTAAGCCCACATATGAATATTACAATATTCAGTCGCGTGAGCAGAGTCCATTTTATATGCCAGCATCAATAAAATAAAGTGCCAGGCCACGAAGCGTGATGCGTCCTTATGTTATCTGTGCGAACAACCCACCTTTGTCAAGTGTGGTTTATATGCAACTTGATGTGATTGTCTTTATTTGTGGAAAAGGATGTTTGTCTTACCAGTGGGTACAACTTTACAAACACCAAATCCCTCTGTGCTAATTTGAGAGTGTGGAGGACGCCCTGCAGCTCTTACCGCGACACTTGTTGAGGGGCTGCTTCCTGTCACAATCATGTAGCGTTGCTGTCTTCAGTCATCTCTTGATCTCTTCGACTACTTCACGAAAATTGTTATACACCTCACCGGTGGCTGATTTAAAGGTGAAAGGAGGAGCTGATATGATTGGTGAAAACAGGACTCAGCTGTGTTAAACCCACTCTACGTCTTATCCCCTCCCTCTCTGCCACTTACACCGCTTGGAGGAGCTGAGTTAGGGAGGGGGGATACTTACGTTGTGCTGTGCCGCTCACCAAAATACCAAAGTGTGTTGGGCACGTCATGCCACCGGTGAGGTATGAAAATAGAGCCCTTAATGTCTGCTCTCATAAAGTAGAACACTAAGAATATTTAGAGTTTACCTTGAAGTCAGTATCATTTTTATGTTTATTTTGAACATTTAATAAAGAAAAACGAAGAGTGATCATACAGTTACTAACAAAAAAGGATTACAGGTCATATTAAAGTAAGTAGAAAGAAGACTAATTAAATCCCTTTCCATAAATTAACAACAGTTCACTGGTTTATTTTTGCATCAGTATATACATGGATTATAATAAAAGTCTTAATAACAATTCAGTCTGACCACCACAAGTCTCTACAACTTCTGATTGGTCAACAGACCAAAACACATCAGACAGCCTGAATTAGACTTAAGCATCAGTAAAGACAGCTTCCCTGACTTTTGAAGGCTTAATAATAATAATAATAATAATATCTTACATTTACTGTATATAGCGCCTTTCAGGATACCCAAGGCGCTTAACAACACACTACAAAAAAAAAAAAAACTAAATACCAAAAGCCTGAATAAACAAGTGTCGCTTCAGAGCAGACTTGAAAGAGTCAAGAGTCTGTGCTTGGCGAATCTCAGAGGGGAGAGAGTTCCAGAGAGGAGGGGCGGCCACACTGAAGGCTCTGTCACCGAGGGATCGCCTTTTCCCATAGCGGACAGTGAGGAGCCCAAGGTCCGCAGACCGCAGAGTACGCACCGGGGTGTACGCACCGGGGTGTAGTCCTTGAGGAGGTCAGACAGATAGTTTGGGGCTAGGGCATGGAGAGCTTTGTAGGTGAGCAGGAGGAGTTTGTAGATGATGCGATATTTGATGGGAAGCCAGTGGAGGCGTTTGAGGGTGGGGGTGATGTGCTGCCAAGTTTTGGTCCGGGTGAGCACTCTGGCAGCTGAATTTTGAACGTACTGCAGACGGTCCAAGTCTTTTTTAGGAAGTCCGAACAGGACACCGTTGCAGTAGTCTAAGCGGGAGGATACAAAGGCATGGATGAGGGTTTCTGCGACAGAGTCCGAGAGGGACGAGCGGAGTCTGGAGATGGTCTTAAGGTGGAAAAAGGCTGACTTAGTTATGGATTTAATGTGGGTTTGGAATGAAAGGGCAGAGTCCAAGATGACGCCCAGGTTGCGCACCTCGGAGGATGGGGAGATGGAGCAGCCGTCAATATGGAGGAGGAAATCACCCATTCTGCGAAGCAGTGCCTTGGGAGCCATGAGCAAGAGCTCTGTTTTCTTGGCGTTGAGTTGGAGTAGGTTGGTGGTCAGCCAGGTTTTTATTTCTTGTAGGCAGTTGACAATGGGGAGTGGAGGGAGCAGAGTGGTGGGTGTGGTGCTGAGATATATCTGTGTATCATCGGCGTAACAGTGGAAATCAAGGCCGTGCTTACGGATGATCTGGCCAAGCGGGAGCATGTATATGGTGAAGAGGAGTGGACCAAGTACGGAACCCTGTGGGACTCCGTGTGGAACTAGGGCTGGGTGGGACTTGGAACCATGCATGGAGACAAACTGCAGGCGGTTGGACAGATAGGAGTGAAACCAGGAGAGCGCAGATCCAGTGATACTGAGGTGTGTAGAGAGGCGGTTGAGGAGGATGGAGTGAGAGACTGTGTCAAAGGCTGCAGAGAGGTCCAACAGGATGAGGATGCTGATGTTGCCGGAGTCAGCCGCGATGAGGAGGTCATTGATGATTTTAACCAAGGCGGTCTCAGTGCTGTGGTGCGCTCTGTAGGCAGACTGGAAGGGTTCGGAGAGTTTGTGGTCGGACATGTGCTGCTGGAGCTGCACGGCGACTACTCTTTCCAGGGTCTTGCTGAGGAACGGGAGATTGGAAATCGGCCGGTAGTTGGTAAGGTCGTCGGGGTCCAGACCAGGCTTTTTCAGTATGGGGGTGACAGATGCGGTTTTGAAACTGGTGGGAACCATGCCGGATAGCAGAGAGGAGTTGATGATGTTAGTAATGATGGGAACCAGGGTCGGTAGACAGGCCTTTACCAGCGTCGTGGGCATAGGGTCCAGGGAGCAACTGGAGGCCTTGGCTTTGGTGACCAGTTCGGTGGTAAGGGATTCATCCACTGGAGTGAAGGAGGTGAACGGGGGACACGTGGCAGAGGGGGCAGTGTCCTGCAGCTGAGGTGTATGCAGACAGGTGGTGGATGTCTGGAGCTGCTGATGGATGGTATCCACCTTGTCCTGGAAGAAGTTCAGGAATCTATGGCAGAGGTCAGAATCACCAGAGGCTGGAATGGGTGGGAGGGGGCTGAGAAGCTTGTTCACTGTGGAAAACAGCTTTCTGGGGTGGTTCTCCTGAGACCCGATAAGGGTGGAGTAGTACTGGGTTATGGATTGTGAGAGAGTGTCCTTGTAGTTTTTTACGTGGTCGTGGAAGGCCAGAAGGTGGACGGTGAGGCCAGATTTTTTGTAGAGCCTCTCCAGCCGTCGGCCAGTGGACTTCATGGCCTGGAGCTCGGGAGTGAACCAGGGAGCCGGACGGTGAATGAAACTGTCAGTGTTTTGATGGGGGCGAGAGAGTCCAGGCTAAGGGCGAGAGCAGTGTTGTAGGAAGAGACCAGGTCACAATCTGAGGGGTCAGGGGAGATCCCAGCTAGGTGGGCAGCAATCATGGTGGATAGGGCTGGAGGACTCACAGCCTTAATGTTCCGGTAGGTGATGGTGCGTTTTGGCCGCTGCCCAGGCCGGGAGGCAGGGACAGAGAAGGCGATGGCATGATGGTCAGAGATAGCAAGGTCCAGGCACTGCAGGTCGATGGGGGGGGTACCAGTGGAGCACACCAAGTCCAGCGTATGACCCTTGTTGTGGGTGGGGCCACGCACATGTTGACTGAAATTAAACCATTCCAACACTGACATGAACTCAGTGGCGAAAGCACAGCTGGTGGAATCCACATGCACGTTCATGTCCCCCAGCAAGTACCTGGATGGAGACATGGCACAGACAGGGGTGAGTAGCTCAGATAGTTCTGACAGGAAGGCAGACCGGTCAGAGCTGGTGTTTTTAGGTGGACGGTACACCAACACAAACTGGAGTTGGGAGAAACCAGCCAGTGTGAACACTATGCATTCAAAAGAGGTGGCAGTGGTTACTGCCACCTCCTTGGTGAGGATGTCAGCCCGATAAATCACAGCCAGCCCACCGCCACCACCCTTTAAGCGAGGCTTGGATCTGCACCATCCCTAAAATCCACAGAGACGATCAGAGTTTATCACCTGAGAGCTGCCGGTCTCACAAAGCGAGTGGATTTTACTGTCCTTCACAGTACTGCTGGCATATGACAGCATCGAGTCTGTTAACCACTAAACCCAGAGAACAAGACTTTCACAGTTTTGTTTTTTTTTGTTTCCCTGGTAACTTCCCAAAGACCAGACTCCACTGAATAATCTAATCCCTCCTACATTACCCAGATATTGGTCTTTTATTGCAGTGGCTCACATAACAGAGCAGCACATGTTCTAATATCTTCATGGAGTATTGATTGAAGCTAAATGACTTTCCTGCTCATTCTGCTCCTCTAAGGTTTCTCATTAAGTGCCCCAGCAGTGATGAATGATATGCAGGCAACAGAGGCCAGATTGAGGGGGAGGAAGGGGGTCATTACTGAGCAGCGGGTTTGAAAGGAAATCAGGTCTGAGAGGATATTCAGTAAAAAGGACAGAGAATAAGAACAGGATGAAATGTTCAGTTTCTTTCTCCCCTGTTTGTGCTGCACACTGAATGAAACATATTCCTCTCTATATAAACAAACGTCCTGCTGAGAGGCTGCACACCTTATCTGTCATTTTTTCACAACTGGCATTAAAAGACCAAAACCACTCAGTCTGGAGGAAGCCTTATTTTCAGAAAATTATGTAAAATGAAACATTTGATGGAGAAAAAAGTTCTTTCTGCTTCTTCGGCTGGGGGGATTCTGGAGAGAAATGTTTAAATCTTTTTCGGAGCACTGAAAAGCTCTGATGTCCACTTATTTTTTCTCATTTTCAGCCCTTACACCAGCTTTTAAAATGAAGTGCTGTTTGGCTTTCTCAGTCCTTCTTTAAGAGAATATCACTTCTTCAGATTTGTTATT